TAAAATAATAAATTGTTATAAATTGTTATTTTATTTTATCAATTTATTATTTTATTCTCATTCTACGTGACTTTACCGAAAGAACCAAGGAAGATTTAAGATGATCGGATTTTTCGATCACACCTGTGATCCAGCACTGTGCGGGCTAGGGTTGGTGGATCGCACATACATTGTGGAACTCCCTTCTCGAGGTCCTATACCCTGACTCACCAGGAGAAGACGGTACAGAAAATGTGTGGACTCCACCTGTTCCGTCTGTATGGGATAGAGTGTTTCCTCTTTGAATGCAAGGGTTTTCTCCGGGTGCTCCAATCTTCTCCCACATTTGAACACTCATTAATTCGTCGACAACACCTCAATATGCAGAGGACCATAGAGCTTGGGCAATCGTTGTTGGCGCCAGCTGACGGCGTGGCTGCCCTCCTGCCTGTCTATGGTTCCTTGTGCCTCTCTGAGTTGTTCCCTCTCATCGAGAGTAGAGTGAATACTGTGCACTTCACGAGCCAAAGTTATTTTTATTATTTTGTCATTCCGGCAGCCTTGTTTTGATATTTTAGCTGCTATTCCATGAATATTTTTTTTCTTTCATCAGTTGGAGTGCGTTGAAGCAGAATAGTATTTGTTTTCAAATGCACATGCTTCCCCTGCTGTATCTTTGAATTATAATTTCACACATTCATCATTTCAACAAGAGGTGGGGAGAGAGAAACACGTGGAAAGCTGCAATAAAAGTGCTGCCAATGGAAATATATATTTAGTTTCGTCGGTCTCTTTGCTCGTGAAATATAATAACATTGCAGTGGCCTGCTTGTTTAAGCCTGTGTAGCTTTCCACTCGCACAGATTAACGTAATATATTCACCAGAATACATCATAGACGAGCAGTCATATTTTGTATATCCTGCATAAAGTTACTAATGCAGAAACTGGCAAGGTTTATTTAGATTTCATTAGCAGAAGCGAGGACAATTACGGAAGTACACCAAATGCGACTGTTGTTTCTCATAAAAAATAAAATAAAAAAGACTGACGCATAACAAAAACAAATGTCTGGGATCTGGTAGTGTGGTGCAGGGGTGTTTAGACGCCAGATCCTCTAAGACGGGAGAGGCCTTACAGACCGTGGCATTGCCCCTGCATGTGCACGCGCATGGAAGCCCACCTGTTTCACATTTACATTTCTCTTTCAAGCGACCTTTGCGGTTTTGTGTGCTCAGAAATATACACAGCCACCTCCCAGAATGCACTCTGCTCATCATCCGCACCACCCCCCGCCAAGCCACCTGGAACTGCAAGTGCCACAAGTCTTTCCGTCCACCTTTCCCACGTTGCCTTCAGAAAGCAGTGCCGTTTCGTCAAAACATTCACTCTCTGTGTCCCAAGAGAGTGAATGTTTTAGATGAAGAATAGTGTCCTTCGCCCGAAAGCAATAAGCAAAGCACAAGAACAGTTTCCGATAATGCATCCATATGCCTTCGTGCCTGTTAAAATGTACTTGCTGCCATTTTTTGAATATTTATTTGGATTGGAATTACATGAATATGAGCTGCCCACTTAATAGTGGGTGGTTGGGCTGGCCATACTATAACACGGAAGTGATAAATATCGACAAATCAGCGCATGGCGGCCTTTTTCATCTTTGCACACAAGTTCACAAGACACAAGTTCACAACACACAAGTTCACAACACATAACTGTATTGTCGGGGGGGGGGGGAGGGGGGGTGAGATGGAGCTTGAACTGAGTCACCTCAGATTCCAAGAATCCAAATTTTCTTCGATTTCCAACCACCCTAAAAGAAATGTTGCTCCTTGCTAATGTCACTCCACCTTCTTAGATGCCATCTAACTAACTTGCATTCGTATGTTACAATTCACCTACATTATGAACTTGTTTTCGTATTTTTATCCTTTTTATACCTTTTATTTTACTTATCCCCGACTCAAACTTTCATCGTACGTTAACGCGTGCCTCTCGCTTCAAATATGTTTTTAGTTCATGTTTGTTTGTGCAAAAGACCAGCAGGCAATGTTATGCACAAGTGCGCCATTTTAAACAACAACAGAGGCGGGATAGAACCTATGCTACCTGGTTTATTTGGTCCTTGTGCACAGCATGTGCACGATATCAAGCTGTCCGCTAATGGACAGAGCGCAGTGAACGAGCGCCTTTCCCCGGCTTCATTCAATACATCACCTGGGCCACAAATAGATTCCAGCCAACAGACGCGAACCTACCCCATCTTAAGGGCACCCACATTGGCGAGATGTTAACTACCTTGCCTGATATACAGGGGGTCGTGCTTTCGATCCAGACCCTGACGTCTGCTGTATATTTGGAGTTTGCATGTTCTCCCTGTTGCCATGTGGATTTTTCTCTGGGTCCTCCGGTTTTTCCCTCCATATTTAGAAATGTGTGTTTTGAGTGTTGGCTGCTATAAATTAACACATGATAGGGCACTTAATTGAGCTATTATTTGTGGCCAGGTCACTTCTGAAAGAGAGCTATTTAGCTTAGTGGGCCTTACCTGGTAAAATAAAATTCGTTTTTTTAAAATATAAAGTTACTTTCTAATCGCTCGTAGGTTTGGAAACGGCATAATACGTTTGATACACTGTGTATTGCCACTTAAAAATTATTGGCTATTATAACTCCACAGCATTTGCTTCAGTTTATCCATAGTCCCCTTGCATTCAAAACATTGTGGGATTTTTCTAACAACCTACAACTGGTTATGCCATGATGATGGGCCCTTACAATGGTGACACACTTCTATGATAAGTGTGCTCATGCTCTTTGTTTACCCATGAAAGTATCATCGATTCTCAAGACTCTTGTTCAGGAGGATCCTTAAATTGTGACATTAGGGTCATTGCCATCCATTGTTTTGTTTCCGTGTGGGAGTAATCTGGAATACCTGGAGAATGCACATCCACACAAGGCGAAACATATCAAAGCCATGTCCAGGCTGATTGAAGAATAACAATGACATGCTGCTGCCTCCAGTCCACCTTTGCCTTAGCCGAAACCTATAGCACCTGATTTTTACTGGTCGTCTCCCATTCACGTACTAACCAGACTGCGGTTTCTTCAGACGTTTGGTGCGTTCAGGGATATTTCTTAATTCCTTTATGGAAGACCTGTCAGTCGTTCTATATTTGCCAAGATGTAAAATGTACTTTAAAAAATTAATATCTATATCTGTTAACTCACCTGCTTAAACGGTATTAAAATAATATGCAGCCAAGACAGTACATCCTGAGTGTAGACTGCATATTGGGAGTGATCATACAGTACAACCTCTATTTTGGAAGCTATTGTACATACCCAAACTATGGACAATATATTAAAAGCACAGTATTGTAGTCTGCTCCTTCAATAGAGGAGGAACGGCAGAACTACACCAACTCTCTCCTGAAGGCCTTTCATGGCTAGCAGGCCTCGACATTGGCATTTAGCTCCTGAGCATATTGCCATCATATGCAAGAACAGAATATAATTTATTTACTCAAAATGCTAGAAAATCCAGGTGATTGTTATTATTACCACATGTATTAATTCATCGTAGTATTTTATTTTGTTTACTTGGCCCACTGCTTGTGATGGATAACATGTTATTTAATTCGTGTGAAGGAGATGAGTTGTAAATTTCCTGATGTCTCATGCGGAGAGCATTTTGGAGGTGCTTTGCTTTGTTCTGATTTGTAGCATTGATTCTTAACAGCGCAAAAAAAATGTGAAGTAAAAATAAACAAAGCACACACCAAGTGTCCCTGCTGAAGAAAGTTGGTCTGCCGTTCACAATTTATACTGCACTGGTTTATACTGATCGATTTGTTACAGCTTAGCTGTTTGCAATCAGATCGTCTTTGGACTTTGTGTTCAATTACAGATTTTGTTTTAAACAAGATACGGTTAATCCCCCTTCTTGCACCAAAAAAAATGCCATAAACCCTCTTAAGGCCCCTTTAAGTTTCCTACAATTTACGACTATTTTACATAAAGCTTAAAGAAATACAGCATACCCTGCCAAGCTTCCGCCAAAGCGTAAAATAAACTTGCTTCAAATAGTGTATATAACTCCAGTTTTAGATAACAGGGCATTGTTTTCCACTAATGGGGGCTTTGTTTAGTGGAAGTCAGGCTACTGGCAGCCAGAATAAAATGCAACAAAGTTAGCTGTTTTGTTTTGGGAGTAATAGGACACCTCCAGTGAATGTTGTGCATGACCTCTAGACAGGCTACTGCTGGGAAGTCGCCAACATTTAATGTGCAACTAGCTGGCCACCAATTTCTGCCAAATTTTCTCGAGAATTATTTATTGATTTTTTGCAGTTGACCGAGTTCCCACGGAGAGCTGACACGTGTGCTTTATTTTCAACTTTAATTGTTTTTTGTTCCACCACCCCCCCACACCACCCCTTGTAAACGACGACGTGCAAGACCCCTTTGCGTTTTAGTTTTCAAGGGACGCTGTTTCTAAATGTGTTTCACATTAACCTTTTAAGCATTTCCTGCAATACTGCAAACACATTTTGAGCAACATTGAAATTGTGCGTACACACGGCAACATGGGCGTACGGTGAAGTCAAAGATAATTTAAATTGACTACACGGTTTAGACTGCTCCAAAGGATTCAATAGAACAATTAAACTTAAATTCACGTGCCAATAAAGTCGGCATCAGTGCACATTGCAACGGAATGGTACAAGGGGCACGGAGCAGCAACAGGAATGAGAAAAGAAACCCATCATTACCTCAGCGGCTAACACCGGCCGAGCAGAGTAAATTGCAACCGCACGCAAAATAAAGTGCAACCGGGCGCAACGAATAAGCGAAAGAAGGATAAGTAGTAAATAAAATAAATAAAGTAAATGAATTGTCAAGAGTCTTCACAATAGAAATTGAAAAGCACGAATGACGACTATCATTCTGTATTGTTTCTCACTCCCTTGTCTCTGGCCCTACAACCCCTCCTCTTCGCCACGTTTCTCTCCACAGTTCCGGCTTGTGGTGAAGACGGCCCTCAAGCTCCTTGTCGTGTTTGTGGAGTACACAGAGTCGAATGCGCCTCTTTTCATCAAGGCCGTAAACACAACGGACAGAAAATCAGGTACCGGCGAAATGCTCCGTTCATGCGCACACGTGCGTGTTGGGAAGAGTGCACGTGGGCGTCTGTGTGTGTCCACTTTTTCCTGCAAACCCATAACATCTGGTCTGCCCTTTAACCTCCTGTCAGCAAGCCTTCACCACTGTGCTTGGCCTTAGAGTGCACGGAGCCTGGCACAGCCACTGAGGTGACATCACCACCACTTAGTGGTGAATGGGTGCTGTTGTTGCAGGCACACACAAGAATTATATAATTTTCGAGGATTTAACTATAATCATACATTTTCCATCGCGGGCTTTTGGACATTTCATTTTTCATTGTTTTTTTTTTCAAAGGCTCACCCTGAAGGAAAGATAGGATACGAACTGGTTTCAACTTTATTGTTCAGTAACATTTCATAATTATATAACCACATGAAACATAAAGGTGTAATAGCGTTAGCGGCGCGACAGTTCAAACATTGGTGCAAGTTTTTTTTTTTAAATCCCTGTCCATCCAGCGGTATAAATGAGTCCCCACTACAGTTGAATTGATCAACAGGTCACATGTGGTGAGGTAAAGCCCCGGGTACTCCCACGTCTTACGCACTGTCTGGTCGGTGTGGAAGCGAAGGCCAACTGATCCTCTGGAGGGTGCTCGACAGAGCAGCAGAGGCCCTTCTGACAGCAGTGGCGTGAGCGAGCAATGGCAGCTCGCACCTCTACCATTTACCTTCACCATCTAATCCTATGAAAGTGAGGTATGGTCAGACAACCCCCAATGACCAAAACAGCCTCCATCCAGCCGTGGTTTGACAAGGGTCTATCAATTAAATTCATTATATTAATCATATGAACATTTTCCGAGTTCTTACTTGACAATGAATTCATATGAACAATGAAATATGGATGTATTGAAAGTGGGTGTACGTGATGTGACTGCTTTACAATGGGTCTGTAATGTGTAATCGTTTTATTCTTCCAGGAGTTAAGCCATGGTCCAACATTCTGGCCATCTTGGATGAGAAGGATGGCATTGACACAGAATTGCTGGTTTTTGCCATGACGCTTCTGAACAAGGTATTTACTACTGCACCACATTAAGACATTAAAGCAATCCTCATGCTGGTCTATGCCGCATTTGGCAGATTCAGCATTTCCTGTTGATGGCATGGCTTAATTGGCATGATCGATGTACTGTAGACTGACTAGTCTATGCGGTATTGCTCACTAATTAAAGTGAGCAACGTCTTTATGTGGACTCCACCTTAAATGAAAGGCCTATTGCATTGTTTTCTCATAAAATATTAATGTCTTCTCACCTAATTTCTCTCACCCTCAGGGTCTGCAATTTGGTTTGGGTGCATCCCAGCTTTTTTTTAATTTATAAATATAGAATTTACAACCATAATTTATTCATGTTTAATCGAGCTTAGAGATAGGGTAAGGGCATAAGCCAAATTTGCGTCAAAAATGCTTTGAAATTTCACAAATGTAAAGACCTGCATTTGAGTAAACATTTTGAACTGTGAGCAGATAAAAACCAGCAAACTGGCATAAATTGCTTGGCATAAAATCCAGCGTATGTCCTTACACCTTACATAAGCTATCTTGAACATAAAATATTATAGGTGTAGGATTTACAACTATCAAAAATATATTGGCGTTATATGTGAGACCCTGTTATTCTAATGAACTATATAAACCTACTGGAAGCTTTTCAGAGCTGTTTGATGAGCTACAACGTACAGAGTGCTGCTTTGATTGGATGGAGACATGCAGCCATTGCCAGAAAACTGTGCATTAGCAGCTCTGGATCCTGGCTCTGAGCTTATAAATAAACAGGCTATATGGCACTTGTGCTTGTGCTGAGTAGCAGCAGATCATAGATAAAGAATACGTAATATTGAATTAACAACGCTTAATCATAAAAAGGCACAACAGGCCAAAAACATTGCTGTGTGGCTCCATGCACAATCAGATGTGAGTGGTTCAGCGACGGCAGACAAAACATTTCTCGAGACCTACGTTTTATACGAGCTGCTTTACGGCCTGTGGACACTCACCGGTTGGCAACTACGCAGTGCGAGCCACCAGTCGAGCCACTCCCCACCGCCTCCTCCTCTTCCTCTCACGATGGAGCCTGCTAGTGAAGGCCAGCCCCAATGGCTGTCAACATTTCGCTCGCCTGTCAAGAGCCGTCTGCGGTAGCCCCTCAACGGCGAGCGCGCTCGCGAGCGTCCGCGCTTGAACCCGCACGGGGCCAGAGCGGACTGACCTCACACGTCAGAATGCGCTCGATCACTGGCACAAGCCAGACTTTGCAAAATGTGTACAAGTGGGAGCGGGGTTTATAGTGCTGTGCCAGGCTGCAACGAGGTGCAGGGTTTGTATGTGGGGGAAAGCGGTGATGCGGCTGGTGAGCACACTGCGCTATTAATCTAGCGAGTGGAGTTCGATTACTGGCCACGGCTAGCATTTATAGCATGTGATGTCTGAACTGGTCGTGATCCCCGTCTTTACTAACCTGCAATGACCAGAAAGGTCAAAACCCTCGATGATTATGGAAGACTTCATCAAGAAAGTGAATTTACACAGGTCTGTAAATTACTGTTGTAGTTAACATAGAAGGCGGAATGGAAGAGACAAATTTCCCTGTTGATTTTGCCGGTTCCGTTATTGTGCCGCTGTTGGCAATTTTAACATGCCAACAAAAAAAAGTTATACTTCATTTTCAGTGGTGCACAAGCACAAGTAACAAAAACATCTCAGCAAATGAGTCAATTACACTGCCTTAACAAAGCCATGGAGTGTTCCTCATTGTTAGGTGGTTGTATGGACCCAATTAATCTCTATGCGCAGATACATTAAAGACCTTTCACTTGACTGCGAGAGTTAGCGGAAAGTAGCTAAGTAGCAAATAGAGTTAGATTCTTATACAAATCACATTTTTCTTCTGATATAACCTGGAAATGTGAATTTACTGGAGTAAAAACGTCAGCATATTTCGTTTAAAGCGACTTGTTAAATTATATGCACGGGCTTTCACGACCAATATTGTGATTAATAATTAATTTAGTTTGGGTTAGGTCGTCGTGTGGGCATGATGTAAAAAAAAAAAAATGGAACTATAACCCTGCACCACCTAATTGGCTCCGGTGGGTTGAGCTCAACCGGTACTTATCAAATTGCAAGAGGGCCTGCAAACACAAAAAAAGAGCTCGAGGTCCCAACACTCTATCGTGTAATCATGGAAAATCTCCAAAGTGCTGCTACGCGTCGCCGAGACAAATAATAAGGGGGAGGGGGGGGGAGGGGGGGGGGGTGGACTGCATTATTGATGTGCAGACTTGGCATGATCGTGCGCCTGTGTGTGTGTTTTCCTCCGTCTGCAATGCAGACCCTGGCAGTCCTTCCAGACCAGGACACGTTCTACGACGTGACGGATTGCCTCGAAGAACAAGGAATGGAAGCCATCGCGCAGAGGCACCTGGCAAAACGTGGCGGCGACCGGGACCTGGCGGAGCAGTTCGACATCTACGAGGTGTGTACGTGTGTGTGTACGTACGCTGAATTTCTGTCGCACCATACATAGCCAACCGTGATAATCGGAGGTGCGGGCAGGGGCAACAAACTAATCACTGACAGAACTTTTAGAGAAATTCGTTTTTAATCTAGATTTTTTTTAAAAGTGGTGACGCTCGGCAGTGCTTGCACGTTATGTACATTTGGTGACTCGTTTCAAACCCTGGCCGTGGCAGTGTTTCTCTCGCTTCTGGTCATTACACCTCCGATTAGCACGGTTGGCTACGTAGGGGGTGAAAGAAGTTCAACATATGTACATTATTAAGATCCCCCCACCACACCCCCCCCCATTGTGCTCCTTTCCGTGATCACCAGCCATAGAGTGTACACACTATTCATATGCATTGGCTTGATTTGCGCACGAATAGATTAAAGATTGGTGAACCTGAAATTAACTTTTAATAGTACGGTGGGGGGGGGGGGGTCACTATGACTGGCGCTTGAGCAAAATACTTTGTTATTCGGATAGCCTGGCACAGCTCGGCAGTTACTTTCCCATGCCATTGCTGGCAGAAAGAGGGCTCCACTAGAGAGACCTTAATATCGCCCTTCTACAGAGAATTTGGCATGCTCTTTCACGTTGCCCAGATGTCTCACATAAGGTGGTGGTACCCGCACTGTACCTCACGCGAACTGAACCTTATGGCGGGTCCCCGGGGTCCCGAATAAACGGAAGTCAAAAATCGGAATTAATTTATTTACTTTTGGCGACTCCGTCCCACCCCGCGCACATAAACGCCGCGACCCACCGGAAATCAATCCTCTCTCGTTCTTCACCAAGCACCCGTCGTTGCGAAATTGCCGTGTCGGGCTCGTCGAGAGGAACAGATCGCCGTATTGTTCGCCTTCAACAGACATAAAATGACGTCGCAACGCAGTTTTACGCAAGAGCCGGGGGCTTATGGGACCCCGGGGTCCCGCCATTAAGGTTCAACTGTCGATTAACTGTGGTGTACTCATTTATCCTGATGGGCGGCGGACACAGGGGGGTGGATTTTTTTCAAACATGCCCACCGTTTCAACTGCAAAGCCAAGAGGCCAAACCGGTTACCTCTGGACTGCGAATCCAGGATGCTGTCCACTGCATCCCAGCAGCATCCCTTGGGTGGCCTGGATCTACAGTTATGTTATTCTCGCCGAGGTGGCATTAGTAAAACGAAGATTATTTTAAACAACAATCTCATTTAATGATCCAATAAAGCCTCAGTGAATTTCCCGCATTGGGATATTAACTGTTCACTTAAGGAGTTGGCCAGTGTCTTCTTGCTGGTGTCCTGGCTCAAATGTTGAAACTACTCACATTGGATCACTTAAATAAACTATTATGTCCCTGTTGTTGCTGGATATTTAACACGTGAGTAAAATACAAATAACGCCTTTTCAAGTAATCCTATGGAAGGAATAGTTTGTGGCGGTCTGGTGCTAATTTTGAATGTTAATTAAATATAGAAACACACGACTAGAGTCGGGCTGGCTGGATCTTGCAAAAATCATACTCGAACAATTCCCACAACTGCAGTATGGCCTTCACACAGGAGGGGATAGACAGAGGGCTAAACGGTATTTCTATTTTTATTCATCAAATATATATAAAAGCGCACATACAGTATTTATGTATACATATGTACGACCAATAAATTTCAGCATACATCCATTATGCACCTCTACATATATATTAAAAAGTATTTGTCAATTGGAATATTGGCATTCCAGACCAACATTACATTGGATCTTAGCACGCTAAACTCTGGACCGGTTTTGACCTTCTGGGTCTCATCAGCAGAGTCGGGCTTATATTCTTAGTTCTTTCGGTAAAGTCACGTTGAAGGGAAACAATAAAATAATAAAAAATATATAAAACAAAAAAAATTCTCACGACGTTTTGACCGTTTGTGTTTTGGTCGAAACGTCGTGAGAATTTTTATTGTTTTATATATATTTTATTACTTTATTGTTTCCCTTCAACGTGACTTTACCGAAAGAACTAAGAATATGAATAACTGCAGTCACGAAAGCTTTAAATCAGAGTCGGGCTTGTTCATCAATAACGCCTTTTGGTCTGGGCAGACCACATAGGGTGGCCTTGCACTAAAATGACCAAGGCTCCCCCTGCCTCTCTCGTCGTTAAACCACAGCTTTGACATTTATCACATGTGCTTACAATTTGCCTTGTTTACAACTGTGGTATTGTGGAGACCTAAGCATAGATATTATTAAATTCTTGTGACGCAATTTTTGCATGTTAGTAAACACTTGATAAATATTACACGTTTACACTAAAGTCATGTCAATCAAATCACAACAGATGAGTAGGATGGGTTATGCCACAGATGTATTCTTGGAAAAAGTTTGTTGTATGAATGTACGTTGAACTTCTTTCGTACCATATGTAGCAAATCGTGCTACTCAGAGGTTCGGGGAAATTACAACAAACTAAACAAAAAAAGGAGTTCGAAGGAATTGAGTTTTCAATCTAGATTTAAAAGTGAATAGCTCCAATGGTTTCATAGTATCGGAAGGAAGAGCGTTCCAGACAGCCTCAGGAGTGAATCTGAGAGCGGGCGATGCAACGACCGGCTTTGTTCGACGGTTAGCCAAAAGCCGCTGTGAAGATGACCGGTTTCGATGTGGGCCACACGATATGAATAGTTTTTTTCTTTTCATTCGTACAGTTTTCTTCACCCCATGCGCTCCATTAGCTTAAATGTCAGGTAAAAGTGCAGCCCTCCTTTTGATCGATTATGCCACTGCAGGGAAGTTTCATAAAGCCCCGGCCTTCTCTTCCACATTGGTCAAATACCTTGGAAGAGGTGGATGTAGCCACGCTTTACGTGCGACCTGATGATCAACTGACTGTGCTGTACTCATTTATGCTGCTGAGTGGACATAGGCAGTGGAGGGATGTTTACCAAACCTACCCATTGTGTCAACTGCCGTGCCAGAGACTTAATGGAACCTGCGACCTCTGGATTGCAAGTCCAGTGTGTGATACCAGCACACTATGGCAGCACCCAGATTACATGTAGTATCAGTATATCATTTGCGTGAATTGTACGGAATTGATTCTCAACCTGCATGATTCGATGCATGTGTCACGAGCGTGAGTCCATTTTTTGTGGCGACGTGGTCGAGCGGTAGCACAATCGCCGCTTGTGTCAGAGCTCCACGGATTCTGGCAGCCTTCCTGATGGTTACTGCGGGCATAAAAAAGTTCTGTGCTTGCCAGTGGATGCTAAAGATCCCCTGACATCATTCGCCAGAGTAGGCCATTGAGTGTCGCCGTCAGGGTCTAAATTTGCCAAATTTCAAAACTCTCCATCAAATTACTCAGTTGGGTTTACACACATAGCAGCAAACACCACCACCACCTATTGGCAGACAATCATCTTCACTAACCTGCTTCCGTTCCTCCCCTAAAACCCATCTCTTCTCCCTAGCCAATCCTACTGCTACTCCCTGCCCCTGCACCCCAGCTATGACCAGGCCTACCCCAACTCCTATAATTACGTAACTATAATTACACCAACTCCTATCACTACTCCTATTGCTACTCCAACACCTATCACTACCCCAACCCCCATCACTACCCCAACCCCTATCAGTACCCAAACCCCTCCTGAACCACTCTCACCTGTCCTCCTAACCATCACCATAACTCCTCCACCACTTTTAATAACAACCACACTCTTTAACTCAACCAATATCATCATCTTACGTACAATTTTCTAATTGTTGTAAAGCGCCTTTGTGGAATAAGGCACTCTATAAATCTATATAAGACAAGGATAAGACTAATGCTCCAGGTCATCATCATCATCATCATGGTCCGTGGGCAGATAGCCCATAGGTGTCCACTGTGCATTTCGTAATTTGTTTCCACTTTCCTCTGTCTTGTGCCAATATCCTCAAGGAATACACATCTTTCTGGCACCAATATCTTCATGTCATCGTCAAGCCATTCTCTGTTACGTCGTCCTCTCTTTCATATTCCTTCCATTTTTCCAAAGAACACACTTTTAATTTTCCTCTCGTTGTCCACCCTACATACGTGTCCAAATAGTACCAGTTTACATCTCATCACTGCCTGCATCATCAGGTCTTCTTCTACACAACACCGGGATTAAGACTAATGCCCCACGTCGCTCTCACAAATTGGACCGCGTCCTGGTCTCTGGACTTCTGAGCCGGTCTGACAAAGGGAACCGGATTTTAAAAACGATCCTTTCCGACGCGCCGTCGCCTCGGCGCAGGTGGCCCTGCGCCTGGAGGACGGCGACACCGAATCCGGAGCGGCCACACCGGCGAGCTGCCGCAAGGAGCGCCGCCGCACGTCGCTCACGGGCGCCGTCTCCGCCGCCGCCTCCTCCGCCTCCTCCTCCTCCGCCGCCGCCGGCACGGGCGGCGGAGAGAAGCGCGGCCTGGAGCGTCGTCGCAGCCGGCGCCACAACTCGGCAGGCAGGGGCCGCTCGCCGACGTCGCCGGTCGCCCCCTCGGCGCTCCCGGCCGGCACGGCGAGCGCCGCGGCCGGCGACTCGGCGTTCGAGAACGGCGCGGCGCGAAGCGCTCCGCCCTCGCCCGCGCTCTCCTCGCAGTCGTCGCGCAGCAGCCAGAGCACGGCCAACGGCCGGGACGATGGGGACGTCAGGTACGGCGGCGGCGCTCGCGCGGCTCGCACCTTCGTGCTAATCGGAGGTGCGGGCGAATGTGTGCGTGTGTGTGTAGTAGTCAATCGTGCCAATTTGAGGTGCCGGGGGAAGGACAATCAGTCCATCAGGACGCGAGTTGCAAGAGTTCTATCGAGGCTGCGGTTTTTTTTTGTTGTTGTTTGTTTTTTGTTTTGGAAAGATAGCCACGTGGGACTTTTGGCTTGAGTGGTCGACTCAGAATTGGAAGGTTGCGAGATTAAAACACCAGTCAGGTGTGCGTGGACTACTCAGCCCATCCTCCGTTGCAGAGTTGATAAATGGGTACCGCGTTGTGAGGAACGCGATGGTCGTAGTCTCAGGAAGAGGTCGATTCCCTCTCACCATGGGAATGTGGCATTTTTACCACTGGCTGAGGACATCCACTGGGGATAAGCATGGAGACACTTTGGCTTTATGCTTTACGAACTTCAACATATTAATTAGAACTGGGACGACCCAGTGGTTTAATGAGCTTGTCGACAATGTGGGAGACAGCAAGTCTTCAGCATATTGAATCTCACTGACTGATACCCGCTCATGTCAGAGACCAACACGAAACTGGTGATGTAATTTGGTAGGAAAACATTTTGTTTGGTGTTATGGTACAGTCATTAAATGTACCCACTCATTCTGAATTTACTAAAGTAAATACATATCATCATACTTTCCTTATATTCTTGCCAGAGTAAAACGCTGTCTTGTGTTTTTTTATGAATAGAGGATTTTTACTCTGCCAAAATGCCTGTTTAAACAATAATTGGCATACAGATGACTAATGAATGAAAATAAAAGCTGTTGCAGTTGACCAAGAAAAACTGAAGTGGTTTCCAGTGCTTAGTGCATAAATAACATGTCCATCAGAAAGGGTGACAATGTTGTTTGACTCGTGTTGTATTGTCAGGGTTTTTAGCAATCAAGGGGAGCGCTGGTGTAGCGATTAGTGCGCTTGCGCCAAGAACTTGGCAACACAAGTTCGATTCCCGCTGACGGCCAACACCAGTGATGATTATCTGAACCGGTCCTGGGCCTCCCTTAGGTTGACTTAGCCTTAAATTAGTACCTGGTGCGGTGTGTAAACATCGTCACTTGGGAGGCAAAGGCGGCCCGGGTGTGGTGCTGCCAACCCACCCCCTCGTGTGTCGTGCTGGCCTTCATGAGTGGTCGCTCACGGCACTTGCCCTAAGAGTCTGCTGAAGGCTATACGGGGAACTTTGCCTTTATCTTCTTTAAAGCAACAGTTTTATTTAACTAAACAAGAAAAGAACGCTATGGGACCACTAAAGTGAACTGGTGTTGGCTCACGTGGTCTGATCCGCCGCGTATGTGTGATGGTTCTCAGGCCCATTTTTACACTCGGAGTCCTCATGTCATTTTGTGCCAAGTCAGCTCACATTAAGTGAGCTTATTCCTTAATGGCCAAATGTATTTTCTCGCGTGAGGTTTGGGGGACATTTGGAACTTGCATTGCTTTGTTTCTCATTGCTGCGAGAGTTATGATTAATAGGTTATATGGACTTGCAAAGGGAATTATTTCGCCGCTCAGCTCGAAGTAACGCAAATTAATTCCCACCACGGAATTTTTCAGTCACAGCGGGATGCCAGGTCGTAAAACACGCTTATCTGACTCCGTCGCTAATCTTAGGAAAAGCACGGACAGCATGTACGCTGACCTAAATCTTTTTTGCGAATCATTCACGACCAGTTTACTGGCGCTGGCTTGGAAATATTTAGTGGTCTCTGGAAGTAAAATAACAAAGCCAGTGGAGTTTTAATGTAGAAAACAAGATGCGATCAGTATGTCACTTCTAATGTAACAGAAGGCTATTTTGCATCCTTTAGATTAGCCTATCTTTGTCCATGGCTCCAGGCAGAAAGTATTATTGCTCTATGCTGTTTTTTTTTAGGAAATGCAAGTGGAAAACAAAAGCATGGTGCAGTCTAAACAAACTCGGGACGTTATTGCAGTCCATGAAAACTGTACGTGATGCTGGCTTTGTTTCAATAGCTCGTAGAGAATTCTTGAAGTATGAATCACTTCAGTAACATTTCTGGCATAAATAGGTACCACGACATGAGATAAAAAATGGATTAAAGTGACAGTGAAACTTCCTGCGCCGCTTTCCATGCTATATTTCTAAGTATGAAAAACCGGAGTTACTTCCAAGGTTGGAATGAAAATGGATGTCGTGTGCACGGTGCCTGAATTGTGGCCGAACTTTGCGCTAAATCTCAAAGCAAGGCGACCGCGAGTCTGGAATAACCAAAATGTCCAAATAAGAGGCAGTTTGTGGCGTGTCCAAATTCAGCAAATAAAACGTGAAAAGTGTGTTTTGCTAGGAATTCTATCAATCATATGTAAGGTAGCCACTTTGAACAGAACAAAAATTCGGTAATTTTTTTTGTTCTATGCTAGATATTACAGATGTGAAAAGATATGTTCATACTCTATGGATTAGAAGACACTCCCGAAGGTAAAATGCACCCAAAACTTGTAGCCGGTGTCAAGAAAGTTACGCAGAACAGTCATGCACATACACGTGTGCGCCTACGGGTTATATGACGCCCTCCCCCCAGGATGGTGTGACGTTTATTACAGAGAGTACGGTAGTAGATATTTGTAGGAAAAAATGACCATATGATAGACTTGAGATTTAAAAAAATATATATTTGCATTGCATTTTGGCACAACAATAGGAATCTTTTTTTTTTCTCAGTGATTATTGTAGCACAGGTCCCTTTGTAAAATCCACATCTCTCATTTCCTTTGCATGCATTTTCATTTCATTTAATCTGCACATTGCAGGGTAGGTGGGAATATTTTATTTAAAGCATATGCCTCTGAGGCCCAAAGAATGACTAAGAAAAGCTAAAACTTAACTCGGTACGAGGGCTTTCGTGCCGATCAGTGGGATGAAGGATTGAGGATTTTCCAGGAACCTCATCCAGACTTAACCACACGTCTGCCGGCATGCGTGTGGCAGACACAAAAGTTCCGTGGTTGCTAAAGTGCTTAGTTATTTTTCATCTACCGCGCAATGGGTAGGTGACTATCGGCATCTCGGTAATGGTGAATGCCTCTCGTGTCTCATGGAAATATGGTACTTCTCTCATGTGAAATATAATGGGGCTTGCGGTGTGCTTCGTATATGCTATGTCGGAAACCACATTGTGGTTGTGTAGTTCTAATGAGCACAACTGCCAACTTAATGAATAATACCGGATAATAAATAATACAAACTTCAAATGAAACAGCCTATGACTCAAAGGTTTACATATTCGCTAAGGCCACATTGGAAATCAGATTTTATTTTTTTACTCCAACTGCGCTGTTGTGGCACAGAAGCCATGAGCTTTGTGACTTTAATAATATATTTTATATTTTTTCCCCATGCAGTATTGAATATGACCTTCACAACATCAGCACTTTTAACCAAATGTATTTTGGTCACTCAAGTCGTGTGCGCATGTATGTGAACAAAAAAAAAATGGAATGCTCGGTTACTTCGATGTGATGGAATCTGTTAGCAAATGTCAAAAAACGTCAATGTGGAACACGCGACGCTACAATCCAGCCGTGCCATTTAGCAACTCAAGTGTCCACTCAAGACGGGCCCAACGCCAGAATTTTTCCTGGGAGCTGTCAGGGGCAGGATGTGAGCAGGCGGCACCGAGACGGGCCTTGTCTCTGGGCCAAGGCGTGCTATCTATCTGGGCCTCCCACCAGCACTCAGGCTGCGCTCAGAACGTGACGTCACACGGCACTCTCAAGTCCGTTTTGTCCTGCATCACGAGCTGCGGCGCGGACGGCAGAATCTTCCCGGTCTGGCCATAAACAAGTTTAACATCAAATGAGAGTCTCTTCTTTTTTTTTATTATTAACCATAAAGTGGACTCATTGATGTTCACTGACTTGTTTAATTTGTGTTTAAAAGTTCAAGCTCAATTACGGCAATTGTGAGGCCAGCATTGCTTCAAAAAGAAGAAGCAATACTGGCCATGTGTTTTTTATTTTTTACCTACGTGACTTTACCGAATAGAACCAAAGAGCATATTGTTTTTAAGGTTAGCATTTATTTGTTCTTTTCCAGGATGATGGCAATTCTTTTGTGAGGCGTATATTTGGCATTCACATCTATCTATTGGACAGCAGTTCCCTCCAACAGAAACTTATCCAAGTTCTAAACGCATTTTATCAAAACATGATCTTACATTTCATCACTCCAAACACTTTTCGTGCATTAAACACATACATTTTATGTTTTATTATGAAGCATCCTTGAATGATGATATATACATTTGTGTAGCTTTGTTGATATCTTTTTGATTGCGTATTACTCTGATGTATCTTTACGAGATTCTAGCTCGAAACTTGGGGTACCCAAGGCTTTTGTCAATACCATTATGCTTGCATTGTTAGGTCAGCATGCTTCATTATAGTTTCCAGAGCGCACTTTCCATTAGATCAGCCAGTGATTCCTACTCTTCATGTCACTCAATAATCTCCCCAAAGAGTTCCAAACCGTCAGTTATACCACAGCAATTTAGGGATAGTGTTCTACGGTGGACCGATGATAACAGGCTCGGCTATTATAGTAAATGGTTCTGTAGTCTAGGAGGAAAGTGCATTTTTTTTTACAATTGAATTTGCATTTGGAGGACAGCCCTGGAGTGAGAAGGCCACGCTGAGATCCAGCGCTGTCCTCCAGACAGTCTCGTCCCCTTCACCTGATGAAGGCCGCTTGTGTTGTGACTGAAACGTCGTGAGAATATTATTGTGTTATTTTATTTGATCAATTTATTATTTTATTCTCATTCTACGTGACTTTACCGAAAGAACCAAAGAAGATGAATCCTTGCAGTCACGAAAGCTTCAAATCGAAATTTGCATTTTTTAAAATGAAACGATACTAACCTAAGATTGAATGCAATTTTTTTTATGAAATGACCCGAACCACGTTTTAATTTTTTAAAATATTTCTTCCTCAAATTATTGCCGCTGAATATTCGTGAACTTGCCCGTGCCTTATTTTTTTTAGGTAATCATCCTTAAGCATGAAAATAGTATGTTTGCTTTCTTCAAAGTACATTCATATAACAGGATTTTAAGAGAGTTATTTATATAATATTTTGGCATGTGTTGAAGTTCATAAAAAATGTATTTTTTTGTTTAATTGGACAAACATAACATTAATTAAGTAAACTCAAATTAGTGGTATAAGCAAATGTTTTACATACATGTGTGGTTCAATAAGGATCTCATAAGTATAAAAAACAACTAACGAAAATCACACAACATACAATGTGTTGCCAAATGTGGGCATAATGCAGCCCATTTGGTCAAGTACATTTTAATATTGTGATACAAATTTTTCCGAAAACCCGCCAAGCTTAAGGAAAGTTGGCTGGTGATCTGGTGCGGTAATTTTTCGCAAAAAAGAGGCCACATTTTCTCGTGCCGGTGTGCTGTGTTGGGTTTGGCAACGATCATCGACCGATGTTGGGAGAACTCCAGGCCACCAGGGTACAGGATACACATTCAGCCTATTTCGCCGGGAGTTTGGTACAATTAAACTGTAAAAACTATCAAAATACACATGAATGTTTGAGAAACACCACTTTACATCTGACTTTATGACTGCGCGTAGGAAACAAAACGCTTGTGGAGCAATGACCGTGCCATTAAATTGTAAACCCAGCATTTTATAAGGTTGCCAGTTTGATATCCTGACCCTAAAGAAACTTATATAAAATGGACGTTATTCTTCCCAGCTAAGCATGGTCGAGGGTCCGTCATTAAATGTCAGATTACCATGTAAATAAATTAACAAAATAAATTGACAACCAACACTTCATTGTTAATCTTGACTCTATTGCAATGTACGCCTTAGGCTTCAACAGTTTGATAGGATGAGTGGATTAATTTACCATTGCATTGTAGCTGGCTTTCATTCACCTTAGCCCCAGAGGTTACATGTGCCAGAAACATGAATGCACATAAAACTCTCGGTAAAGAATGTCTTTATTGAATTATTTTACAAAGGAATTCACTCTTTTGTTGCGATGTTACATTCCAAAACAATCATTTTGCAATAAGTCTACAGTACAAAGAACACAGATGTCAAACTTCATAAATCAAGTTTATCAACAGGCAACTGTGCCAGCGTTCATGGCAATCTCAATGTGTCATTCCGCATCTTGGTTGTTCTCATAGGCATTACTCATTACAAATAATACATTGTTATTTCTGTTGCACTTTTTCACTTGTGCATGCAAATCTCTTCATTCCATCCTAACTTTCCTGACTGTTGTTTCCTGTCGCCTTGTTTTCATTTTATCGGTTTTATTTCTTCTCTCCCTCCTGTTTTTTTCTTCTCCTGTTGGATCTTTGTTGTCTGTGTCTCCTGATTTCCCATTGCCACCCACCCATCCCCATTGCCAAACGTGTCCATTCGTTCGGGCCTCAAAATCGCGCAGAGAGGGTCGCGATGAGGAAGAGCCAATCACAGAACCTGATACTGATGATGAATGTGGTGCTGGTGCTGAGCCGACCAATGAGAGGTAGCAGAGTCTGTGCACAGGGAGGAGTGTGATCGCACCTCAACATGGCATGCGTTATTTCACGCGAGGCTGTCAGTAGGGCTGTGCATTTGGATGCCCTTTGGATTTCTACCCAAATATTTTGGCTACACTCTTAACGGCGCACTGTTAAAACACTAGGGATTTGCAAAAGAAAAAAAATACATTTCAAACAAAACTCTTAATCGTCACATAATTACACAAATATGAGCAGGCAATTAATCCTGGGTTTAAGTAATTTCTATTGGCTACTAAAGTGTTGTTTTATTATGCTGGTTGTTTGATAAAACAAGTAACATTGCTCTTATTGTAATAATCTTTTTAGCTTTTTTAATGGCACTTTTCACAAAAACAACTAACATCTTACATGAGAAAATACTAATGTTTAACTTTATTAACCATGAACACACTTTTTTTTAATCATTTTTTTGTATCTTTTCATTACTTTTTTGGAATGTAATTTCATTTTTATAATTGTATATGTTCACGGTTTAATGCTTTATGCTATTCATTTACAAAAACAAAATATTTGGGGATCGATTCTATGAAAACATTGACATTTTTGGACATTTTACAAGCAGGCGATATGAATCCCAAACAAATGTTCAATAATAGTTTTTTTTCCAGAACAAAAAATTCGACTCGACCTAAAAAAAAGTTTCATGTCACCATGGACTCCCTGCAAAATATCCAAATAATTAAGGCAATGCTTTCCTGTACTGAATTTCAATGCATTATCCTCTGCCTCATTTTGCTATTTGTGTCTTGCCAAGAATTCTAACATGAACCTTTTTTCCCCCCCTTTTTTTCCCAATTATTTTTTTTTAACTAAAGTCTTGCGGTTTGCTCTGAGACGAATGACTGCTGCTTCGAAGCGGACGCTAAATCATCCCCTGGCTCTGCCCTGACCAAGTCGCTGCCCCTCGTGCAAAATGCCTCCTCCTGCATGCCCGCTCCGGTGCAGCGCCTCTCGATGACGCCATCTCCGTTACCGCCTTCCTCTACGCCGTCTTCTCCATCGCCGCCACCGGCGGCCGCGTTGCCCGCGCCCGCAGCGACGCTCCGGTCGCGGGCCGCGACCCCGGCACGCCACGCTGCTAACGTCTCGCCTGCCGCCCTGCCCGTTAGGCTGCCGTACGTGCCCAAGTCTCCCTTCCACCTCTTCAGCTATGAGCCCATGGACAAGCCGGCCTCCCTGCGCGAGCGTCAGGACGAGGCAGCAGCTGCGGCGACAGCGGCCGGGACTCCGGTGGCGGCTAGGTAAAAGGGTGAGGGGTAGCCGCTACGGTCGCAGCGGTGTGGAGGCCAACAGGAATGCGATTTTTGACGAATACGATCATTCCAAAATTTGTTCACGCATGGGCCGCCGATTCGGCATGTGACGATCCGACAATTCAACTCAATTCGTTCGTTTGTGTTGCTTGTGTAACATCGTGGATTTGATATTCAATTTTTTTCATGGATTCGCATGATTACTGCAGCCACTAGAGGTGCTACATTGACCGTAGTGTTAAAACATCATTCTTGAACCCGAATTGTGGTAATTCACTAAGTTGCTCGGTAATTGATTATTTACATGGCTACTTTTTTATACACGGATGTCACCAATGTGCCTTCTAAAATATAGCAAATGATTTGGTGATGCTGCATTGGCTGTGGTGAAAAATATGTTATCGGTGATGTTTCTGGTAATGGCCCTTCTTAATTTCACGTTATTTAACAGACCAGCGCATAACAAGTGTTGGAAATGTCACCTTATACCATCAGCCATTGCTTGAGATGTCACCTATTTCATATTTCTTTTTCCTTTTAAAGCAGTATTATTGACGAATGTGTTGAGTTTGTTTTACTCAAATATACACCACTACATTAATACAGCGTTTTATGTTTTCTTCCAAAGTTCATACAATGAGTGCTTCTTTGTTGGTAAATAAAAAAAAAGTGGTGATTCTATGGATTGAATGGGGAATCTCCAACTTTGGCTCAGAGCTAGAAAGGGAGATGAGTGCTAACCCCATTATTTCAGCACGGCGATGCTTGGATATGATTGTAGATTATTATTAAAATGCAAAAACGTGTATTCAAATTAATTGACCAATTTATCCCCACGCATCAGTCTCCAGGAGGCAAAGTGATGGAAGCTCAAATGAGGCATTTACGTTTATTTTTTTTACTTCGATATTAACAAAGGATAGTTGGCAAGTATCTACTAAATTATAATAATGTGATATATCTAAATGTGACAATCCGTTGGTCTTTCATTGAAAAACGTGGTTATGGCTGTGTCAGTCTCTGATTGGCTCAGATGGTGACATCGGATTGGTAAGAAATTAGAAGAATGGTTAAATGGGTGATAATGATTCATTCAGATATTAAGTTTATATTTGGTATTGGATGTCATTTGTATTTGACGGGAATGTATTTTTATTCCATAATCTTTGGTTCTTTCGGTAAAGTCACGTGGGTATAAAATAAAATAAAAATAAATCACGACTGTTTCTGCCTCTGCAGCAGACTATGGTTTCCCACCTGATGATGGATGCTTGTGTTGCGCCCGAAACGTCGTGATTTATTTTGATTTTATTTTATACCCACGTGACTTTACCGAAAGAACCAAAGATTCCTGCAGTCACGAAAGCTTCAAATCAAGATATGTTTTATTCCCTTTCAAATAACATCTCAAGAGGTTCAGCATGCCAGCCTTTTTTTCACCAGATTTGCAAACCCAGTATTTTTCAGTGTAAATGTTGCCTTTTTTGTTTGTAGTAATACACTCATGAATCCCTGGTAGTTATTTATGGTGCTTTTCATTATGGAGGACGATTGTTTAGTTTTGTTGTTACACTTAAGTTGTATTGTTTTGCTTGTTATGCTGAAGAATTGCCATGCTGTTAAAAATTGGCAGAATGTTAATGTGCGGGAAATTATTTATTGATAATATCAATACTGGTTTAAACCTAATTTGCAATGTGTTTTTTTTACGTCAGATTTTAAAAGATGGCATTTTTATCCTCAAATAAATAACCAAAAAGATCGGCACCCCTGGCATGAAATTCAGGATCTCAGAACAGTCGGGACAAACTTGTACTTTCCCCGTATAATATTGGCACCTTGGAATCTTTCTTTGAACATATTTTTCCACTCATTGTGCAGTTATTACCCTTTAAAAAACAAATTACTTTAGGCAGTTTCATGCCTAAAACAAATATATCACTCGCAATACCAACTCAATTATGGCATTTTCCAAATTAATGTGTTTCGTGTATACATTTGCTGTCAACATTTTCTGAGCCAAGACAATGGCCACCAAACTGGTGTCCTCGGAAAGCTCCTCAACCTTTCGACCTTCGTTTGGCCTTTTGCCTCTGACTTGCATGCAAGCTACGCGAACTATTGTGCATTTGTCTTTCCCTTTGGCACTTTCCTCCTTTAGCTTGGCAGCCTCCGAGAGCGGTTCACGACTCTTGGAGCCATCACATGATCCTTTCGCTTCCAAACCTCTTCGCTTCGCATCTAGTTTCACGTTCACTCCAAACCGGTAAAGCCTTTCACGTGCTGGCCGGCCCTCATAAAGCAGCATGCACTTGCATGCGCATAAAATCAAAGGTGGATTTGATTTTCATAATCTGAGGAAATTTAGGGAGTGATTTTAGGTCAATGTTATGACTACAATTGATAGTACTGAGCTAACTCCTTTGAGATGCTGGTTTCCTATTGCAGGGTTGCTGGTGTTATATTCCCATTCACCAGTGACTGCACAATAGATGCATGCCAAACTAGTGGTTGCTTTTGATGTAGCTCTCACGAGACTCAAAGGAGCATGATGTGCAATGGAAATAAAGTGAAGCAAATACTTTCCTTAAAATAAAAAAAACATATTCTGTTCTCGGCAATACAGGTCATTTATCTATTGGCAGGTAACATGTGGTGGGGTGCAGAGTGGGTATTCCCACCTCTTCCAAGATGTTTGGTCAACCTGGAGGTGTAGGCCAAATTCCTTCTAGAGGGGCCTTTATACAGCTCCCTCTAGTGGAGGTGCGTCCACCAGCCGTGGCGTGAACAAACAATGCCAGGGCTGTGCCTTTACCTTTTACAAGATAACTAACGGAGAATTAATTGGACGCGACACATGGGAGAGGTCCCGTAGTATCTCGTTGCAGTCCTGTTCCCTGGCAGCGTAACGTGCTCTCCCTTCGGAGGGGATTCGCTTTATAAAATAAGTTCTGCAAACTCATGCTGATAGCACATTGGCCAAACAACAAAAATATAATTATTAATAATAATAAGCGTTTCCGTGTTCATCTGTCCAACAAGACAAAGTTGGTTGGGCATATTGCCGATGACACGTGTGTCTAATTTAATCAACGCAGGATGTGTGCGAAACTTATTTGATTGAATGTGGCTCACAGTATTGTGCCTGGCATCGGGTTCGTGCATGGCTCTGCTTCGCTCACCGTGCAGATGACCCCTGAAGGTCACGTTAGCTTTGGCTGCTCATCTGTCCTTTCGGTACAACCGCATGCTTATTACACAGAGATTATACAAGCGTTCCTCTCTTCGCTATTTTCATGAAATGTGTAATCGTTTTTAAATGTGGTTCTTTCAAGAACTTAAAAAAAAACGTCTCCGCGTCGGTAAATACTGTAATTTGTATCATCTATATGCATATTATCGTATTAACTAAATCAAATCTGGAAATTATGAGAAAACTTATCACAAAAAAATTAATGCAGGTTGGAATCACATAGATGTAACAACACACAAAGGCGTGCATTGCATGCACAAAGGCTCTCGGCCCTTAGCCAGACAGATGATCAGCTCAGTTCTCTTAGAGCTGGTGTTTTGTGTTGTTGTTAAATCTATTCATATAGAAGTTACGTGAATAATACAACCAAGAAAATATCGGGTCTTACCCTTACTCAGTAAACAATTTTACGTTGAATTATTTTAAGTCAAGCACATTGAAACATCGTAACAAATTGTCCATCGAAGAACCATATAGATTAAGAACCATATAGATTTTGTAGGAATTTCAGATTGCTTTAAGATCTCAAGGCACTTTTCTTTAAAGGTCGGTACCACGTGTGTGTGGTTTGTACAGCCCGCCATTGTGTGTGTGTGTGTGTTCAACAAGAATGCCCTGACTTGGGTGGTCACCCGTCGTTTCAGAGCTCCGTGAACAACAAGCGGCCCTGTGATCGCCCTGTTTTGTCTTGCGTGTGGCACACTCGCACTGCGCTTGTGCCAACAGGTATTCCGCGGGGGTCAACTACAACGGCAACGTCTACGGCACGCCGGGCGCTCGCTCTTACGGGAGCCCATCTTCCCCGGCCAGCCAGGCAGCCGGCAGCCAATACAGCCAGAATCACAGCAGTGAGGCGGCAGACGGCAAGAATAGCAACAAAGCCATGGACAGGTAAACTCATTACATGCGGACTTCGTCTCTGTCACACTACGAACAATAATATTGATAGGAAAACGAAGATAAGTAATACTTTTACAGCCAGTGTTTATTTAAGAGCCGTGGCTCTCTGCAAGTCATGTGAGACCATGTTTATGATTCTTAGGGTTCATTTGTAAATGCCAAAAGCTCCAATAGCCAAACTAAAGCGTCCAGTTAAAGACACTTAAGAGTGGGAGAATCATCCCCTCTTTGTGCTTTGGAAAGGATCAGTGAATGAAAGGAGCAGTAAATAAAGTGTCACTAGAACCCGAGACGATTAGTCGATTAAGCAACTTAATCAACCTAACATTATAATCAATTCCTTATTATCCCTTTAAAAATTACAGCCGCCCTAACATTCTGCCTCCTGAAGGCAGCAAACCCCCCTTCGAGCCACAGCCAGTGTGACTCATCTGACTACACTGATGACATCAGAAATCCCCACCATTCACCTCCCATCCAGCGGCACACGTGGAACACAGAAGGCGAGAAATTCCCCCCCCCCCCCCCACCACCCTCCCCCCCGACTATTTTCGTGTTGTCCGATTAGTTGCCATCAAACCGACGATCGCTTAGAGCTTATTGGATCACTCAAATAAGCAGACGATCCCAGCTGTAAACACGACCTCTCCAAGTGACGAGGGACAGGCTGCGCGGGGGACAAAGTGGCGAGCGGCGAGCGGGCACCCGCAGACGAACGCGCGGTCGGTCTAAGGGCGTCCTGAATTCCCAGCAGTGCCAGGGCGGCAGCCGGGCTACTCTCGTCCTCCTACAAGCAGCACCAGGAGTCCCTGGCGGCCGAGCGCGAGCGCCGGCGGCGCGAGAGGGATGAGCGGCTGCAGCGCATCGAGCGCGAGGAGCGCAACAAGTACAAGTGAGTGGAGCGGCGGGCGAGAGGGCCCCGCTCGAAGATAGTCCGTGAGCCCGGGACGGATGATTCGCACTGTGAACTGTAGCAAAAAAAAATGTTTTTGTTAAAATTGTTTTTATTACACCGCAATGTGACCCCGATGCAAGGCGCCGATCACCAAACGAAGTGGGGGGTGGGGGGTGGGGGTGGGGGGGGGCGGAGGGGTAACAGAAATTCCACAAACAGGAGCCCGAGGTCGATGCGACAGCGTCCCGCCAAGGTGGGAACCGGGGCTATGTGCCCGAGCCAGCTGGGGACGAGGTGCGGTAATATGAAGGTTTATATGGGGAGGGGGAAAAGGTAAGGGGTAGACTCTAAATACTATTTTAAACTAAACTTTGTTTAAAATTTTTACCAGGTAAGGCCCACTGAGCTCAATGAAGTGGCTTATCACGTGGAAATGTACAGCAACCAAATACTCTAAACACATCATTCTAAATGCGGAGGGGAAAACCCAGAGGACCCAGAGAAAAATCCACGCTACCACGGGAAGAGTGACACGCAAACTCCGAATGTACAGCAGGTGTCAGGGTCGAGATCGAATCCACGACCTCCTGCATACCAGGCGAGGCAGTTAACATCTTGCAAGCGCGAGGGCTGCACCTTTGATCTGGCCAGTGCAGAAGAGTAGGCCAAATAGCCTCGAGAGGGTCTTTTATTGAGCTGCCTCTAGTGGAGACTCTTCCTCTTGCAGTGGCATTAGCAAGTAATTGCAGGTATGCACATTTATCTTTTTGAAATGCAGAGCCTGCATAGCAACATTGGATACGTGTTTGGTTATTGGTTGCTCTCTTCGCATGCTACATTCCGCCTGTGTAGGGAAATGCTTTCGGATTCTGAAGGCGTAAAATGAAACAGGATTTGCAGGATTAATTTTCTATCATTACATTTCACTGCAATGCCTCTTGGTGCTTCCACAGTATTGCTTTCCTGTGCAACGTTACACTTTCATCTACTTAACATCTGCACGTGTCTTCTTTTTTTCCCCTTTCCAATATTTTAACATCCTTGTTTTTTAAATGTCACGCCGATAAACAACAGGCATATCTTCCGTGACCCCTTTAAAGCTGTCTGCATCTTTGCTCTCCTGCCTATAGTAGTCGCGAGTACATGGAGGAGAGGGAGAGGCTGAGGAGAGAGAAAGAAGAGAGGTATTGGTGTGCCTGCATGTGTTTCCCGGGAAATGTCTTCCCGCAGTGTTTTCTCAAAACGCTAATTTGCCTGCGTGTAAATAACATTTGACGTAAAGAAGGAAACCGCAATTAAGCACACAAGTCATTATCTCCGGTTTAAAACGAGCGGTCATCAGTCCTCATTTCTCTTGGAACGTCTCGGGTAAGTGGTGGAAATGTTACATTGCTGTGTCACGGACGGGTCTTTACACAGCACGTATGCTCTTCATTTCAAAGCCAGTGGTGTGTAATCCTATGGTACTTGTTTTATAGTACCCTGGAAGTATGATGGGTGTGTTGACCTTGGATGGGATTTGAACTCGGTACTCGAATGGGAGCCCGACCGCTGTACCATCTAAGCTAAAAAAGTTAAAGCCAAGCTTAATTAGTCGTTAACTTTTACCCACTATCGTTAACAAAAATTCTAACAGCAAGTCGTTGCTCACAAACGTGAATTGTGTCATTTTTATTTATTTGTTCATTCACACATTTACGTCGCCGAAACTGTAAATAAAAAAATGCATTATCATGCCTGCGAGCGTGGAGCACAACAAATCAGACCCATGGAATCCCTCCCCATCCCGTTGCCTCTGCCGTTTGCAAATCCCCGGTTTAATTAAAAGTCTGGGGCTATGATTGTACCCTTGCGTCGCTGTTCCCAAGGCCAGCCCTGTGCTGGCATTTCCGCGCCGTCTCCGACGTTCTCGTGCCACTGGGGACCCCCCCCCGCCGCCCCTCCCACCCGACAAATTGTTTCCTGTATTAGTGCAGCGTGCGCTCCCTCATGCCTCAGTCTCTAGAACGCCCACCGCAGCTCGCCGGGCAGCACGCGGCTTTCTCACGGAGATCCACTCGTCGTGCGATGGCCTGGGTTGGCGGCCAAGAACAGAGAGAGAAAATACATTGCGTCGTTGCGCGTGTCTGTTTGTGTGCCCCTGTGTTGGTCTTGCAAATGGTGAGCGTTGGTGCGGCGGTCGGCTCACCGCGCTACGAAAACCGGCGACCTGAGCTTGAGTCCTCCTGCTCGCTACCAACAAGAGCGGCCAATTTTTTGAACTGGTCCTGGGCATCCTCTCGGTCGACTCTGCCTTACATAAGTAGCCGGTGTGGTGTGTAAACATCAGCACTGGGGAGACAAAGGTGGCCAGGGATGGTGTTGGCCACCCACACCCTTGTGTGTCGTGCCGGCCTTAATAGGTGCTCGCTAACAGCACTTTCCCCAACAGTCTGTTAAAGACTTTCTGGGGAATATCTTTTTCGTCGTGCAAGAGGCCTCTTATAGATGCAGAGGGTTAAACTATTTTTTGTACAGGGCAATAACCATAGGTCGTGTTTGTTGGCTTTTCCAGAATGTTTGCAACGCATTCACCTTTCTACGAATAATTATGTTTTAGTTACGCCGTGCAAATATTTGTTTTAAGGTTTGCAAACTTATCTGGCAAGCAAGCGTGTTATTAACTACGGTTTTCATGAGCGTATGAGTGTGCATGCATGAATACAAGTGTGTGTGCCTTTTAAATTGGTCCTCAGCAATACAGGCTGTAAAATAATTATCTTAATGAAATAACATATTTCGAGAAAACACGTGTGAGAATAACGCGTGAAGTTTTTTTTAAAACTTTTAACAAAACCAAAACATCGGCCGAACAAAGAAATGGTCAATTACAGTCGACGCCTTTCCCTTCCTTCCCAAGGAACCGCTACCTGGAGAGAATTGCGGCCGAGGAGCGAGAGAAGGAGCTGCGCAACAGAACCAAAGTCAGGATGGAGCTCAACCTCACTTTGCAATCACCCTCAACCAATGCTAGCCCCGTGACCCTCGTATCACAGTCTCCGGGGACACCATCAGCCTGTCCCTCTCCGACACCCGTCCGGTCAGCTGAGTCACCCCGCCTGGTATCGTACTCCCCATCGCCGACTCGTTCGCAATCACCGGCCCTCGCACCGTCGCCCGCCCCCGTCGCCGGCCCCGTCGCCCGCCCCGTCGCCTGTGACGTGTTCGTCTCCCGCGCCACTGGCGTCGCCCGCGCGCTTCGTTTCGCCAGCGCCGTCACCGTCGACCTCGAGGCCTGCGACGCCCGCCGGCATTCCTGCGCCACCCCCCGCTGCTCGTGTCCCGAGCACCCCCAGCTCGTCGCTGCGGCTCGCAGACGCCGGGGAGACTCCAGAGGAAGCGGCAGAGGAGACTGCAGAAGAGCGTGAGTGTTTGTGTTGGACCACACGAGGGATGTTGCCCAAGGAAAGGAATTATTATTGCTTAATGGGAGGCGGTCCAAACTCCATGAGCCGCTAGCCTGAACTTTGAGGCCACAGACTTCGATAATAAGAAATCTCGGAATTCTGACAAGGATTTTATATATATATATAAATATTATTATCAAGTGTGGGAGATGAATGATGCTGCCTTTTAGTGTTCCAGGATAAACATGTTCCTTTGCGTTCACTTTAAACATTGCTGCAGCATCAACATCCTAGTGAAGTGTCACATTTAAGGAGGCTGGGATTAAAGTTCTCTAAGGATATAATCATTAAAAAAGTAAAAATTGACTAAAGGGGTTTAATGCTTAGTAATATTACTGGCACAGCATGCATGGGGTTGCATTCACCCCACAGTGGATTGACAATACGAACTATTATGTTATTATATTAATAGCTTAGATGAGTGTGTGTCTGAAACTCATTTAACTGGGGTTGATTTTTGGCAATGCTTAACACTAATGAACCAGTTGGTATCTTGAGCATCCGCTATGTTAACTCAACCTTTAATGAGTATCAAGTGTGATTTGTTAATGTGGAAGATTGGGGAGACAAAGACGGTCGGGTGTGCTGCTGGACACAGCACCGCCTCATGTACCAAACCAGCTTCAGTCGGTGCTCGCTAACAGCATTCGCTCTAAAATACCACAACGTTACACTTGGGCTGTTTATATTTGCGTGTAAAATCAAGCAACCGAACAGGTCGCGTAACTTGTGGCTGCACCAAATTGCACCATGTTCACAGTTGGGTCTCTTGTCACTCATTATCACGGTCACCTCTTAGGGTCTCTCTCCAGTGACCACCAAAGGGGCTCACAAAGAACACTCTTCTGAGCCACAACGCAGATGCCGCGTTTCCACAGCCACCGGAAATACAGCCGGCTCGGTTAATGAACCAGGCAACTGGGTCTGGCCCGGGTTCTCCATGACAGCCTTGCCTCGGAAACACAACTCTTGCGCTTGGCTCTTCTTGCATGGTTTTATTAAACGCGTGTCTCACTTTCGCCCGGGTCAACCCCTGAGAAACAGTCGTGGCATCTCCGAGTTAGCTTTGGGGGAGAGACAGAATCAGAGTCAGAATATTTATTTATACTGGAGGAATTCGATGACCTATAAAGCTCTTTTTCAACGTTGCAACAACAATACAACAACACAATAGGAGTGGAAAGTACAAGAAAGCTAAAGAAATCACCCAAACACGTACAAATGAAACTAGACCATCCCCATCCTACCAGCCAAAGCCCACTGAGGTATTAACTTATTTTTGTCAGGAGCGACCTGGCCACAAGTGATAGCGCAACGACGTGACTTATCATGCAGACATTTATAGTTCGAAAAATAATCTAAATCATCTCAGGCAATGGTGCCCACATCACCACAGTTCAACTTCAAGGCCACGCTGGAACAGCACAAAATCGTTCACCGGGCCGATGAAACTCCCTCGCCAGCGGCCGTGAACATTGCAGCGTTTGTCTCCTCTGTTGTAGCTGCGGCGGAGGAGGTGGCTCCCCTGAGTGCGAAGGAGCGGGAGAATGAGGCCGTGAACGAGAAGGAAAATTGCTCGGCCTCCAGTAGTTCATCGGCCAGCAGCACCCTTGAACGCGACCGTGCTGAGGAAGAGCCAGGTGCGTGTTTTGCGGACCGTTGAAACTTTTTTTTTTCACGCGATCGTTTATTCCCTTTCCTTCGTTGAGACTCAAAAGAGGGAAAGCTTCCTTGGCTTTCAAGATCATTTTACATGAAGAGATTCCGTGAGCCTTCTTCGTGAGAACTTTTCATTTCGGGGGGAAGCCCGGGTACCTGGAGAAAACCCACAAATATGAGGGACGAACACTCAAGCTTGAAACGGCGAGGTCGCAAACTTACCTTCTGCAGGTTGAGGTACAGTGAGGGAAAAAAGTATTTGATCCCCTGCTGATTTTGTACGTTTGCCCACTGACAAAGAAATGATCAGTCTATAATTTTAATGGTAGGTTTATTTGCACAGTGAGAGACAGAATAACAATAAAAAAAATCCAGAAAAACGCATGTCAAAAATGTTATAAATTGATTTGCATTTTAATGAGGGAAATAAGTATTTGACCCCCTCAATCAGAAAGATTTCTGGCTCCCAGGTGTCTTTTATACAGGTAACAAGCTGAGATTAGGAGCACACTCTTAAAGGGAGTGCTCCTAATTTCAGCATGTTACCTGTATAAAAGACACCTGTCCACAGAAGCAATCAATCAATCAGATTCCAAACTCTACACCATGGCCAAGACCAAAGAGCTCTCCAAGGATGTCAGAGACAAGATTGTAGACCTACACAAGGCTGGAATGGGCTACAAGACCATTGCCAAGCAGCTTGGTGAGAAGGTGACAACAGTTGGTGCGATTATTCGCAAATGGAAGACACACAAAAGAACTGTCAATCTCCCTCGGCCTGGGGCTCCATGCAAGATCTCACCTCGTGGAGTTGCAATGATCATGAGAACGGTGAGGAATCAGCCCAGAACTACACGGGAGGATCTTGTCAATGATCTCAAGGCAGCTGGGACCATAGTCACCAAGAAAACAATTGGTAACACACTACGCCGTGAAGGACTGAAATCCTGCAGCGCCCGCAAGGTCCCCCTGCTCAAGAAAGCACATATACATGCCCGTCTGAAGTTTGCCAATGAATATCTGAATGATTCAGAGGACAACTGGGTGAAAGTGTTGTGGTCAAATGAAACCAAAATGGAGCTCTTTGGCATCAACTCAACTCGCCGTGTTTGGAGGAGGAATAATGCTGCCTATGACCCCAAGAACACCATCCCTACCGTCAAACATGGAGGTGGAAACATTTGCTTTGGGGGTGTTTTTCTGCTAAGGGGACAGGACAACTTCACCGCATCAAAGGGACGATGGACGGGGCCATGTACTGTCAAATCTTGGGTGAGAACCTCCTTCCCTCAGCCAGGGCATTGAAAATGGGTCGTGGATGGATATTCCAGCATGACAATGACCCAAAACACACGGCCAAGGCAACAAAGGAGTGGCTCAAGAAGAAGCACATTAAGGTCCTGGAGTAGCCTAGCCAGTCTCCAGACCTTAATCCCATAGAAAATCTGTGGAGGGAGCTGAAGGTTCGAGTTGCCAAACGTCAGCCTAGAAACCTTAATGACTTGGAGAAGATCTGCAAAGAGGAGTGGGACAAAATCCCTCCTGAGATGTGTGCAAACCTGGTAGCCAACTACAAGAAACGTCTGACCTCTGTGATTGCCAACAAGGGTTTTGCCACCAAGTACTAAGTCATGTTTTGCAGAGGGGTCAAATACTTATTTCCCTCATTAAAATGCAAATCAATTTATAACATTTTTGACATGCTTTTTTCTGGATTTTTTGTTGTTATTCTGTCTCTCACTGTTCAAATAAACCTACCATTAAAATTATAGAATGATCATTTCTTTATCAGTGAGCAAACGTACAAAATCAGCAGGGGCTCAAATACTTTTTTCCCTCACTGTACCTCGTAAATGTATGTATGTTAAACTTCTTTTGCACAGTACACAGCCAACCGTGAATGTGGGTATTAAAATTACCACAGCTGATCGCACTCATAAGGTATCGTAAACCAGAGTCGTGGCTAAATCTGAACCTCTATCTCTGGCAATTGTCCTTTGCTGTGGCAAAATGTAACTTACTCTTTGGTTCTTTCAGTAAAGTCACGTAGTTTTTTTTATTTTTTTATTTTATTTCTACCTACGTGACTTTACCGAAAGAACCAAAGAGTATGGATTCCTGCAGTCACGAAAGCTTCAAATCAAGATTAAAATGTAACTTGTAGTTGAAAGCAATCTCCTATTTTCCTGTGATGCTACGTGGTGAGACATGCTACACGGATATTTGCATTCAAATCTTAGTGCGGGCCAGCAGCACCATCTATAATTCCAGGAATAATGCTTGGACCACGTCTGGAATAGCGCTCATGTCCCATACATCTCGGCATTAACTCAAAGGAGGTTTGTTGAAAGAACTGCTACAAGGGGCTGTATTTCTCTCCGAGGAAGGTTCTATCAAACAAGCAACCCAACCACCTTTTCATCTGCTCTATCCCACCCCCACCCCCCATCCCCGAAGCTCGATTTTCGTGTGTATCCACACCTGGGGAAGGCTGGTCATGGGATTTATGTCGGGAATTTCCGAGAGAGCGTCGAGACAGAAGCGGGGGGGGCGGGGGGGGGGGGGAGAATAATGGCCGCCGCTCCATCACGAACGTTTCTTCAGATTCCAGTTTTTTTGCGTTCGCACACACACACACACAAAAAAACTTTTCTTCAGATTCCAGTTTTTTTGCGTTCGCACACACACACACACAAAACCAAACCCCACATGTGGCTCACATGGCACGTGACTGATGGAAGCGGCCCCTTCCACTTTAAACACATCACATCAGATCAATCGCGTTTATGCTACGCCCCTACACCATGGATGCGTCTCGAGGCCAACGCAACAGGGACCAGTGGCTTATGTGGTGGGGGGGGGGGGGGGGTCGTGCATTCAGCAGCATCAGAATTATTACAGAAATCTCTGGTAAGGGGGGATATTTAAAGATTTTCGTTGTAGGTTAATTGGAATTTGACGAAGACAAAAAATCCAGACGACGATGGTCAAGGATAATGACGGAGTGGCAGCCAAGGAATGGAAATGCATTTTGAGGTGACGTCCACCGAGGAGATGGAGCGATGGGATCAGTCGGCGTTGCAGGTGCTGGGTACATCGCAGAAGTTGGCGGTGGCTTGGGGGATTGCCTTCATCCAGCAGTGGATTGGGCATGGCTGATGATTATGGTTCTAGCACATATACAGTACATCATGCTATGCCCAGTGTCTGCTGTACAGTGCTTTGTGAACCTTTATGAGAGGCGCTTAATGAATAGAAAGAATATTAAAATTATATGATGACCTTTTATTTAAATGATTTCCGGGAGACATTAATAGTCACATTAAAATTCATATTTTCATTCATTATTTTTTTTTTTATACCCACAATGCTTCTCAGAATCACTAATTTACAAGTAATGCACATTATTTAACATGATCACTTTTAAGCTTATGAAATAAAATTGGATGGAACAAATGATGATATAAACATTTGGTGATGTTCCATTGGGGTTGGTGCACAAGGACAACAACAACAAAAATAGCAGCACCCTCACCTGAAGCCGTCGAATGGATTACTAACCTCGAGATCATACATTAACTGCTTCCCCAGCCATTCTAGATTTGAAGTTTTCGTGACTGCAAGGATCCATACTCTTTGGTTCTTTCGGTAAAGTCACGTAGGTAAAAATTTAATAAAATTAAATAGAACAAAAATGAAAACAACTAACTTAAATCACAATGCTTCGGAGGCAACACATGCTTCCTTCATCAGGTGTAAAAAAGCACAGCAACGTCGTGATTTAATTTAGTTGTTTTCATTTTTGTTTTATTTCATTTAATTTAAATTAAATTTTTCCCCAGCCATACGGAAGAAGAAGAAGAAGATAAGAGTTTGTCCTTAAAAGGAAAAATACATAGACAATGTTTTGTTTTTACCAATGGCCCTTCTTCCTAGCACATGCAGAGATAGGTCAGAGAGGTTCACCTCCTCTTTGCTGCAGTGTCATTAACGCACGTGTTGAGTTTTTAAATGATACGAACACTACAGTAGAAAGGAGATGTAATAATCCAGCCTTGAATTCAACATTTGCCCTGAACATAGCAATTCGTTAAGTATCAGGGGGAATGAATCGTTTCATGCCTCGTCTTTAATGCACAGGGCTACAGCAGATGGTATACGCATTCTCGGATTGCGCCCTGCGCAAATGACCATGTGGTCAGATGCTAACAGCAGAATACATGGAAGCCGGCTCGTTAGCTGGATTTACCCGACGCTCTGGGGTTTCTTAGCACGCACTCAAGCCCTGTCTGCTTCCTGCCCTCCAGAGAAGAGACCGCAGGAGAAAGCCATCGAGGAGGAGAGCGGCGAGGCGACCGATCAGATTCCCGTGCAGAGCCTGACCAATGGCACCAATTCCGAACCTGTTGGACTCGGAGAGAAGACGGAAGAAACGAGCAAAAATGAGCCAGATGGTGAGCTATGATTTCATGTTTCACGATTTATTGTGCACTTGGCTCTTGTTGTAGGGTATTATCGGCAAGAGATACAATAGAACACATTTTTAGCGCCATCTCGCTCTGTGTTGAATGTTGCTTATCCATCTTGGGTGAGGCGTTATATTTTCTGGTTTTAGCCACTAGCTTTCACTCTCGATTATATCACGTTAGTAACAATATGGTTTGTAACGTGCACAATATTTCACAGACATAAATGACCATGACTCTGAGACACAGAGCCAAGCTGATTTAAAATTTTCACCTCATAAGCCACTTTGTTGAGCTATAATTTGTGGCCAGGTCACTTCTGAAAAATAATTTATGAACTCAGTCGGCTTTACCTGGTAAAATAAAAATAAAAGTTTTTTTTTGGTTCTTTCATTTAAATTAAGCTAAATTAAATTTAGTTGTTTTCATTTGTTTTACCAAACTAAATTAAATTAAATTTAGTTGTTTTCATTTATTTTATTTTATCTACGTGACTTTGCCGAAAGAAGCTTTCGTGCAGTCACGAAAGCTTCAAATCTAGAATTAAAGTTTTATTTGTATATTTTTTAAGTGATTTGTTTACCTTTACAATACTTTGCACTACAATCGTATTTTTGAATTTTTGTTGTTGTAACGTTCTGACCCACCCCCGACTGGAAATATGTGGAAAAGAGCTTCATAGCTCATCGAATTCCTCCAGTATAAATACATCTTCTGATTCCGATTCACTCAAAAACCAGGCAAATGAGGTGGTGGGGCCGCTACGCGTCCCTTCAAGTCGAGTTAGATCGACCGCTGCTGCCAATTTGGAGCGGCACAACGATGGCGTTCCATACGGCGGGGCTGTCACGGAGAAACGACGACCCGCCAGTAATGACCCTCGTCCTCTGTGTGGAGAGGATGTCGCTGCTGCTGGTGTTCAGAATCAGAATATTGATTTACTAGGGGTTGTTCGGGGGTGCATGTGGCGCCCCTCACAACCATTTGCGGCCTTCGGCCAGGAAAGTCACGAAAAAAATTGCACACGAACGACGCATACACGCAAGCACCCGATGCTCCGTTTTGAAGTTTTAAAATTAAAAATGTTTGAATTGTATTGCGTTTTGAATGAGATAATGTTATTTCTTCATTAAAAGCTGAAATCATTTTACATCTGGAAGACTTCATTTGAAAAGGACATTTCGAGTGGAATTTCTCTCATCGTTAAGTAGATGGCCTTGCTGGGGGTTCGGTTCGATACGGACTTTCACCTGTTTGAGATTGCGGGATCGAGATAAGGCGACATAGACCGTGCGAGAAGACCGCCGTCTGCAGATCGATTCCAACGTAATCGAACGTCTGTCCCTGCGCCTCCGTCGTTCATGCAGTGGGTGCGTAGGTTTGCAGCGCCCCCTGCATGAAAACGACGGAAAGTGCAGCGTTCATCACAGAGAGATAAAGTTGTGCGCTTATATAAGAGTATACTGGAGGAATCCGATGGGCTATGAAGCGCTGTTCTCACAAGCGTCCGGTGTTGCTGTCGGCTCGGGCTCTCAGCCGGCCTACGCAGTTTAATCCGGGAATACACGTCAGAGAATGATAATGTCGTATTGTCTCCCTGCTCGACCTCGTCAATGTCCAGGCCTGGCGGAGGGCGTTTTGGCTCGGGTGTCATCGCCTACGATCCCCGAGGGAGGAGGCGCTCGCCGGGAAATCGCTGCGGCACGTGACGCGACCGCCGTATCTCCCGACAAGCCGAGCGGCCCGCGGGCATTTGCCGAGCGCTTCGGCCGTGTCACCTCTTCCGAGCAGGACGAGGAGGGCGAGAAGGAGATGCCCCCCGTCGCTCCGCCGCCCCCCCGCAAGGAATCGGATCAGCTGTGGGAGCAGATGCTGGCCAAGACGCACGAACTTCGCATCAAAGGTTCGGCCCAGAGATTAGAAACGGAGGGGCTCTTGCTTCTCGTTTTCTCGCTTCTGCAGCTAAGGGGATGAAGCTGTGGGTGGCTTCTGTTGAATTCACCAAAGTCTCCGAACTTAAGGAGGGATTACCCAACAGTGGGTAATGTTATTTGTCGATCCATTACTGGATGAGGACATATGTATGTAGAACTTCGCTCGCACCGTACTTAGCCAACTGTGCTAATTGGAGGTGCGGGAGAAGGACCAGAAGCTAAATACTAAGAGCAGTTTTAAAGATATTAGCTTTCAGTCTAGATTTAAAAGTACATAGCTCCAGTGGCTTCCTAATATTGGAAAGAGCAGTGTTCTCGACGGCCGCAGAAGTGCATCCGAAAGCGCGCGATGCAGTGACCGTCTTGATTTGATGGCTAGCCAAAAGCCACTGCGAGGATGATCGGAGTTTGGGTGATGGGTTTATGATCCTTGACGAGATCCGCAAGGTGTTGTGGTTCAAAAACCTTCCACCGCCATGTTGAATGATTGCCCGGATGGGCAATATTTTGAAAATGAGACACATGCTATTATTGCGTGTTGTTCAGGAGCAAAAGCATTGGTCAACCAATCCCATGCATCTCTCGGCAGACATGGACTTCACGGACCTGAACGAGGAGGATGACGTGGACATGCTGGACTTTGACAACTTGCTGTTACGCTCGGGCGACTTCGTGTCGCTCCCACCACCGCCGCCCGTCTTCCCGTCCATGGCCTCTGTGCTCTTCTCGCCGCCGCCACCTCCGGGCTGCCCTCCTACCATGCCGCCACCGTCGTCGGCGTTGACGGGACTCATCCTCCCTCCGCCCCCGCTGTTCGCCTCGCCGGCACACCAGGCCCGCGAGGGCACTCCCGGGGGGCCCGGCTCGCCGGCGCTCGCCCACTCCCTCAAGAAGAAGAAGACCGTGCGGCTTTTCTGGAGCGAGGTGCGGCACACGGAGTGGCAGCACCGCAACCACCGCTACGGCAAGAGCTCGCTGTGGGCCTCGCTCGACCCCGTGGAGGTGGACACCAACAAGCTGGAGATCCTCTTCGAGTCCAAGTCGAAGGAGCTGCCCGTCACGAAAGTGAGGGGTTTCTCGGTGGCGTCGTCGTGATCGTCGTGATCGTCGTGATCGTCATCGTGCTGAGCGGTCCTCGTGCAAAGTGCTCAAGTCACAACTAGAAGGTCGCCAGTTCAGATCCTGATCATGAATCAGCTCGGTGCGCGATTCATTGATTAGATGAGCAGCGCTTTGTCGGTAACTTTACAGTAATCGTCATGTGTAATGATAATTTTTACAGTAATCATGATGTTTATTTCTAACCGCTTTTTGCGTTTAGTTTGTTGTCCTTTCCCTGCGCCTCCGATTAGCGTAGTTGGGTACGTAAGGTACCAAAGAAGTTGAAACTACATACGTACTTGTGCGGAGACTGTCCCACTGCCTTGGAAATACGGACTTTCCACGACTGGATTCAGGCCAACCATGAGGATATGCACTGCCCGCTTTTGTAAATGGGAATAATTTGGCGTAGGCCTCATGGCACCATATTTATGACGCGCAACAAGACAGGTGGAAATTCACTGGCGTGAAGTATAGCGACATACTGTATTTACAGACTATATTCTTTCAAGAATTACTCTCATTGACAAGACATTAAGTTTTTACTTAAAAATTTCGTGACTGCAGGAATTAATATTCTTTGGTTCTTTCGGTAAAGTCACATAGATAGAAAAGTAATTATAAAAATAATGTGAGTAAAAAAATATAATAAAAAAATAAGAGCAATAAAAAACAAATCCACAAATGTAGACTGTAGCCTGGTTCTTAATCAGAGTGAGTGTACTGGCAGTCTATAATGTAGACTGTAGCCTGGTTATTAAGTTTGGTGAGTGTACTGGCAGTCTATAATGTAGACTGTGGCAATGGTTGTTAAGCTGGGTGAGTGTACTGACAGTCTATAATGTACACTGTAGTAATGGTTATTAAGCTGAGTGAGTGTACTGGCAGTCTATAATGTAGACTGTAGCCTGGTTATTAAGTTTGGTGAGTGTACTGGCAGTCTATAATGTAGACTGTGGCAATGGTTGTTAAGCTGGGTGAGTGTACTGGCACTCTATAATGTAGACTGTAGCCTGGTTATTAACCTGAGTGAGTGTACTGGTAGTCTATAATGTAGACTGTAGCCTGGTTCTTAACCTGAGTGAGCGTACTGGCATTCTATAATGTAGACTGTAGCCTGGTTCTTAACCTGAGTGAGCGTACTTGGCGTCTATAATGTCGACTTATTCTTGGTTCTTTCGGTAATGTGTGTTGTCATGTACGGTGGGTGTGGGGGCTGTTGTTGTTCTACGGTTTTACCACGTTCAGTAATTTTTCGAGCAATTCTTCAAATTTGGAAACTTTGGACCGTGACGCCAGCACATGTGGCCTACTATTTTTTTATTTTGTTTGTCAACGTTGCCATATTCTGAAATGCCCTGCATCGCCCTCTTCACGTACTACTAATAATACGTGGGTTAAGTGAGGTGCAGTTGCCTGACATGTGTTATCAACTATGTTATGTCATGTTTTGTTAAGTAACCACTACAATGAGTGTAGTGACACGTGACACCAGTACTTAACCGGGACCGCATTGTGAGTGACATCCAATGCTGCACCTCGGTGCTCCCTTTGTCGTGAGACATTCAAATTAATCAGCGAATAAACGAGATGGAAGCATCAGTGGGCTCTAATTTATGATGTGCATTGTTTTAAGGGACTGCGTTTTGAGTGCTACAGAGGCGTCAATCCAAAAGTCACCATATTAATGCTTAACGCTGCCCTATGACAGTCACAGTAATCATTAACAGCTTGCCAATCAGTAGGTTGCCTATGTTGGGGTAAAGTGTGGATACTCCGAGGCGACTGGCCACACGTGGAGGGGCTCTCTAGCGTACCGTCCGGAAGAGGTTGCTCCCGGTAGCAGTGACGTGACCCAGCAATTGCAGGACCGCACTTTTACTTTTGCGTTGTATAAGGACGTATGAACGGCAGTGGGCTAATGTGTGGTGCAGTTGGCCTCCTTGAGAGTAGAGAGAGGGCAGAGATAATGACAGATCACACCTTAAAGTATGAAAAAAAATTACATCTGTTCCTTCACATTAAAAAAAAAGTATTTCTTACACATCTGGCTACATACGGTGCAAAATAATTTCTACATACATACATTCCATCAGCTACGCGGGTTTCTAGGAGTATATAATCTCAGCAGTGTCTCGTAAGCAGTCAGTCTCGCTTGAACAAAAGCTGGTGAACTGCCAGATGTTCATACTCCAGGACTTTCTCTGTTAGATACGGATCCTAGTTCGACGCATAATTAACTATTTTGTGTTATGTACTTTAGCATATAGCTTTATTGTGTGTACCTCCCATTATCATGGTTAGCTGCGTACGGTGATAAAGAATTTCAACATACATACATACATACGTGCTATGTATGTACTTCTTTGTGTCGACAGTCCAAGATTTGATCTTTTTAGCTTTTTTAGTTTTTACAAATCTCGTGTCTTTTCAGAGGAGCACGACGGATGGGAAGCGACAGGAGCTCATCGTGCTGGACTCGAAGCGGAGTAACGCCATCAACATTGGCCTCACCGTCCTTCCACCACCACGCACAATCAAAACCGCCATCCTCAACTTTGACGAATACGCCCTCAACAAGGAGGGCATCGAAGTAAGACACGCCTCCAAACGAGCCGTCAGATCAGTGTTCCTCGTCGATAGCTACGCACTCATTTGCCCTGTCGGCTAAGTCCCTTGCCTGCGATGGTGCTCACGGTGCTGCTGATGGTGATCCGTTGCAGAAACTGCTCACCATGATCCCCACGGAGGAGGAGAAGCAGAAGATCACCGAGGCGCAGCTCGTGAACCCCGACGTGCCCCTCGGCTCTGCGGAGCAGTTCCTGCTCACGCTGTCGTCCATCAGCGAGCTCTCCGCTCGTCTCCAGCTCTGGGCCTTCAAGCTCGACTACGAGACGATGGAGAAGGTTTGTGGGAATCCGCTCGGGTTAGGCGTGTGCAGAGTAATAAATCAGGCGCCACTGTGTCGAAATGTTAACTACCTCGCCCGGTATACGGGAGGTTGTGGTTTAGATTCTGACCCCGACACCTGTATATTTGAAGTTTGCATGTTTTACCCGTGGTCGTGTGGATTTTTCTTTGGGTCCTCTGGTTTTTCCCCTCCACGTTTATAAGCATGCGTTGAGAGTATTCGGCTGCTATACATTTCCACATGATTAGCCACCACGCATGATTAGCCACTTCGTTGAGCTATAATTTGCGGCCAGGTCGCTTCTGAAAAGAGCTATACTTGGTCAAATAAAAATAGTTTCGTTTATAGGTGTTTTAGATGTTCGAACACCAACTAGATACCTATTGCAAGGCATTAACCACATACTTGTGGCAACACAAACATGCTCTGATTATAATATGCGCATTGTCCTTGAAACTGATTGGTCTACACCACAGACAGCCATCTTTATGGGCTTGTTTCACCAGTGTTAGACCAGAGAACGCCAAAAGGTGAACAGCTTGGTTAATGCAGACTTGATGCCTTGCAAAAGGTATCTATTTGGTAATTTAACATCTTAACACCTGTTTTATTTCCAGGAAGGGTAAAGCCTGTTCTTATTTCTTCATGATTTTGATACTGGCAAAAAGGTTCCATAGATATGCATGCAGAGTAACCAATCAGAAGGTTGCTCATTAAAGTCCTGGTTGGGGGTTGACTCAGCCCATCATCCCCTCAGGGTCTTTAATTTGTGTACCACTTTGGTGTGAAAGTCAACAGCGGTAGTTATATGGAGAAGCTTACCCCCATCAGAGCCACCAAAGCAAATGAGTACCATGTCATTGTCCTCCAGACAGTCTCGTCCCTTCACCTGATGAAGGCCGCGTGTGTTGTGGCCGAAACGTCGTGAGAATTTTATTGTGTTATTTTATTTTATCAATTTATTATTTTATTCTCATTCTACGTGACTTTACCGAAAGAACCAAAGAATATGGAGACACTATAACATGAATATAAAATAACTTAACGAATTTGCTAATTTAAAGAGGAGCTTGTTAAGTGCCTGTTTATTTGCAGTTATTCATTAATGATGAGCAATTCTGCCACTGGTATGTAAATGCAAAATTGTATACACAGTTCTGCAAATTAAAAAACCCACTCCAGTTTAGAGATTAATTGATAAATAAAGATAATGATTTGTTATTGATATAGCACCCCGTATACACCGCGGCGTATCAAAGTGTCGACAATCAACTCAGTTTTATATCTCTCCGAATACAGGAGGGCGTGTCCCAAACAGCGCTGCTGGATGACGCATATAAAGCAGAGTCCTTTCGCTCTGGGACACCGGTGAAGCCCCACGCCTCCGGTTAGCTATGTACGGTGCGAAAGGAGTCCAACGTACATACGTACAAGTTCAAGCCCTGATCTGCGTACCCCACGTGTCTTGTGCCTTCCATAGGAAGTGGCTGAGCCCCTTCAAGACATCAAGGAGGGGATGGACCAGGTGGAGAAGAATCGCACCCTGAGATGCATCCTCACCACCCTGCTGGCTGTGGGGAACTTCCTCAACGGCACAAACGTGAGTGGCACCGAAGCCTCTCCATTCCCAGTCGCCTGGGGCTAGAGCCGGGGCTCTCCGACTATTTAAGAGATCGACGGCTCCGCCAATTGTCGGCGCCAATTGTTCGACCAATCGGATAACGTGCCCATCGTTGGGAAAACGTCTCGCCCCCTCTCTCCCCATGGGTTGGTGACGGGTGGCGCACGCCATGGCAGCTGTGACTTCGAAGGGGAGGGGGGGCAGGATGTCAGGGCGGCCGCCATTTTATAAGTATTCGATTACAATGTTTTCATCAATTAATCGACTCAATTGACTAATGATCTCAGCTCTCCTTGCGACTCTGAACGCGTTTGCGCTCCGGCTGCATAAATCATTATTTTGCATCGGGCTGATTTAGCCACCTGGTATTTCCTAATATTTACTTTCATGTGAAACTGAAATTGCTTGAGATCATTAAAAGTCAAATAGTGTTGCTGCTAACATTAGTAATGAGACAGTTGTAATCTCAGTCGGTGGTCCTGAGCCGTTGGTAGACATTCCACGTTCCCATGGCAGAGGCCATTCTAGGTAATGGGACAGCCACATTGTGACATCCCACAGAGCGGTACTCTGGGTGATGAGCTGAATCGACTGCTAACTGGGAATTAAACTCATAACCTTATTATTCGGAAGTGAGTGCCACCTAGCCAGATCAATCAACATCTCTCTTGAGTATAGCTCGGGTTGAGCAACCAACGGAAATTCAATTCAGATGGGAGCTGAACACACGGTGCAATATCGTCCCCAGTGGCGCATGCACTTTTGTTATGCGCTGAGACCCCTCTCCTCCTGCCGGTCACCACCGTGCAGGCTAAAGGCTTCGAGCTGCACTACTTGGAGAAGGTGCCGGAGGTGAAGGACACGGTGCACAAGCAGTCTCTGCTACACCACGTGTGCAACATGGTCGTGGAGAAGTTCCCGGACACGACGGACCTGTACTCGGAGATCGGCGCCATCACACGCTCCGCCAAGGTGACAGCAGCAGCGGCGACGCTTCACTCCGTGTGCCATGTGATATCCAGGGGTGGTGACGGGCAATTGCGGGCCCTCAGCAGACATTATCGCAGGAAAAACCTCGCCCAGTGCGGTTTTATCGAACTCGCGTTTCAGGCTGCTGCGATTCTCATCTCCCCGTGGGAAAGCAGTGCCGCGAGAGTGCTGCATCCGTTGGAAGGTGTGAGTGAATCGACTGTGTGCAAATACAGTGAGGGGAAAAAGTATTTGATCCCCTGCTGATTTTGTACGTTTGGCCACTGACAAAGAAATGATCAGTCTATTATTTTAATGGTAGGTTTATTTGAACAGTGAGAGACAGAATAACAACAACAAAAATCTGGAAAAACGCATGTCAAAAATGTTATAAATTGATTTGCATTTTAATGAGGGAAATAATTATTTGACCCCTCTGCAAAACATGATTTAGTACTTGGTGGCAAAACCCTTGTTGGCAATCACAGAGGTCAGACGTTTCTTGTAGTTGGTCACCAGGTTTGCACACATCTCAGGAGGGATTTTGTCCCACTCCTCTTTGCAGATCTTCTCCAAGTCATTAAGGTTTCGAGGCTGACGTTTGGTAACTCGAACCTTCAGCTCCCTCCACAGATTTTCTATGGGATTAAGGTCTGGAGACTGGCTATGCTACTCCAGGACCTTAATGTGCTTCTTCTTAAGCCACTCCGTTCTTGCCTTGGCCGTGTGTTTTGGGTCATTGTCATGCTGGAATACCCATCCACGACCCATTTTCAATGCCCTGGCTGAGGGAAGGAGGTTCTCATCCAAGATTTGACAGTACATGGCCCCGTCCATCGTCCCTTTGATGCGGTGAAGTTGTCCTGTCCCATTAGCAGAAAAACACCCCCAAAGCATAATGTTTCCACCTCCTTGTTTGACGGTGGGGATGGTGTTCTTGGGGTCATAGGCAGCATTCCTCCTCCTCCAAACACGGCGAGTTGAGTTGATGCCAAAGAGCTCCATTTTGGTCTCATCTGACCACAACACTTGCACCCAGTTGTCCTCTGAATCATTCAAATGTTCATTGGCAAACTTCAGACGGGCATGTATATGTGCTTTCTTGAGCAGGGGGACCTTGCGGGCGCTGCAGGATTTCAGTCCTTCACGGCGTAGTGTATTACCAATTGTTTTCTTTGTGACTATGGTCCCAGCTGCCTTGAGATAATTGACAACATCCTCCCGTGTAGTTCTGGGCTGATTCCTCACCGTTTTCATGATCATTGCAACTCCACGAGGTGAGATCTTGCATGGAGCCCCAGGCCGAGGGAGATTGACAGTTCTTTTGTGTTTCTTCCATTTGCGAATAATCGCACCAACTGTTGTCACCTTCTCACCAAGCTGCTTGGCAATGGTCTTGTAGGCCATTCCAGCCTTGTGTAGGTCTACAATCTTGTCCCTGACATCCTTGGAGAGCTCTTTGGTCTTGGCCATGGTGTAGAGTTTGGAATCTGATTGATTGATTGCTTCTGTGGACAGGTGTCTTTTATACAGGTAACAAGCTGAGATTAGGAGCACTCCCTTTATGAGTGTGCTCCTAATATCAGCTTGTTACCTGTATTAAAGACACCTGGGAGCCAGAAATCTTTCTGATTGAGAGGGGGTCAAATACTTATATCCCTCATTAAAATGCAAATCAATTTATAACATTTTTGACATGCGTTTTTCTGGATTTTTTTGCTGTTATTCTGTCTCTCACTGTTCAAATAAACCTACCATTAAAATTATAGACTGATCATTTCTTTGTCAGTGGGCAAACGTACAGAATCAGCAGGGGATCAAATACTGTTTTACCTCACTGTATGTATAATCTCTTACTTTGCTTAAATCATCTAACTTGCTGCACAGGGATTTTTTTTACTTTAAATGCGGAGTCAATTGAGTGCTTGACCACGGGATTTTAGCAGCGCAATTGGCTCGGTAACCCTATGCCATGATCTCCTTTAGCCACGTTCAGCCTTCTGTTATAAATAAAAAAAACACTTTTATAAATATCTCAGCTGCATGAGTTTCAGTTTCAGCACAACTGTCCTGACAATGCTTGGCCCCTTTTGTTTACAGAAATAAATAATCTGATCGAGCTGGGTATAACATTCAACCGTGTCCGGATGATGGTGTCTCCGAAATTGGAAACCACCAAACACAGCCGTTTGTTTATCCAGAAAAACATCACCGACTGTTGAGCGTTTTTAGGAGGGTCTTGTATCAGAATAATTGTCCAATTCCAATAATGAGTGTTTGGCATGTGGGGAGGAAATTGAAGTACCCACAGAAGACCCACGCGTATGAGAGGATAACAAGCGAAGCCGCACACAGATTTGGCCAACCTGCCGCACTGCCGCATGCTGCCTACCTTACATCCCAGTGGGGTTTCATAATCACACCAATGCTCGCCTCCAAAGTGCTGGATCGCTGGCGCGGTGTGGCGTTTCGAGGGGTAGGAAGCCACTGGAGCTACGCACTTTTAATTCTGGATTTAAAACCAATTTCTTCAGAACTACTCTTTGTGTTTAGTTTGTTGTCATTCCTCCCGCACCTCCGATTAGCCTGGTTGGCTACGTACGCTGCGAAAGAAGTTCAACAAACATATAAACATAAAATGAGATTGGATGGGATGCAGGGATCTCGAGCCATGTATCTGCCCTTGGGTGGATAACTTAACAGAGAGACAGGGATTGAAGAGAGACGGACGGAGCAGCCGGAGCTGGGGAAGTTATTAACGTCTCGGTGTTGCCATCACTCAGGTGGACTTTGATCAGGTGCAGGAGAACTTGAATCAGATGGAGCGGAGGTGCCGGGCCTGCTGGGACCACCTGAAGGCCATTGCCAAGCACGAAACCAAGCCGGTGCTCAAAACCAAAATGTCCGAGTTCCTCCGAGACTGCGCCGAGCGAATAATCATCCTCAAGATCGTGCATCGGAGAATCGTCAACAGGTGTGTGTGTGTGCACATGCACGTCCATCCATTGAGGACTCGATCTTCTTCTTTGTCTTCTGAGCAGTCTCCGTCACTCGTGTGGTGTCTGATAAGCCACTGCGTCGAGCTATCATTTGTGGCCAGGTTGCTTCTAAAAAAATATCGAATTGCTTCCTGGTAAAATAAAAAAATTGTTGACTCGATCTTCTTCTTTGTCTTCTGAGCATTCTCCGTCACTCGTGTGGTGTCTGCCGACCCGGGTCAGACTCCCTTTGCGCTCATTCCCTGTACTCGACCATCTCCACGTCCATTACACAGCTCTTTGTGTCCTGGTTCACCATGTCAAGTCACCTCTCTCTCGGCCTGCCCTGGTGCTTCATTACTTTTAGATTATTCACATTATTCGGCCGCTATAAATGTCCACGTGATGATAAGCCACTGCGTCGAGCTATCATTTGTGGCCAGTTTGCTTCTAAAAAAATATCGAATTGCTTCCTGGTAAAATAAAAAAATTGTTGACTTTTATTTTTTTAGTGATTTTCTTACCTTTCCAGTACTTTGCACTGTCGTGTTTTTGTATCGTCTGTTGTAACTTTCTGACCCACCCCTGCTGGACAGCTGTTAAAAAGAGCTTTACAGCTCATCGCATTCCTCCAGTATAAATATAGATTATGATCTTCTTTGGTTCTTTCGGTAAAGTCACGTAGAATGATAATAAAATAATAAATTGATAAAATAAAATAACACAATAATATTCTCACGACGTTTCGGCCACAACACAAGCGGCCTTCATCAGGTGAAGGGGGGCGAGACTGTCTGGTAGGACAGCGCTGGAGTGAAAGAGCCACGTTCAGATCACGGCCTTTAAGCTGTGTGAGAGGAACAAAGCGCCTGCTGCAGAAATAGAGCTTGTACCTGCCTCAAATTTCAGCACCACGGGCCCCGTTCAGACGGACGAGTTCGTCCATGGTCGGAACAGAGGAGGGGGAGAGAGACAGCTGCGAGGCCCTAGTATGCTCCATATTGTAAAACTATACCATTAACCGTGGTGTGAGAGGTATTAAGAGGCAATGCTGGCGAAAGAGCTGCGGTCTGAAGGTCATCGTAAAAATACAATTAATTAAGAACAGAAATGATTTAAGACATCTTTCCAGTGGTTACTAAGCCTGAAACCATCTTCTCGGTTGAAATTGTCTCTGTGCTTGTATATGTGAATGGCCTCATGAACCAATCTCTCATGGTAGCCGGTTGGTTTGCAAAGAACCTCCGTCTTGGAGAAGTCAATGTCATGTGAGCCCACTGAATTATAACAGTGATCTGCCACGGCAGAGGAGTTCGTCCTACCGTGTTTCAAGTCTGCTTTGTGTTCGCGGATGCGGTCCGAGATATGTCTTTTGGTTTCTCCAATGTAGCTACTACCACAGAGGCACTTTAGTTTGTAAACGCCCGGGTACTGTATGTCTGGAACAGCATCTTTTACAGATGGAACTAAATCACGGATTTTATGTACTGTGTTGAATCGGACCTGGATCTTGTGTTTGTTCAGGATTTTGGAGATCTTTTTAGTGACCCCTGCAATGTAGGGTAAGGTGATGGTTTTGAGTGGCTCCACAAGAGGATCCTTCTTCTGATTTAGTTCCATCTGTAAAAGATGCTGTTCCAGACATACAGTACCCGGGCGTTTACAAACTAAAGTGCCTCTGTGGTAGTAGCTACATTGGAGAAACCAAAAGACATATCTCGGACCGCATCCGCGAACACAAAGCAGACTTGAAACACGGTAGGACGAACTCCTCTGCCGTGGCAGATCACTGTTATAATTCAGTGGGCTCACATGACATTGACTTCTCCAAGACGGAGGTTCTTTGCAAACCAACCGGCTACCATGAGAGATTGGTTCATGAGGCCATTCACATATACAAGCACAGAGACAATTTCAACCGAGAAGATGGTTTCAGGCTTAGTAACCACTGGAAAGATGTCTTAAATCATTTCTGTTCTTAATTAATTGTATTTTTACGATGACCTTCAGACCGCAGCTCTTTCGCCAGCATTGCCTCTTAATACCTCTCACACCACGGTTAATGGTATAGTTTTACAATATGGAGCATACTAGGGCCTCGCAGCTGTCTCTCTCCCTCTCCTCTGTTCCAACCATGGACGAACTCGTCCGTCTGAACGGGGCCCGTGGTGCTGAAATTTGAGGCAGGTACAAGCTCTATTTCTGCAGCAGGCGCTTTGTTCCTCTCACACAGCTTAAAGGCCGTGATCTGAACGTGGCTCTTTCACTCCAGCGCTGTCCTACCAGACAGTCTCGCCCCCCTTCACCTGATGAAGGCCGCTTGTGTTGTGGCCGAAACGTCGTGAGAATATTATTGTGTTATTTTATTTTATCAATTTATTATTTTATTATCATTCTACGTGACTTTACCGAAAGAACCAAAGAAGATGAATCATTGCAGTCACGAAAGCTTTAAATCGAAAAATAGATTATGATTCTGAAACTACTGGACACATTTATTCGCTGTCGTTTTGGAGGTGATTTGAGTTTAAAGCAGTGATCAATCGCAGGGGAATCACAACCGCTTACGCCGCAGTGAACACAGTTGGCTCACAAAAGAGCCACAGTGCACAGAAAGCGGCCGTGGTTTGGAAGAAAACTGATTCCCGAACAATGAAGAGGTGTATATTCTTGGTTCTTTGGGTAAAGTCACGTAGAAGGGAAACAATAAAATAATATAAATATATTTTTTTAAACGCCATTTTTATCAAATTTTCTTGCTGTGGTTTTCACACCTGATGATGATTGCTTGTGTTGCAGTCGAAACGTCGTGAGAATTTTATTGTTTTATATTTGTATTATTTTATTTTTTCCCTTCTACGTGGTGACTTTACCGAAAGAACCAAGAATATGAATCCCTGCAGTCACGAAAGCTTTAAATGAAAGAATAAAGAGGTGATGGAGGGTGTACCTCGCCACCTTGACATGCCTGCCTACGGATGATACTTGTCTATGATTCTCATCGTGATTCGTACACGATTAGAACCATATAACAAGTACAGCGCAGAGCAGTCACGAATTGCAGTGCAAAAGCAACCGGCACGCCCTGTCCCTCTCCTCCCACGACTCCTAACGAGTGGGACGGGTCGGCTTAAATAGACAACAACAAAAATCTTAAAGTTCGGAGACGATAAGCGGGCAACTCCGCATTGCGTTCTGTCCTCCGGAGAAGTGAGCGACTCCGCAACAGCTAGGCACCAGGGGTTTGTGAAACGGCGAAACTTTTATTTCCACGTGTTCTTCCTAAGGGCATTTGCGTATTTGCAATAGTGACCAATAACACCCTCCGCGTCACGACACCGCAGCTTAATCTCTCGGCACGGAGTTCGCCCAAATCTAAGAGCACATGGGGCTCGGGGTCCTACCCCTGGTCACCATTGCCTTCACTTAAAATAAGTAAATAAAGATACGCACCTGGCTACCCGTAGCTATCAGCAGAGCGCACAATTATATACGCGCGTTTGATCGCAGGTGAGCTCACACCGGCCACACAAGGCTATCGATTCAGTGATGATCAAATGACGGCCGTGGACTATGGTGCGGCGGCCAAACGAGCCAACGGCTTGACGTGCATCGTGCCGCCCCTCCCGCCGTCGCCAGGTTCCACGCGTTCATGCTGTACATCGGACACGCGCCCTACTCCATCCGGGACGTGAGCATCACGCGCTTCTGCCGAATCGTGAGCGAGTTCGCGCTGGAGTACCGCACGGCGCGCGAGCGCGTGCTGCAGCAGAGGCTCAAGCGGGCGACGCATCGCGAGCGCAACAAGACCCGGGGGAAGATGATCACCGACGTGAGTGGCCGGCTGGCAGCGTCCCCCCCCCCCGCGTGGCTCCCCGCGAGGCTGCACGTGGAAGTAACCCCCCCCCACCCCCCAGCCCCCCACCCCCCCACTGCCACCAAAAAACAATTGGTCGCAAACGCCGCCCCCTGATGCGCTGCACCTGCTTACACCACGTACTGTCGTCTGCAATCGCCCCGTTGCTGCAATGGCCGGGTCGGATGTCGACGTCTCACCCACCCTCGTGTTGGGAGGATCAGCTCGAGAATAATCTCCCAGCACGTGGCGGAGCGGACCGTCGGACACCGTGCCGAACAACGCGCGGTACAACCCGAGAACGCATCGGAGACCTACGCGGGGAAACTGCTCAATCCTACGCAGTCGCACATTATTCCAATAACAGGATTCATTTTTGCCCAGTGGATTTTGCTCCAGTTTTTTGCCTCCGTTTAGATATACAAAAAAACAACAATCGTTTACTCCTGCGTCAGCAGTTCTCCTGCTGTGTTTGTCTCACCTGATGACGATTGCTTGTGTTGCGATCGAAACGTCGTGATCTATTAATTTTCTACCTACCACGTGACTTTACCGAAAGAACCAAAGAGTATGGATTCCTGCAGTCACGAAAGCTTCGAATCAAGATTGAACAATAGTTGAATGCATCTATGTGAGTAGCCTTACATGTTAAAAGTTACTAAAATGCTATATTACGTTTGACTGCCCAGTTATTACTGTGATGTGCACAGGTGTTCAGAGACAATAGTGATTTAAGCTCAGTTGTGAGAGATAGTCATTCAAATATCGAGTTACATTCAATAAAAATAATGTAAGTTTCAACCATAGTATCCTTTTGTGGATTCCACATTTATAGAGCCCTAACAGCATTCCTTTGGGGTTGCTATGGGATGGTAAACGGCACGTTAACTCATGCATAGGAAATACACACAGCAGGCATCATCCGCCCCGTAGTGAGACCAGAAATACCGATTTAAAGTAAGTGTTCTTGGAATCACAAAACAATAATTCAGGTTTAAGATGAATACATGAATTTTATGTTATGAAAAATCTCAACATTAAACAGTCGGTAAACCTTTTTAATGGATAATTGTTTCAAATTTACATTCCAAATTTGTACATGCTATTAAATTAATACTTTGTTTCATAAAAATAAAAGATATTTCCAGTAGCGGGAAAATGTTCACTTACGTATGTTTAGTGAGGAAAAAAAACACATTCAACAGCTACCATTATATTCTTTCAACTGTTGGGCCACCACTGTAATACATTACAGATATTCACCGACAAAGAGCTTCACTGCTTTCGTACATGTTTCTTAAAAAAGAAATCAATCTTTTGTGTTGAAGGCATCTATTCATTACAATGTGGTATCTTTTGTTTGAAATTCCTGTCATTGCCCATCTGCTTAATTTTAATGCATGATGTCCCTTCATTTATGCCTCCTGTATTATTTATGTGCCCATAGCGTTACACACTGAAACGCCAGCAAGTATTATTTTCATCCTTTTGAGTCCTTTTCAAATTGTAGGCTCCTTCCTTTCGAGAAGCCTGCATTCAGAAGCACGCTTTTAAAGATCAATTAATCCCGCTTGACAAATTATACTGGCCAGTTTACATTGGCCGTAGCCACGGCAAAGAAAGTACAATAAAGTAGGAGAAAACGAATCATAACAAACGGTGTGTTTTGCCAACCAGTGCTATCTGCAAAATGTATTGCATTTGGAATGTGGTTCTCGCGAAATTTGTTTAACTTTTCATTGCAGTCACTTTGATCAAGCGTACTCTCTCTCGTAACTCTTTTGCTTTTCTTCTGCATTTGTTTCCTCCTGCATCCCACCCGTGTCCCATCATCGCGCCTTTGCCTCTTCTTCATAGACCGACGATGAAGAGGCAGCGGAGGTAGAGTACCCTGAGACAAGTAAACTCACTACTAACCCTCATCGTGTTCCCCGCGCTGCTCAACTCACTCCTGGGGCTTTCGTTTAAATCACGCTTTCATGGTGCCCACAATTTATGGCTTTTGTCGGGAAAAAAGGTGGCAGTTAAGGCGGTGGTAAAGATACAGCCCTGCAATTGCTTGCTCACGTGACTCCGGGGAGGGGGGGTAGAAGGATCTCCACCAGAAGGAGCTCGAGAGCCCCTCTAAAGCTTCGTTGGCTGCCTCTTCCACGTTGGCCAGATGTTTCGGAAGAGGTGGAACTACCCTGACTGTACCCTACCACACACAACCTACCGGTCTGCTGTGTTGGGGGGAAGAGGCAATAAAATGTTTGCTGTGGTTTTTTTTTTCTTCTTAAAAATTTATGTTACTTAAATAAATATGGACGTAAATATTTTGGAATTGAAAATATACAACATGAATGCCAATTATATTTTTCCACATGCAAAATGTATTTTCAATTCATTTTCATTTTGAATTCACTACGTTATTATTCAGGAAACGAATTTGTTTTCAATTGCCTCGTCATTTATCATACTGACCCACCCATACTGGATGCACTTTAAAAAAAGAGCTTCATGGTTCATCGGATTCCTCATGAAGTCTAAATAAAGATTTTCATTCTGATCAAAGGGACATACATCCACAAAAAAAGGAATATACGTTCCACATTCCTGTGATCGTCAAATCAAAGTACGTTTTAGATGGGGCCTTGTTGGTTGAAGGCATGCACATGTGCACACACACACACACACGTGTGCACCCAAACACCACACACATACCTGACTCTCCCACTCACGTTAACACCCTCGCCTTCACAAGACCAGCTCGTTGCTGTCAGTGCTTTACTAACCTTTGCCGGGATTGAAAATACTATCACAGGTAATGTAAGAGCCGCAACTGCACTGAACTTTGTCAACTCTAGATTGTTCAGTAGCTTGCTTTGTCAACCTGTAAGATTGAAAGTTGCCTTGCTCGGAGGGTTGCAATAATGACTGCAACAGCAATGAAGGAAGATGGTTGTGGTTGCAAGAGACAATGATTTTATCAGGATTTAAATACATATCCGATAGGTTTTCAATCTAACAAATACCCATGAATGTTCTACTTATCATTGGCAAATTGCTGCTCATATCTTTTACACAGCTCAGCATAAGCGTATCTACACAAGGGCGCTATAACTTTACAATCAAAACAAAGCAAAGCATAAAATGTTTACTGCGCAGTATTGCCCAAAAACATCGCAATGCTGAAAAGTTTCCTGCAAATTACTCAGCTGCGATTACGCACAGCAGTCAGCAGCGGTTATTGCAGGAACCTCCTGCAAAAATACTCACTGAGGCTCTCCCGGGTAAAAAGAAAAGCATTGTAAATTAAAAAAAATAATATTTTACACGTAGTATCGCAGTTTTGTTCGGAGCATTTGTGGAAAGTTTAATCAGCTCGATGATGCACGCCGCCTTTCGATGGTCCGACGGCATTTCACAGCGCGCTGCAGACGGAGCGTTGCTGCACTGTGGCTCTTGTTGCAGTCCGATCCCAACGGCCCGCTTTGATCTTAATCCAAGATTTAAAAAAAAGCGGTTGAAATTCCCTCCAAATATGTCATATCTTTGCGTGTTCGCATCTTCTCCGGTACGCGGTTGCTGCTATTGTCTCCAATGCGCATCGAGGAGCAATACAAAGCAGGAGAGCGCCGACATGGTGATCAGTGCACTGCACTGCGAAGCCAACGAGACGAGTTTTATCCCTGTGCCAAGTCTAGCATCAGTGGTCGGGTAATGTCTGAACCCGCAATGACCAGCGTGGTGAAGTATGGGCAAACAACCGCCATGATCAGTGCAGTGCGGTGAAGTCTTCCTGCAGCATTGAATTAACGAAGGGATGTAAATTAAATATAAGTCATATTTGGTTCATCCACCAGACTTTCTTTGGGATGTGCATACTTTCATATGGTATTTTACATCTAGACGAGTTGGCCTACAAGGTGGGCAAAAGTCCACTGGTAAAATTAATCATAATAAAGGTTTTTTTGGGTTAGATCGCTTAAGTATGAATGTGTCGTAACTCTCCACCACCCGACACAGCCAATTAGTAAGGGATTTGTCACGTAAACAAAACGCCAATTAGTTACTACTTCAGCACACCGGTGCGTTGGAGAGTAAATGTAGTAACTAATTGGCGCTTTGTTTACGTCACAAATTCCTTTCTAATTGGCTGTGTCGGGTGGTGTATGTTTACGACACATTTATACTTCCGCGATCTAACCCAAAAACCTTCATTATTATACATTTTCCCAGTGGATTTTTGCTCCAGTTATTGCCTCCGTTTAGATATAACATTGCTTGACAAACACAATAGTTTCATGCATCTATGAGAGCAGCCATACACGTTAAAAAGTTACCATGCTATAGTATTGCGTTCGACTACCCAGTTATTGCTGTGATGCACACGTGTGTTGAGTGACAATGATGATCTAAGCTCAGTTGTGAAAGTAATTCATACACTAAGTTACATTTAATACAAATAATGTAGGTTTTGACTTAAAACTTTAATGACTGCAGGAATTCATATTCTTGGTTCTTTCGGTAAAGTCACGTAGATATAAAATAATATTTTTTTTATTAAAGTAGAAAATAATAAAAGATACAAAAAACCACGATGTTTCGATCGCAACACAAGCGGACTTTACCGAAGGACCGAAAGAACCAAGAATATAAATAATGTAAGTTCGACGTTCATACAACATACCTAGTGTGAGTTTACCATCTTTCTTTTTTGCGGGGGAGGGGGGGGGTGGATGCCAGTAGCGAAAAAGTTGGGCACAGATTGTCCCCTCCCCAACTCCCCCCCTCGAGTATTAAGGCTTTCCATTTGAGACCACTGACTCGAACTTAACGTAAATGTCGAGCGGAGTTGCTGTAATTGCATGATTGCCTGGCGGTGATGGCGTGCGTCGGCGCTGCACGCACACTGCACGGTTGGGACTTCTCGGCCGCGAATGCAATCTGATCCATTCCTCTCTCCTCTCCCTCGTCCCACCGGTCCCCTTGTGCACTTTACACAATCAGAGCCCTTGGCAAAGGAGAATGCAAATGCATATTTACTGTGATGGGACAACGACCTTACAGCTACTATTTTTTAAATTGTAAATTTCCACCACTGTACACACCACAGCAAATATTTAGCGTTCATTAATTACGTAAATCCACCGCTCCGCAGTTAACACTGCAAGCAAACTGCATCTTTAGTCCTGCAAGTTTAGACAATGGAACACCCGCATTGAATGTGCGCGCATATATATACACCATGCAATAGTATCCCCCCCGACTCGGGAGGCAAATTAGTTGAATCCGTTTCGAAGGTCAAATCTGAATATGTGAACTCGGATTTGACTGGCATTAAGATAAGTGTTTCGGGTTTAGCATTAGCAGGTTGAGTTACACTTAGAGTGGTCGCGTTAGAGCTAGCTTTTTACGGTTAGTGTTACAGTTGAGTGCTTATCTTGAACTACATAAAAAAAGAATGGAAATGCTGCTCATATCACCTGCACCATGTGGCCAATTCTGCACCATTCCCAAGGTTACAAGGGCAACAGCGTTAAAACAATAGATTTGTTTGCATTTTTTTTGCACTGGGGAGTTGGAAGATATATGTTGCTCGTTATTCGTGCTGAGCTGCGTAATTCTACCCCCCCCCCCCTACTGCCATGTACAGTACGAGAGATACTTTTGTGACTGAGTAATCCGTAACTGAACTCGAATCCTGTCGACTGCGAGCCTCACGCACGGCTTTTGTTGAACAACGCATACCTCAAGGAGAGCATATCTCGAATTTCACCTTTTTCGAGGAAAATTACAGAGGATGTAAGAGCTGTTCCATTTAAGAGCCCCATTATGTCCTTAACGTAATTGTAAGCAAACCCCAGAACAATGATCTTAATATGATAAATGAAAAAGTACAAGACTGCATTGTAATTGTCCATATCTCGTTTCAAAGCATTTCATTTGTTTTTAAACCACCAATACAATTGTGTATGTTCACATATATGCATTATTTTACCTTTGACTGTCCTCAAAAGAGGAATTGCTTTGACATTTATCTGGGGGCCTATTATAACAACTATTTCGAGGCTTTCTCGTGGAAAACACTACAAACGAAATGCCTGTTACATTTTAAAATCAGCCTTTTGTAAAACAAAAACAAAAAAAACCCCACACAGCCGCGAATGAGAATATACTTATATTTTAACACCGGCACCATGTGATTTTTCAATGTATTCGTGTAAGTGCTATATGATGTGACAATTTTACGTAGTCAGCATTTTAATGCGGGACAGGGGGGTGGTTTGCACTCCCACTGTTGCCGTTACTGCAGGCCGCTCCTATCCCATGGCCGTCGCACTCCGCGCCGTTGCTGCGAGCATTATTGTTGTACGCCTGCCAACTTTTTTTTCTCTCCACTCTCCATTGGGGTATCTCCTTTAACGAGCCACCAGTCGAACGTAATCCTAGCAAGATGCCCCCGCCGCTGTCCCAGGAATGGAAAAAAAATAATCAGCTATAATGGCAACATGGAACAGTAGTTGCAGAAGAATAAATATTAAACTGTCAAATGCATTAAACTTGTAAACACCACGGAGGGGAAGGTTAGTTATAGTCAGAGTTTATCACGCGCATTTTAATTCACGTAATTGTCCCGTATCCTTCCAATGGTAATTCTTGTTAGAGCACTCGCAATCACGAAGCCGCGAGTTCAAATGCTGACCCTTGCCCTCGGAATGTAGACTTTCCACCACTGACTCAAGTCAATTTTTTTTTTACAGTCAGGAGATGAGCAGCAGCTCCACACCTTCTACACTTCCATCCCATTCCATTCCCTGATCTTGTCTCGCTTTTAATCCTCGGGGGGGGGGGGGGGGGGGGATGTTAACCTATCCCCTTTGCTTGATGTAAAGTTTGTTCCATTGTCACTCCTTGACCCAGATCCCCCTTGAAGAAGAGACATGCAGTCTCAATGGGTTCTCCCCCATTGCAACCGTGCTCTTCCTGGCATGCACACACACATTCTAAGATCTCTTTGCCGCATAATAATAATAATGTCGTGATAATTACAGACCTGTATCACTCCAATGCTGGATGAAGGCTTCTCCACAGAATGGGCGTTGTTTGACCGTACCTAACCACCCGAGGTAGCCAGCTGCACCTCCGGTTAGCGCGGTAGGCTACGTACGGTGCAAAAGAAGGTTAACATACATACAACATACATGCTGATCAGTGTTGGTTGATGGGGGGGGGGGGGGTACAATTGGTTCAGACAACCCCCTCCACAGATGTTAGCCTTGGCCGAGAATTGAACTTAACCCACTGGGTTCACAGCGCAGTGAGCCATGATATTAGTTTCATTAAATAGTGCCATTTAAAGTACCATTACAGTCGCCAACATACAGTACTTGGATATTTGCATGAGGCCGATCCAACTAGATCAAGTGCAACCACATGTCATGCTCTGCAAAGGCGTTTTGCAAATTTTGGCAACTACGCAGCAGAAAGAATAAACTTTCATGCAGTGCACTGGATATGCAAATGTGAAGTGTACCCTAATTAATCACGTGTAATTGTGATAATGTTTTTTTTCCCAATGCATGCAACGTCGATCATGAGCAATGTTTGAATATTCACCAAGCTGAGCCAGTTCGAGATCGGTGTTAGCCATGGCCCGGAATCAACCTCATCAGGTTCACAGTGCAGTCCGCTAAACCCTCTTCCACCGCACGGAGGTGTTAATTGATAAAATGTTGAACTTCTATCGCACGGTATGTAGCCAAATGTGCTGATCAGAGGTGTGGGGGGGTGGAAGAATAACAAACTAAACACAAAAAGCAGTTCTAAAGAACTTCGTTTTCACTTCAGATTTAAAAGTGCACAGCTCTGGTGGCTTCCTAACATCCAATTCAAAACTGTGGCGCCCCGCTCCCCTTTGCCCGCCACGGCCACGGCTCGTGAACGCAGAGCGGGAAGTTCTCGGGCGGCAGTGCCCAGTCGCCCCTGGCGGCGTCGGCGTCGGTGCCGGCCGTGCGGAGGCAGCTGGCGGCCGAGGACGACGCGGAGCACGAGAACATGAAGGCCGTTCTGCGCACGTCCGTGCACGCGAGCGGCGGGCTCCACTCGTCCGTGCCCGGCACTCGCACGCGCGCACGTGCCCGCGCAAGCCGCGGTCAGTAAATCGCCCGACAGCCGCTCCCGTTTTGACATTTCCATAACGACAGAGATTCTCCCTGCAAGTAGCCTGAGCCGACTGGTGGGGGCGAGTGCCGTTAGCGTGCTGCACCTATGAAGGCTGGCAACGGCGACACACGAGGGGGGTGGGGTGGCCTTTGACGCCACAGCGACGATAGTTACGCACCGCACCAGGTACTCGTTTGACGATGAAGTTGACCTAGGGGAGGCCCAGGACCGTTTCAGATAATCGTCATTGATGTTGGTCGTGAGCGGGAATCGAACTCGGGTCACCGGATTCATTGCGCAGCGCGCTAACCGCTATGCTACCGCTCCCCCCCACACACACAGGTCAAGATAAAGGCCCCCCCCCCCCAGTTTTTCCGTGACAGACTTTAACACGAGCAGGCTTTCATGACCAATATGATGCATTACAATTTTTGGGTCAGATTTGGGCGTAAGTAAAATGTGGGTCGTAAACCCTCCACCACCCAACACAGTCAATTAACAAGGTTGTCTCGTGGTGGTTCTGCACATCGGTGTGCTGGAGAGAAATTCACAACATTTAACTCTTTGGGTACGATGTTTCGCTGGTAGCTCCATAACAGATATGTGGAATTACAATAATGGCTGGGTCCCCAACAGTTCTGAGCATAAGACTCGATGCTAATTTAAGCAAGGGGAAACAGTTTGACATAATTCCAACTATATTGACGACCTCCCATTCCAGATCAATAGTATTTCAACAATGTAATTTTAACGTCAAAGCGCATGACCAAACGCCATTGTCATGACCACTGCCTCTCCCTGCCAAAAACACAAAACTTTATTTAGTTTATGTCGCAATGGTTTATGTGTGAGAAACTTCTTATCGGCAGGCTTTTATGAAATTGCATAAGTAATGCAAATATACACATAATAAACCCAGATCGTTTAACCTCATCAAATGTTTATCAAAATAAATATTTCACATTGTGACAAAACGTTTCAACGCCCTAAATGGTCACTTAGAAGGTTTAAAATATTTTTTTGTTTTGATTATTTTTAAGGATTTTTTTCTCTCTCTCGTTTCTCCTCTCCACTTCCAGTTTGGGGAAAAATAAAACCAACATAATGGCGCTGACAATGCATGATTTATGATTTATGATTCTTATTTTCACTCGTGACCTGTACGGCACCTCAAATGTGTGCCCCGGCGGAGCGATTCATGACGGGCATTAAGCAGGGCTCGTTTTTTTTCTCACATTAAACATTTTTTTCCTCTCGCCTGGTCGCAGGCCGGGTGAGCACGGGGAGCGCTCCGGTGTTCGACGACTCCCCCAATGCGACGGACGACGCCACCGATGAGATAATGGACCGCATCGTCAAGTCGGCCACGCAGGCCCCGTGCCAGCGAGCAGCTACTCGTGAGCGACGGCGCTCCCGGGCCAACCGCAAATCCCGTAGGTTTCAGCCCCCCCCCCCCCTCCCCCCTCGCACACACCCTGCACCCCGGTCGGTACCTCTGCAATGCGGTGCATCTTCTTGATAGTTTTTTAGAACTAAACTGAACCACAATTTTTTTTTTGTATTTTACCGGGCAAGGCCTACTTGTAACTGCGCTATACAGTACAGCTCTTTTTTTGAAAAGCGGCTTGGCCACAAACGATAGCTCATCGAAGTGGCTTATCGCGTGGAAATGTATCCCAGCCAAATATTCTAAACGCATGTTTATGAATGTGGGGGGGGGGGAAACTGGAGGACCCGGAGAGAAAACCATGTGACCACGGGGAGAACATGCAAATTCAAAATATACAGGTGTCAGGGTCGGGATCGAACCCACGACCTCCTATATACGCATATATATATATACCTTTATGTATATGCATGGTGTGCAGGAAGGCATGGTAGGATTCCGGGGAACTGGGATATATCAGTGGGGGGTGGAACGGTGGATAAGTGGTTAGGCTAAGTCGTTAGTGCACTATAAAACCAGTGACCTAAGTTCAATCTCCAGTCATGGCAAGCATCACTGGTAAGTGATATGTGAACCAGTCCTGCCAATCGCATCTCTCCCCCCCTCCTTTTATCAACCTACACTAACGACTGCAGTAAAGTATGGGCAAACAACCACCATAATTGAAAAGTTTGGGGAGGACTTCACCCAGCAGTACTGTAAATAGTATTGTTACATCAGTGGTAAGTGATATCTGAGGGTCTCAGACTTTAGCCAAAACTGCAAATGAGTGCCCGGTTTGGTGTGACAAGATCAGTACAAGCAAAACAAAGACAGCTGGGAGTGGTGCAGGCTATGCCACTCTGTGTGCCATGCCCGTCATAATACGAATAATAATAATAATAAGCTAATTTATCCGGGAAAGCCACAGTAAGTCTTAAGACATCTTCCGGAGGGTCCTGCATTGGGTTTTTACTTCAAGATGTTTTCAGCCAATGAATGTTTATACAAGTGGGACAAAACCGGAGGATACCCCCGCACGCAAGGGAGCAACACTCTATCCCCATACAGATGGAAACAGATGGCAATTAGTAAACTTGCTTGGCTGCCTTTTCCCGGTCGCGGCAAGCCAAGGTATAGCACCTTGACGCCTACTGGAAGGGAATCTCACAACATTTGTGCTATGCACCAACCCTCGCTGGATTACAGGTCACGTGCATAGCCACCAACGCCCAGCATTATAGGTGCTCGCCAACAGCACTTGCCTCTACAAAAAGAGGAATCTTTGTCTGTCTCTGTACGACGTTGTGCGCTCTACTCCAGGGGAATATTTGTTGGAGTCAGACGGTGGGTTTTTTATGCTGTCATCTGTGCAGTCAAAAACGTGGCATCTGTAATTAAAGCAAAAAAAATCTGGACACACACGCTTTCTTTACAGTTTATGCTATCTACTATCTTGCCTTTTCTAATTATACATGCAACATGTTCTGCCAAAAGTATTATGAATGAGATTTTAAAGCGTTGCAAAGCATTCACGTTATTGCTTAATTTAATGTAGTCATCTTTAACATCACATTCTTCATTACTTAAATATCATGACAATCGCATAGATGGGCTTTAATATTTGTTGGTGTCATTATTATTATCTCACTAAACAAAAACTATACAATTCAACACACAAACATAAAAAATATAAAATATACGTTGCAGTTTCTGCCACCTTTTTACAAAATCCTAGTTTATTGCGAAACAAATCACACAGCAATCCCACGGGAATGCTACCGCATCCTACAGGAAATTTCAAATTCCTATAGAATCCTGTGGGACGTTTTTCTTTTTTTTTTTTAAATCGGTCAGGATCCTATGGTAAGGGTTGCACACTATAAACAAAAGACAAGTCCAGTCCTCAGGAGAGTACACACATTCAAAACACCGTTGGAAGGGTTCAAGTGCAAAAACTAGTTGAACGTAACATAAACATATTCTTCGTTCTTTTGGTAAAGTCACGTATAAGGGAAATAATAAAATAATAAAAATAAAACAATTAAATTCTCACGACGTTTCGATTACAACACAAGCAATCATCATCAGGTGTGAAAACCACTTTACCGAAAGAACCAAGAATATGAATCCCTGCAGTCACGAAAGCTTTAAATCGAAATGTAACATAAACAGTTGAGCCAAATAGGCCAGGAAAGAAGGTAAATGTGCAGCACTGCAATTACTTAGCTCACGCCACTGCTAGTGGAAGGTCCTTCACTAGAGACACCTCTAGAGAGACGTCACTGCCAGTGGAAGGGCCTTCACTAGAGACACCTCTAGAGAGACGTCACTGCTAGTGGAAGGGCCTTCACTAGAGACACCTCGAGAGAGACGCCACTGCCAGTGGAAGGGCCTTCACTAGAGACACCTCTAGAGCGACGTCACTGCCAGTGGAAGGGCCTTCACTAGAGACACCTCTAGAGAGACGTCACTGCCAGTGGAAGGGCCTTCACTAGAGACACCTCTAGAGAGACGTCACTGCCAGTGGAAGGGCCTTCACTAGAGACACCTCTAGAGAGACGCCACTGCCAGTGGAAGGGCCTTCACTAGAGACACCTAGAGAGACGTCACTGCCAGTGGAAGGGCCTTCACTAGAGACACCTAGAGAGACGTCACTGCCAGTGGAAGGGCCTTCACTAGAGACACCTCTAGAGAGACGTCACTGCTAGTGGAAGGGCCTTCACTAGAGACACCTCTAGAGAGACGTCACTGCCAGTGGAAGGGCCTTCACTAGAGACACCTCTAGAGAGACGTCACTGCTAGTGGAAGGGCCTTCACTAGAGACACCTCTAGAGAGACGTCACTGCCAGTGGAAGGGCCTTCACTAGAGACACCTAGAGAGACGTCACTGCTAGTGGAAGGGCCTTCACTAGAGACACCTCTAGAGAGACGTCACTGCTAGTGGAAGGGCCTTCACTAGCGACACCTCTAGAGAGACGTCACTGCTAGAGGAAGGGCCTTCACTAGAGACACCTCTAGAGAGACGTCACTGCCAGTGGAAGGGCCTTCACTAGAGACACCTCTAGAGAGACGCCACTGCCAGTGGAAGGGCCTTCACTAGAGCCACCTCTAGAGAGACGTCACTGCCAGTGGAAGGGCCTTCACTAGAGACACCTCTAGAGAGACGCCACTGCCAGTGGAAGGGCCTTCACTAGAGACACCTAGAGAGACGTCACTGCCAGTGGAAGGGCCTTCACTAGAGACACCTCTAGAGAGACGTCACTGCTAGTGGAAGGGCCTTCACTAGAGACACCTCTAGAGAGACGCCACTGCCAGTGGAAGGGCCTTCACTAGAGACACCTAGAGAGACGTCACTGCCAGTGGAAGGGCCTTCACTAGAGACACCTCTAGAGAGACGCCACTGCCAGTGGAAGGGCCTTCACTAGAGACACCTAGAGAGACGCCACTGCCAGTGGAAGGGCCTTCACTAGAGACACCTAGAGAGACGTCACTGCCAGTGGAAGGGCCTTCACTAGAGACACCTCTAGAGAGACGTCACTGCCAGTGGAAGGGCCTTCACTAGAGACACCTCTAGAGAGACGTCACTGCCAGTGGAAGGGCCTTCACTAGAGACACCTCTAGAGAGACGCCACTGCCAGTGGAAGGGCCTTCACTAGAGACACCTCTAGAGAGACGCCACTGCCAGTGGAAGGGCCTTCACTAGAGACACCTAGAGAGACGTCACTGCCAGTGGAAGGGCCTTCACTAGAGACACCTCTAGAGAGACGTCACTGCTAGTGGAAGGGCCTTCACTAGAGACGCCTCTAGATAGACGCCACTGCTAGTGGAAGGGCCTTCACTAGAGACACCTCTAGAGAGCCCCCCTCTCTTAGAGAGTTAATTTGGCCTACCCATTCTACGCTGGCCAAACATCTGGGAAGAAGTGGGAGTATCCACGTTTGACCCTGTCACAGGTGACCTGCCGATCGACTTTACTGATGCACCCATTCTACGCTGGCAGGTGAAGAGGCGGTATGGGATTTTAAGAAATTTGCACCATTGCTTCAACTGCCGCGCCAGGTAGATGCAGTAGAACCGGTGACATCCGGATTGCAAGTCCAGTGTTGCTGACTTGGGCTGAACGATTTGGGGAAAAATATCTAATTCCGATTTTTCTGACTGATATTGCGATTACATTTTTTTTAGTCAAGCTTCAGTTCAATATTCACTGTGTAATAGATTTAAAACATGTGATGGAGCATTACCACATGATACCATCAAAATATTAACTGCTCTATATATTCTAATGCAAGGATGAGAACTTAAAAGATATGAATTGCTTCCAAAATGTATTTATAAAAATGTTTTAATTGAAATAGAACAATCAAACATGGAACAATTGCCAAGTTAAATAAATAAAGTTATAATAATACAAATATAAAACAATCGCAACAAATCGTAGCCTTTGCGATTTGCTAATCGCATTGCTTTAAATTGTGATTTCGATTTGAAATCGATTAATCGTTCAGCCCTATTGCTGATCATCACACCACGGCAGAGTATCCCCATCACGGCGTTATTTATTATAACACAGCTCACATGCGCTCAACAGGCCTGTACATAAGGACATTTCCTATGGTGATGCCAATCGAAGCCAACAGAACCATAGATTCACTCAAAAGGTCACACAAATGCAATTAACCAATGCCAAATTGCATCCAGGTGTTCAGAATGCCTGGCTATCAATGTGTTATAGAATTTCCAAGGCTGTTTCTGTGGCATTTTGAGACATCTGCAGCTATTACTACTGTAGTCGGCTGCAAGGGTATTGCATGTCACTATAATGCCAATGTTTCTTTAAAACAAAAGGTTCCGACAGGATGTGGTACTATATAATAAACTAAGATGGGAATTCAATGGCATGTACAGCTGTGTCACACAATATCACAACATACTTAATATAGGACATCATGTAATTGTCAGTTAATGACCAAATAACATGTGCAGGCTGGCTCGCATTTCTTATACAAGACTACGTTTTAAAGTACCGCAAGAGAAAACCTTCAGTGAGAAAACCAATGCAATTCAACGTAAAGATTGTAATCATTATTATTCCAATTAGATGCCAGGAGCATTTTTTTCCCCCTCATGCTGCATAGGCATTCCAAATGCGCACGACCTTTTCTGTTTTTTTTGCCATCGAATGCGCATTACAATCAATACATTACATATGTGCGCAACTTTAACTTAGTGCCATTTGTATATCTTAAAGCATGAATGTACCCACTATTTAAGCTCTTCCACGTGTTGTCGGTTGCTTCGGCATATGTTGTCTGTCGTTTTTGCTCCACGTGCTGGGAGCAGGGCCGTATTATCCGATAGGCACAGGAGGCCTATGCCTAGGGCACAGTAGGCCCTGTGCTTAGGCCCTGTGGAAACTGTAAGGCCTGCGAAAAAAAATGCGACCGCGTCTTTTTTTTGTTTGCGTGATACAAAAAAAAAGTAAATCAAGATATTATTCTTGAATACATTTATTTATAGAGCAGTTGAGGCACATTACACCTAAACTAACAGTCAAAGATTCTAAGCTTAAACGAAAGTAAAGCAATATGGCGCTCGCCATGCGGTCATCCTGTCAGAACATTGAACATTTTACAGATGAAAATTAACAGCATTCTTTTAAAACTTGCGTCAGCCGCTATAATCATCGTAAGAAATAGTTTAATACATTGCTGCTCGTAATCTTTTTAGGCTTTCCTTGTTTTTTCCCCCCCACCAAATTTCAAATTGAATCTGCTCATCGGCGGCACCCAATGCACGCTCCCATCAAATGGAGGCACAGACCAAACGATGAACGTATCAGAAACGACATCTGTCCAGCGGCTGGAACTAGTACCACGTGAAACAAGCGGAGTGACAGCGGCGGTCGTGACATGGGCCAGCAGCAGTACCAACTGTGGAAAGTTATCACTGAAGGCCCACTTTAATCCGGCCCTGGCTCGGAGCTCCTTCAGGAACTTGGATTCCCGGCTCATGGAGGGAATAAACATCAGGGGATTGTGTTGTTGGCGCAGCCCGAAAAACACATCGGGGAGCGTCACTGCACAACCGCAAAAAAAAAAAAACCTACTCAGTTGTATTACTCACCGTTTCTTTAGCATTTTCTTACCTCATCCGCTTCATCTCCTACCCCCATCCAACCACAATCTCATTAACGTGTCTCAGTGTCCTTCTTCTGAGCTGTTTGGCATGCATACCAAATGACCAAGGGGATCATCAATAATCCTCGTACAGTAATTGTAATCCTGAGGACATGACTGTTTTTTTTTTAATTCGTTTAATCTGACGTCGACGACGTGTGTACGTGTTTGCGCGTGTGTCTTTTGTGCGTGTCTTCTTTTTTTCTGTTGTTGTTGCAGTCCGCCGAACCCTGAAGAGTGGGTTAACGCCGGAGGAGGCCCAAGCCCTGGGGTTATTGGGCACCGCGGAGATGCAAGTGTAGGCAGATGTTCTGCGCGCAATGAATGGCCTTCCTTTAGACCTAGCCCCAGCCACAGATGCTTGAGAGATTCGCTGTGGCACAAATGTGAACTGTAGACTTTTACTTGTTAAAATGAGCACAAAAATAATGTTTCATTGTGGCCATCTCAACGATGTCATGCTGTATTGGACAAACGTTGTACACACACACACATGTTATTACCAAAGGCTAAAAAGGTGCATGGTGTAATGGAACAAAATTACGCTTTCATTCAAATTAATAAGACATTGTGCCTTTAGGAAACCAAAACAGTCGGGTAGAGTAAAACAAACATTTTAAGTAGTCACCAATAAGGTCTTGGTCTTGGTACTTGGATTCCTTCTTTAACCACTAAATAAATACAGCGACCTGGGGAAAAAATATACTGTCCCACTAAACATAGCCACTCATATAGCCTTTGCCGTAAACACACTGACTTTTACGTAACACTATGAACGAAATCTTTTAGACTCCTTCCAACTAGCTCCCTGAGAATTTTTTTTTTCTAATGAGCTTTTTTTTTACTAAACCTACTTTTATAAGTAGCAATTTTGTTTCTCAAGTTAGTTTTTGTTTCTGTAATACGCTGCCATTTTCTTTCAAATGACAGCACTTGCATACCTATTTTGGTGCCCTGAATGGACACACGTGTTTTATTATTATTATGATTGAAACGTTGTTAAAGAAGCATGTATGAATCCAAGAAAATTACTTTCCAAAGGTCTCTTCGAGCATTCTAGTGTGAATATGTGTGTGTGTGTTTAAGCTCAGATTACACAATGCTTAAAACAACGAACAGCTGACAAGCAAAAATAAGTAAGATATGTTGTTTTAGGTCAATATTGATGGATTTGTATGCAGTAACTTTATTTCCTTTTTTTCCCCCTTCTGTTTAACTTTCTTTTTGCGTTGTGTTCCCCTGTTCAAACTTGTTATTTTGAAAAATGCACTTTGTGAAACCAAATGGAACACTTTACGTTGGTAAAAAAATGTTAATCATACTCGCATGTTTAAGTTTTGCCTGCTTGCCGGTTCTCACAAACCACATTCAGCATATTTCTTACTTTGCTTTTATCAAAGTTTTACATATTTCACAACGATTTCAGGGTATTTGCTTGCATTACATATTAATCAGATTTTATTTCCCCGTAGTGAGATTTACCGTTGCTGTGTGGGTTAAACTAAATTTATTTGTCATTGCTTGTTAATAGTTAAGTACAAATATGTGGGTATCCAGTGTGAACATAGTTTGAGACTAGTTTGTCTAAACAGACATATTTCATGGCACCATTCATAGCAAACTAGCGTCAAAACCACACGACTTTAACAAAAACAGATTCATACTTTCAACATTTCAGTCCACAGGAAAACAGTCATACATCTTGAATTTTGTACTTTTTCCTTGTTTTTTTGCATTACATCTAAGTCATCATTTTGCAAACTCATAAGATACATCGTTGTGATATTTTCATAAAGTACTTTAGGCGTTCAGCACCTTGTGTTTTGCGTAGTGGTTTTAAAAACACTCAGCAGCCCAAGATGTAGACGGACGAACGCTGTTTAGGGTTGAATGTGTGTTGATTCTGTTGAGTAGAGTTTTGTGTGACAGAATGGTTGGAGAGTTTGAGACTGCGCTGTTTTACAGGGCGAATGCTAAAATGCTGACGTTTAAAGAAGAAAAATGAAGAGACTATTTTTCTAACATTGCCCTGAATGCTGTAAAAGTAAAAAAAAACCTTCATAAATAATATTGCAGCCAGTTTTGGGAAGGACAGTGATCTGCATAACAATAATATTGTTTCCCTATGTAAGGTGATCTAAGTGGAGTCGTTTGTAGAAGATGTGTAATGTGTATCTGTCATTTGCAAAAGTCTGCCATTGGCTAAGTATTTAATGTTATGTTTTGGTAATGAAGTACTGTGTAACTATGTACAATCGACTACAACTTAGCACATGGACTTTGATTAACACTCTATGATGCAGTTTGTGTTCTCTTTGCTGTGGTTATTTGCAATGCCGTTTTAATGGAGAATTTGTTCCTTTGGAAATGAATGAACATGGGTTAGGACTTCATACCAGAAAAATAAAAAAAACGATAACAGCATCATTATTGAAACAAAACAATTGTAATGATGCTAAAACTGTAATTTTGGCGATGTCTTAGGATTTTGAAACTGCATCAACAACTGATTGCATTTTTTGCGATATAGAATTGCCATGAGAATAAGGGTTTGTGAATGTGCTTATAAAAGGGGCATATAGGTTACAGGTACGGTGGCCGTAAAATCTTCCATCCAAGTGCTTGTTTTTGTTTTGAGTGGTTGCATAACAGGCCCGAGACCAGCGTCATTGATATAGGCTATTGGATCAAACGCACGTGACAAGTGAAACGTCCGTATATCTAAACAACAACAAAAAAACATTAAGCTCATGCATTAAAAACAAGAAATTGCAACACGTATGAAAAAAAAACTGAGCAAACTCGTGCAAAGTGCTTGTCTGTGTCTTCTGAAGTCTTTGGTGTACATTGTATACATGTGTACAATAGAAATCACAGTTTTCAAAAATGAAAACTACGTGTGTACAGTTTGTGTGTGTGTATATGATATATTGTCAAGCGAGAATCACATTTTATTTGTAAGATAATATCTTATTTGAATGAACTAGGCAACAGTATTAGGTGCTATTTCAGCAATACCTATGGTCCCCAAAGCCATGAAAGTAATTTGGGCATCGAAATTAGTTGAGTAAGCACTACAACTTTATTATTATTATTTTCCCCAGAAATGCTTACGAGGCAAAAATGTAATCAACTTTTTTGTGAAAAGTTGATATTAATTTATTTTTTCTCTAACTTTTTACAATTTCAATTAACATCCCTTTGCTAAACGAAATGTACCGGCACCCGTTTTATGCGTTGTTCGAATATCCACTACATATTACATTAAACCATTAAAACTGTAACTACCAGATAGTAATAACTTTGGAAATACATTTGAAGGTATTGTTCCTGTCCAAATAAAATATCACGATGAACCACAAATTACTCCAAACTCAGCGTCTATTTTGCATGTAAGATATCTAATGAAGCTTTTTATTGTAATAAAGCAATCTCTTTGAATATTACACAGTACTTGCTTGTGTTTTGTGTGCAATATATAACACCAATTAGGAAGTAACGACGGACTAATAAATTCATAATCATGTTTCATTGCTAATTAGAAGCCCTGCTAAGGTTATACATATTCAGTACCACACATGAAATTGAATATTAAAGATAAGCCACAGTGCAACTGTGGCCATGCAACTCAAACTATGGACGAAAGAGTAAACCACTGTAGTTTGCAATCCTTCAATGGAGGAGGAACATCACAACTCCACTAACTCGCTCCCGAAGCCCTCTCGTTGCCAGCAGACCTCGATATTGGCATTCAATTCCTGAACGCATTTGCTGCCACACGCAATAATAGAAAAGTAGCCACAATACCTGACAATACAAGGCGTGCCCGATTAAATCAAACCTGCACTAAATTATCAATCCCACGAATAATCATCTTAATTATGTTTTTGTTATTGGTTACTGGTTAACGTACCGTCGCCAAAAACAGGAATCCAGAAAAGAAGCAATGGCAGGCAACACTAGCACAGTCGAAGGTAATAGAGGCACACAGGGCGACCGATAAAAGATTGGACTCATGAGGTGGAAGAGGCGTGATAATAGAGAATGACACCAGCAGCAGAAGGGATATGATGATGATCACAAACAGTTTCCAGAAGTGCCGTGGATCCAACAGCCTTCATAAGGGGACTGGACAGGATGAGAACGAGGATCAGATTACTTTTGCTCGACGACATTGGAAGCTACGCCAATGTGAGCTCATGCCAAGCCATCCGTACATAGTAACTGTTAAATGATTCACAACTGTTTGTCCATCCGCTGCTGGATGAAGGCCTTCCCACACTGTGTTGGTCATGGGACTTGTTTGGCCATACTTAATCACACCGGTCCATAATAATTTAACTCCCCTCCCTTGTCATTCATTAAATTTTCCTCGATTCGATTGAAGAAAAAAAACACCCTCATAGGGACCTCTAGTGGCTGGAGGGGTCACAGCAATCCATCACATATCGCTTGACTAAACAACAGTGATCCTTACAAACTCGATTAAATGCATGTATCATGAGCTTAAGAAGTACCACCAATCAATGACGTGATACATCGCTGCACCCAAATGCATATCATACGAATAAGCGCACTGATATTCAAAGCCTAATTTGTTATTTCATTTCTGTGTTATGCCTTCTACTGGTTCTACCACTTAATTTCCTCCACTTCGGGTGCAATCCCAAGGTTAATTTTACCAAACAGTGTGTTAAGTTCAGTAAGTCATGCATTGCATAACAGGCCCGAGACCAGCGTCATTTCTCGTGAGAACTTCCCCTGGCCCATGAGAAACATCCATCTTTATTTGAAGCTTTCGTGACTGCAGGAATCCAACCTCTTTGGTTCTTTCGGTAAAGTCACGTAGGTATAAAATAAACACCATCTTTAATTTTTGTCTTCCCACTGGCAATGAACCCATGACCATAGAGGCCCTGGCTCTGTACCACGACAGACATTAACCGGAATAGACCATGATCCACCCAGCCACATCGTAATGAAAACGCATTTATGAAGCTCTTTCATCTGTATTACTTTATCCACGACTGTCCTCACTACTTTACATGGCTACATTCCAAAAGTGTTTGTGTTCTTTGAAAAGTGTGTTTTCATTGAAGGGTCCAGAAGACGCGATTTTACCGCAAGACACGATTTTATCAATCTTAAGGATTGGCCACGAACATAAAACTTCTGTAAGAAATATAACATCCCAAGCCTGTCTCCTACAAAGGAGCAGAACAGACCCACGCATCTCCTCTTCCAATCACTGCACTTAAATTGAATCTTAGCACGTAAAAGTCACATTTTATACGTTACAGTTATTTATGCAATGGACTTTTAAGTTTGTCTGAAGTTACAAAATAGCCATAGTTTATTCTCGACACGTGTACAGTACTGTATATCTGATTACCTCTTGAGTGCGGTAAAAAGCGAATACATTTCTGCAGATATTTTGGAAATCACTTGACTCCAAACCAAAATTGGGGGAAAAAAAGGAATCTGCTCCATATTTGGCTGGTTTGCCGAGGAGCAAAGCAGGTGGGTTTGTGCCAGGAATGTTGGTCTGGGCAGGGATGCAGACATGAGTCAATGGGACGACATTGCTGCAGTGGAAAATGTTGGTAACGTTATATTACACCTCAACGTGCAGAGGCAGACACACGTGTGCGATCCGTGTGTGGTTGTGTGTTTCCGCACCCAAGTCAAAAGAGAATGCGGCGCTCGTGTGGATTGATCATTTTCTCTGGGTGCGCGCTTTGGATAGATTGATGTACCTACTACGACGACTACCCTTTTGCGGAGGTGTGCATGTGGTGGTCATGGGTGTGGCAACACTGGCTGGAAAATCTTGTCCTTTTTGCCATTCACTTTTAACCTTGCAACTTAATGGCAAATGTGCCATCTACTGGTCACCTGCATGTACTACACATTGCAGGGCACGCTTATGGGGTTGATTTTGAAAGGTATTTTTTTCATGATCATGCACACGAGTGTCAAATATCGAAACCCAGCGCTGCTTTTGTCCCCCAGTTACTTTGCTATTTGATCAAATGCCACCTTTTTAGTTTATGGAGAGAAAAAATGTACGTCAAATTCAAGAAACAACCTCTTGAAAATACTTTATTTTTAAATAGCAGGACTGCATTAGCAGTGATGCAACAAGAATAAATAACAAACACTTAATGGCTTTAAAAGCAGTGTTATTGTTACGCGTGTTTCATTTCTTGAAAGGACTACTTTTTACTCCAGTAGTCAATTTATGTCGACTCCAACTTTGCAGCAATGTCTATCGAGTTCTCCTAACACGTCTGATCTTGTTTTATAATGATGGAGGGGCTTCGGTCAAGGCGCTTTACATAGTTTAACAAGCAGTAACAAGAGCAAGAGAGTGATTTGGATGGCAGGGGGCGTGCAAGGGCCGAGGAATCACTGACCACAAGAGAGGGCACACAGGGGTCACGAAAGGGCAGGGGAGGGATGGGAATAAGTGGAGGGGCGAGGGGAGGGAAGAGGAAGGGAACGGGTAATGGAGAAGAGGTGGAGCTTTGAGAGAGGAATGAAAGGAGGTTAAGGAGGGGGACTGCTTATAATGTACAGGGGGAAGTTTATTTCAGTGGAGGGAGAAGGGTCGAAAATGAGATTGGGCACAAGGAGAAGGATGGACAGAGAGAGAGACAGAGAAGTTTGTGAATGTGGGGCAAGGCCATGGAGAGATGTAAGGTCTTTGAAAAGACAACAGAGTGGTAGACGGGAAGCAAGTGTAGTTGAAGGAGTAGAGCTGAAGTGTGAGAATTAAATGGGAGGTTGAAAGAATCCCACGCAGACGAATTCTGAATTTGCTGGATGTGGGTGAGAGTGTAGGCTGGGAGACCCATTGGACATTACAGCACCCATGTTTGTCAACCCTTGAGGTGGGCTGCAGATACATGAGCAAATACAAGGCACGCACAAGAAGTTCAACAGACAACTGGAAATATCTGCTAAAAGGGTCGCAAATGGAAACCACAGCAGAATATGCATACTGTACCCATACATATACAGTTATGTAAGACAGACCGAGATAAACAAGACAGATGAGATGGAGTGCTTCTGAATGGCTCAGCTCGATCGCGAAAGGCTAGCAACAAATGTGCCTTGAGAGGAAAGCTTTTAATCAGTGCAGATCAGAGATCAAACAAAATAAATAGAACAAACGCCGATAGGTATTCAGTGAAGCATGGGGAGGCGCACACGTGAAATTACAATGAGATCGATATGAAGAGAAACAGATTACAGAATATACATGCAAGCTAGATACAGCACATTAACTGCTACGAAGAATGCATGGTCTAGGATAGGTTTACACTTTGCTAGAAGGGATGGCCAGTGGGAGTGGCAACCGAAGGACGGACTATGCCCCAGAGGACGTCCACTTCAGTAATGGAGTGGTAGGTTCAGCGTTAGATGGATTGCGTCAACGCAGAGATAGACCGACGCCTTGGGGAGGCCTTCATCCAGCGGTGGAATGATCATGGCCGTTGATCACGTTGATGATGGTGAGTCATAATTGTCTCCGATGTCTTTTCAAGTTGTTAGCGCGTGTTGTCCGGCGTCATGTGCATTGGACTTTAGAGGCTTCCAGCACATGGGACGAAACATCAGGCAACATCAGGCAACATCATCAGGCATCGGGTCCGAACAACACGAGGTACAACCTGAAACTCTATTGGAGAGATTGGAGAGCTGTATAGCACAACCACGGATGTATATGCGGTAGAATAACTAATATATGCGGTAGAATAATTAATGGTTATTATGCCTGGCCAAGCCTTGCTGAAACATGACACTTATTTAGGACAGTATTTTTTTGCGTGAAAAAAATACCTCGAGCAATCCTGTGTACGCCAGGGGGTATTAAACGGAAACTCCATAAACATGAGAGCGGATCCTACTTGCTATACTGTCTCTTACTGACTGAACTCTGTGTAATTCACTATCCCCTCCTCCAAACTATTGGGTGGCAGAGTGGCGTAATGGTGTAACACGTGTGCCTCACAGCAAGAATAGCGACCTGAGTTCGATTCCAGACTAGGGCGCCTTTCTGTGGCATTTGTATGTTCCTTGTTCTGCATGCATTTTTTTGGGCCTCTGGTTGACTTCCTTAGCTAAAAAAAAATCCCCATAAAATCTAATCAATGCTAAAAGATGACCTACAAATGACACAAGATGGATTATATTTAACAACATCGCTATGCCAATGTGTAGTGGGTTAAATAACTATAAGAGAGCTTCTCTGAGGCAAACAGTTTTTATTTAACTATTAACACTTAACACAGAGGGATAAGGGCCCCTCACACCCGATACACTATGGAGGTTACTCTACCGTCTAATTCCCCTTCTCACTGGCTAATCTACGAGTCCTCCGCGAGTGAAGCTTGAAACTTCACTGGTATATAAGCTGGAGCCGACCCTTGCCAGGGATGCGGCTCTGCGCTTGGGGCTCTTCAGTCTCCAGGAGGATTCTTGTCTTCAGCTGGACGACGACTGCCAGGGCCGTTCAGAGGTCCGGCTTTTATACAGAGCCGTGGCTCGCTCTGCCCAGGCCACGCCTTCCTTCTCGAACCTTCGAGAAGGATCCGGGGATGATGTCATCCCCCAGCCCCCTTCCTGGGGTCTGGGGTCTGCCCATTTTACACACTGTTCCATGGGGTGAGCGTTGGGCCCTTTGGCCCATAGACTCTCAGCACTGGGGCTAAGCCCCTCTGTTGCCCCCTATTGGCATGTGTCCGGTATTGCCGGCAACTGCATGGGAACGGCGTATCTTGGCCCAATAACACCGTTACAAATGTCGTGGTGATTGTAGTATCACCACTGTGTACACACGCACACGTGTGACGTCACTATGCGGGGGAGCGTCACTACCACGTGGGCCTGCACACACACATGACGTCATCCTGGCTGGAGGCGGGAATGACGTCAGGGCCGGTTCTGGACTCGGGAGGCCACGAGGGTGGTGTGAGGTCGTGGCACTCTCTGTGACCCCGGCTGGACACGTGACTGGACCCCAGTGGGGGCCGGGGGCCTAGGGGGCACCTCGGGGGGCACGTGGACAGCAGGGGGGGGGGGGGCTTCGAGAGGGTTCTCGAAGGGAGGCGTGGCCGGGGCGGGGCCAGGGTACGCCGAGGCCCATATAAGAAGCCTCCTCACGAGGTTCGAGGCTGCCCGTATCAAGAACGAAGATGCATTGTGAAGACGCCAAGAAGAGTCAAGCCTCCAGTCAGCGGACCTGCCAGTAGCCCACCTGGCTGGGTCACGCTAGAGTATCTGAGAAGTGTGTGTTAGCTAGAGTAGGTCGGTGGTCACCACCCTATGCCTAATGTCAGAGTTAACTGTTGTGTTCATTAATAAATAAGTGTTGCCTCCCAAGAAGTTGTGTGCACGTAATTCGTACCCACTACACAAATGTAAAGAGGACTGAGCACGTAGCATCATTATTTGATTCTGCTGAAAGACAAAGCCTGCTCTTGCCAGAAGCAGCATATTATAACAAGAACAGTGGTCAAGCATTGTATGTTTGCTGCAGGTTGGATGTGGAAACTTGGGATGTCCTTCCAATAATAGGGGTTTTCCCCTTTTTTCTGGCAACAAAACTGAAACCTTTTTACAAGGATTCATGTCTGCATTAACAACAATACCTGCAGTCAAAATGCAAACAAAAAACATACTGTGATAATATATGCGTTGTCCTTGAAAGTGATTGGTCCACACCAAGGGACGGCTTTCTTTTGAGCCTCGACCCAATTGGTGCTCGACTAGAAGACGCCAAAAGGCGTACAGCTCAAAGACAATGCACTATAAAAGTAATGAGGGCTCGGGGTGAGCATCTACATCATTAGACCTCATTTGCCAGTACCAAAATATAATAATAGGTCTGCATTAACCACAATGCCAATAAGTTTTAAGGACAATGCATATATTATCATAGTATGTTTTTTTTTGCATTTGACTGCAGGTATTGTGGTTAATGCAGACATGAATCCTTGTAAAAAGGTTTCAGCTTTGTTGCCAGAAAAAATGGGAAAAACCCTATTATTACATTTTGGTACTGGCAAATGAGGTCTAATGATGTCCTTCCAATGTTCAGATAAATATGAAAAACCTGAAACTATGGCCTAGTAACGATGTTTCAGATGATCCGGAAAAAAATAATTGTTTCGTAGTGATCCAAAAGTATGACATCGCCGGAGATTACATCGATTTATTACATCGTACTTTTAATGACAAATGTGATGTCACTTTAGTACACGCGCACACACTCACTTTCACACACACACACACTCACTTTCACACACACACACTCACTTTAACACACACACAGTCACTTTCACATACACACATATACACATAGTCACTTTCACACACACACTCACTTAAAAAAACACGCACAAACACTCACCCCCAGCGTGAGGCTGACTCAGGATCGCTCTGCTGAACAAAATAGTCCTGCGGTTCAGCTTGCAAGTGCGCGTTTTAAGTCGATGTTTCATCGAAGCTGGTTCGTAAGTGCGGGCGTTCGTAAGTCGCGTGTTCGTAAGTCGAGGACCACCGGAACTGTATATGATCCTGCGTACATCGCCATTCCTTGGGCTATTAAAAAAAACACAAAGATAACGTACAGCACAGTGTGTCAATACAATTTGCCTGCCTCAAAACACACATTGTAAAGTTCAGTGCACTGTGGCTGTTATTGCAAACAAACACAGCAGGTTCACAAAGTACAATGCCTTAACAAACCAGGGTCGAATCACCTTCAAAAATAAATTCGAAATTATAGGGCAGCTGTAAATGCGTGGTGCGTCTCCTCGTCTGTGCCTGCCTTTACTCTGAAACTGACCTGACCGTGCACTGATAACGGCACAATTTGCTCCGCAGGGCTGTGGTGGTCGTGTCTGATTGCACTGGCATTTATTGGGTATCATTATCAGAGTCAAGCATGCTCTATCCACTGCTGAATGAAGGCCTCCCCAAGCTGCCACCATCTCTCACGATCTATCGATTTAACAACCCACCCAGCACCTGCACACAAACCGAATTCATCCCTCCACCTCCACAGTGGACGCACTCCCAGATGCGTTCCGTGCCATGGATGATTAGCTGCCACTCTGGCCGCCCTCATTCATTCTGGCGACGTGTCCAGTCCAAGCCCATTTTCATTGACAGTTGTGTAGGCGTGTAGTGGAGGACGTCATGTCACTCAGGGGGATGAGAATGGATGACGTCAGAGGTTACGGGGGATATATAAGGGGGGACCCGTGACGTCGTGAAGGGCCAGGAACGGAGAGAGTTAGGGAGTCGGGATCCAGGGTAGGGTGAATCAGCGCCAGGCTAGGGTGACTACTTCACCCGGCCGACCGAGTTGGATGATCCCTCGGTCGGTGCTGGGGGAAGATCACGTCTAGCCTGGGTGGAGCTAGGGACCTCCCAGTACCCTTTCCCCTGGGGAGATATTAGGGTTGTCACCTGTTAGGCGTAAGCCTTTAATAAGTTACTGGCAGTATCCCTTAATAAACCTTGGCATCCGCCCCTACTCAAGAACCGTGTCAGCGTCGTCAGTTGCACCTCAACAGTTGTATTAATATTCTTAGTTTTTTCGGCAAGGTCACGTTGAAGAGAAACAACAAAATAATAAAATATATATAAAACAATAAAAATATATTTTATTAATATATATTTTATTATTTTGTTGTTTCTCTTCAACGTGACTTTACCGAAAAAACGAAGAATATGAATTACTGCAGTCACGAAAGCTTTAAATCAAAGTTGTATTAATGTCATCAACCCGAATATGTTCTCGAGTCATTGTGCTCCTCTTTGCATCTCGCAATGTAATTCCAAGCAATGAAACTCATCGCATTCATCAAAAACACTGCCTGGAAAGGAAAACTCTAACAAATGGCAACGTTCTGGACGATGGCCCTTTTTCTTCGCGCATGCAAATTCAAGTGTGCACCTTTGAGTTATTTTCTCATTGGTTTTGTTTGTTAAAGACCATATAACTGCATATACGAGTGATTTGATTCCTTTAGTTCCTGCTGCTGCATCACGAACAGTAGCAAAGACTAATGCATGTCTCCCGTGCTGTAGCGAACACTGTCAATATATACACTTTAACATGTGGCTTTCGCGCGACCAATATCCACAATCTAGGTTTTTTTGTTGTTGTAAATGTTGTGGGTTTACTATCAACTACACCGGTATGCGGAACTTGTAACAAATTGGCATGTTTTTTGTTTACGTGACAAAACTTACGAATTGGCTGTCAGGTGGTGGCAGGTTTAACGAGACATTTATACTTTTGCGATCTAACTCCCCAAAAAAACCTCCAGTATGGATAAATTCACTTGGCTCTTTGCAGAACTCAAGGGTACTTTTTGGCTCTTGGTCTGTTACAAGTTGGCCACCCCTGACTGTAGATGAAGTGGGACTTTATATGAGTCTGTTGAACGGTGTTACTTCCCACTGATATATGGGTAACCATGGAAACACGTGCAGTATTGGCACCTAGCACTCTGAAACAGATTTTAAGAAAGGAAAAAAGTGCTATGTAACAATTCAGTTAATGACCCCTTTGCAGGCAATGTGAAAGGGTGCAGATTATGGCCTAGATACCACGTGGAGCATCAAAAACAATGGCAGAAAGATAATTATAGGCTTGGTTCTTTCGGTAAAGTCACGTAGAAGGGAAATAATAAAATAATACAAATAAAACTATAAAATTCTCACGACGTTTTAATTGCAACACAAGCAATCACCATCAGGTGTGAAAACCACAGCAAAACATTAAAATGAATGGTTTGTTTTATATTATATTTGTTTTACTTTTTTATTCACTTTATTTTTTATCATTACTTTTTCTATCTACGTGACTTTACCGAAAGAACCAAAGAATATCAGGTTATTGTTGCTAGATGTCCTTTTCATATTATTACTACTGGTTACGACATCCATGTTGCACACTGACCATGCCATGTGTGTGGGTGTGTGCGGCCGTGCAGAGGTTAACGCGCTGCGTGACGAATCCCGTGACCCGAGTTCTAGTCCCGCGCACGGCCAACACCGGTGACGATTATCTGAACCAGTCCTGGGCCTCCCCTAGGTCGACTCAGCCTCAAATGAGTATTGTACCTGGTGCGATATGTGAACATCGCCACGAGGGAGACAAAGGAGGTCGGGCGTGGTGCTCGCTGCCAGCACTTGCCCCAACGGTCTGTTAAAGGTTATACGGGGGGTGGGGGGGGAGTCTTTGTCTTTATGTTATGGGAACCATGACACGTGACCACCAGGGTCATTCGCAACGGCCGATTGAAAAGATAACTGCCGCAGATTTCTTCGCGCGGAATGACGTCACAGGGCGGGTGATGAGTCACGCCCACTGGGGGCGTGGTCCTCGCACAGGTAAGGGCGAGATATATCTACGGTATGTGCTCAGACTTGAAGCTCAGTGTCTCTCTCCTCCATCCCCCATCCGAGCAAGACATACCTGCCCGACTGCAGCTGAGCTCAGCTCATAGACGGACGTCCCCCTATGTCACATTCGCCGGCTGACACATTAAGCTCGTCGACGATTCTTAACAAGCGCATTTGCTTGCTTTATTGACGAACAGGTCTTTTTTTGAGACGTATTTGTGGCAGTCGTACGCGCGTGTTCCAGTTTAAATCACGCAGATGAGAACGCGTTGCAGGTGAAGCCTCAGTAGTAGTTCTGTGAAGCTCAGATTGCCATTGCAGTATCTGTATCGTTGGCTGTGTAGCAGCTTCAGCCATGGCCGATTTCCCCGACAAAGTTTCAACGAATACGAGCAGTAGCTACCCGACAGCACAATCGTCGTCACAAATCGCTTTGGACAAAGGATTTGTGAAAACCATTCCGGGTATTCTTATGATACTGGAAATAGTGAGTATTGCACACGACACGTACGATAGACACTCATAAAACATTGCCTTCAACCGTTGTATACGCCTGCATTTAAATAATGTAAGCACTTCTGTGTTTTATTTTTATTTAAAGCTTTCGTGACCGCAGGGATTCATATTCTTGGTTCTTTCGGTAAAGTCACCACGTAGAACCAAGAATATATGTACTTCTGTGTTGTCACGGATACGTTTTTTGTTGATCAGGTGAACTTCTTACGAAAGAAGACGACTGATCTTCTTATCTGATGCAATTGCAACAGAGATTATGAGAATTATGACCGAATATTGCTGCAAATTGTCATTCGGTACTCTCAAAATGTGACAGTTAATGGTTTTCTAGTTCATTATTGATCACGATATGGAGCCATTTAATTGCTACGGGCTTGTCACTTTGGTAAAGTAGGTGTAACTTTGGGAGAGTTATTAGTTTGTACTTAATTAATGATAAAAATAACAGGAACTCATGCTGTCAATGTGAATCGCTTGCGAATGATGCTTCGTCAATGAACTGCCGCATTTGCGAATTAAAAACATGAACACATCGCTGTGTAAATGCCAATAAATAAACTTGTTGTGTGCTCCAAGAGTTGGAAGCCTTAGAAAAGTTATACTTCGCAATATTTATCCAAAACGCGCTCTGAATGTGCCAATGCAAACACATCATTGCATGTACTAAACTATACATGTACTATCTTGCGACGTTCGTTACAGGATTATTTGTATAGCGAGTAGCCTGTTAATCATTAGATAAAAGCTACCATGTGAATATGTTCTTATATATTTAGGGCAGGCTATGGATGAGGCTATTCAATTCACTTGTTGAAATTGAGTAATGTAATTGCTAAGTTCAATCGTTCAACTTTGACAATATCACTGCTTGTAATTTAGAATAATATTAAAGTACTGAATATTGTCACTGTTGAACGTATACTCGTGTGAGAGTTACATTCGTGGATTGCCCTAAATTTGTCCGTGTTAATTCGTCTGCATACATTTGTGAAGCACAAAGTGATATTAAATTCAGATCAATCATCGGCCACCAACGCCTCTCTCGCTCCCGTTCAGCGTCACGTGTTCAATTTCAGTAGTTCCGACCACATGACATAACCGAGGAAGAAACTCAATTGCTAAAAGATATTGCCACCCACGGGACTGAGAAAAGTTAATAGCTTGTTCTCAGTTATACCCCTTCGTTTCTCATTGACGGCACGACATATGCCTGGTCATCCCCGTCTCATCAGCACGTCTGACATTGCCCTCTCCATGCCACGGGAATTCATTTCTCAAAAGCACGTGAGACTGGGTCAGTCAACAGACGTATTTTCTATTGACTCTGGGTAGACATCAACAACTGAGAACTAATGAGATTGGGTTCACTACTGTCCAGATTAGACAATTATTTTCCAGCGGTAGACTTTGTGCTCAGAAGGGTAACTTATCTGAAAGACACAGTCAGCGCTGGCTACTCTTGGTACGAGTAAAAAAAATATCATGAAATGTATAAATAGCCTAAACACGAACAATTTACTCTTAAATGCAAACCATTTTATACACTTTAAATATATACTTTACATAGTGAGTCACAATGTCCTGTGAAGTGAATGGAATAAAAACAATGAAAGTTAAACGTAGTCTAAATAAATGCCAAAAATAACAGGTTGTCCTTAAAGGTATCGTCTGTTATTAACAAATCCACAAATTTCTCAATAACCATCCTCTGCATACAAAACAACCTATTTATGTGTTGTGAAGAAGGATGATTGCCCAAAACGTCGCCTATGATATCTTTGTATTTATCGTGAAAGACACATTCACTGTAATTAGACACGCAGCCTGAGGTAAGCCACTAAGACCACACACACATCTCAGCCTATTAGTCTCATCCATCGAAACCTCGACGTCCCCACTGGCGACAAAAGGCCCCCAGGTGTCTTCCAACATCTCGGGCGCTATTTGTTTCATATGCTCATCCTTATGTGCTGCTGCAGACCATTTAAGACTTTCAGTTTTTGTGCAGACACTACCTTTTGTACAACCGCAAATAATTCAAACCACACAGTTCAAACTTCTGCCCAACGCTTATCCTTTAACAATGGCTTACAGCTGCATGTACAACCTTGACTTTCGTCTTTATGTAAACATAATACATTGCCAGCTACCTTGATAGTGGAGGTTATTCGCAGTATAAGGAAGACGTATTGAAATACCACTGTTGTTGGTGGAGTGGCGGTGTCACGATTGACACATGCATTTGAAACCATGGTTCACAGGTCGGGTTCAAGTTTGCAGTTGGCCCCGAGGCTATAAAAGCATTCCCATAAAACTGCCAAAATAGACGACGCTACAATCAGGCAGTTTAACACGGAGGCTTTTGTGACCAATATTATTCATAATAAAGGTTTTTTTGGGTTAGATCGCGTAAGTATATGTGCTGTAACCCTCCACCACCCGACACAGCCAATTAGTAAGGGATTTGTCAAGTAAACAAAACGACAATTAGTTACTACTTCAGCCCACCGGTGTGTTTCGCTAGATGTCGACTACCTCACCTGGTATACAGGAGGTCGTGGGTTCGATCCTGATCTTGACGCCTGTATATTTGGAGTTTACATGTTCTCCCCGTGGTCACGTGGATTTTTCTGCGGGACCTCTGATTTTTCCCTTCACATTTAGAAACACGCGTTTTGAGTATGTGGCTGCTAGAAATTCCCACGTGATGATAAGCCACTTCGTTGAGCTATCATTTGTGGCCAGGCCGCTTCTGAAAAACAGCTATATAGCTCAATGTGCCTTACCTGGTAAAAGAAAAATACGTTTTTTAGTTTAGTTTTATCACACCTACTGTCGCATTCATAGAATTCTGAGCATTACAAGACATCTCAAAATGTTATTGAAATTATTAAAACCAGGTGTGCCACGTACCCTAACCATATTCTCCCTACGAATGTTTTTTGCATTGTCCTCTATTCCCCACTAGAGGGTGGCTGAGTGACTGCTCATTAGGAGGAGGCACGGCAACACAGTTGGGGCAGTACAAACAGTTGAATTTGTAAATACCACTATGCAATAATTATGTTTACTGTACCTGATGCAAATCAATACGGTCGCTAAGAACGATAATCTTTAATTATCCTGGAGAATGAGCTATGAAAGCTCATTTTCACGGATGTCCAGGAGGGGGTGGTTGGTCAGAACATTTCAACAATACGCAACAAAAATGAACGGAGTGCAAAGTGTGGGAAAGGAAAGCAAACACAGTCCCAAAGGTGTGCGCCTTCTTGCGTCTCTTGCAGTTCACTTTGAACAGTTTATTTAGCATTGCCCTGTGAGCTAAGAGGCTCTTGAATTGCTCAATAACATGGACTGGAGCTTAGGAATGATTCGTCGAAAAAGTTGGTTAATCAACGTAATATTCTAAAACAACTACCTTTTTTTTTGTGGCGGATTTACTTGGGTACCTTTAAACACGCCTCCACCCGCCCACCGACACCACCTCCTGAAGGCAGGAAACCCCCTACAAGCCTCGCCCAGGGTAATGAGGCTGATACTGCTGGCGATCTAACCAATCAGTGGCACACGCAGGAACAGCGGTGAGGCTTTTTTTTTCTTCCACAAACTATTTTCGTGTTATCCAATATGGTATATAATTGAATTGGTAATCGGTAGAGTAATCGATTATTTCTTTAATCGGATCAGATGGCGCAGCTTTAATACGGAGTTAGAAATGTATTCAGGTATAAACAATAAGCATAATTTCAGCGCTCATAGTAACGTGATTATATGTGTATCGCTATGCCAATATTGCGTAATACCTGTACATGTATTACATTCATGCATTAGAAGTGTGCCAAGTTGGGAAAATTGTTTTTTTGTTGTTATCAAATGCTGTGCTTACTTGTGCTTATATCGTTTGCTCACACACGCGATCAATTCATCATTGGGGGAACTGCTGCTACACTAATATTGCATTAATTGTCAGTGTATGTACATACAGAATCAATTCATCAATTAAAATTGATTATTGTGCTCACGCAACACATGCATCAAAATGTAGCGTGTAAGAATCCATTCTCTTTATATATTTATTTTGTACTGAACCATGCGGCCAAGAGGTGCTACAATGACCACAATGTGACAAAAAAGAATCGTGACAATTTTGGAAATTAAAAGGTAGGTGAATCGTTGAAGAGTTAGTAATTATTAATGCCCATTGCATAGCTCATGCAATGGACCTTTGATGAGCACGGCTGGCTACGTACGGTGTGAAAGAAATTCAACGTACGTACATACACAGTTATGTTGTTAATTTAGTACAGGATTACAGTTTTAGGACAATTTTTTTTCAAAAAAATATATAATATATGAAACTATTAGGCATTGTGCACTGATAATATCCAATGACAAGGCTTGGCTGGTCACGGACACAAATTGCTCATGACTTATGACATCGTGGCTTAACACTAAACCTCAAAGCAATGCGAAGAGCAAACACCTTTAACCCCACCCAGTTTAAGACTCATTTAGTCTTTCCCATGACTCGTGCACATGTGAAACATTACTCACTGGTTTGAAGCCTGATCCACAGGTTGCGGCTACGGTGAGTAATCTAAGTGTGGCTTTGAGAGGAGTCCTGGTAATTGGTAACTGCAGATACCTTCTGGCGCAATATCAATAAGGACTTTGGCCGACATGACCTAAGAGTGGGAGACATGAAGTCACTGCTGCTGCGTGCAGTATTACATTCAATGCTATTGGGCAGATTAGCAAATACATTCATGTGTCTGCAGTGTGCAAAGAGGTTTGAATTTGGAAGCAGGGCAGAAAGTTTGAGTGTCACAAGACATTCACGTATATTACAACAACAAAAATATGACTCGTGAATCAGGTTTTTTTTTAATGTTTGTTCTCAATCCAGACTCGGCCGTAAATTGATTAAGATTTGGATTGCTCTTTGATAGGGGCAAATCCATTCTAGTGTGGAGCTATGGGACAGATGGCAGACACCGACATTTGATGATGTCAAACTATAGTCTTCTACCCGTGGCTTATGAGGGTGGGCAAAGCACTTTGATCTGACGAAATAATTTGCAAAATGAAAATATTTTTTTTTACACTTTCTAACATTTACGTGTATTAAGAGTGGAAAACATTAAAATGTAGAAAGTACAGTGTGCCGATGTCACGCGGAAACTAAGGACAATGCCACAATCTTGAAATCATTTCCTTTTACAAAAATTCTCAATTTTCCACAGGAATGCACAGGTTTTAGTCAAACATTTGAAACTTGTAATGAACTAAAGATTTTCTGTACGCACCGTCCACGATATTGACACAGTGTTTCTTTGTAATAGGGGTCAATGTGTGATATGTGTTGACTTTTTAGCATGAGGCTGTATTGTAATGAGATGTTCTTACATTAAGATTCACTGTGCAAATTGGTTTTACACACACACACTTAAGGATATATCGAAACTCATGAATGCACATACATTTTTGTAAGCATGTGTTTTGGCTGAGAAATACTGTTTCTCATACACGGGTCTGAACCTGTTGGGATCCCTTCCACAAGATACATAATCGCAATGGTGGACATACAAAAATGCCAATTTCCCCTTTTGAGACAAAATCGCTTACCTATGCAACACATAGCTGAAACATGATGTTTTTTTGCAAGGACAGGAGACATTACAATCATGATAATCAACTGAGCCCAATTTCCACCTCACCTTAGCATAAAAAGCATGTTGCCCGATTTCCACTCTTCGCATCGGAAATTGCCATTTCTGCGTAAAACTCAAGTGAAACCAAATTGACTTCTGATAGGTGAATCGAGCACTATGGCTGTTAGAAGATCAACCGACAACAAACTCGCACGCAGTGTAGGATTCAGGCCACGCGCAGACAGCAAAGCTACCGTCGTCTGTGTGGCATCTACCTTCCCCTGTGTGCAGGTGTTTGGTCTCCTGGTGTGGTCTCTGGTCGCGGCCACCAATTACACGACCGTGCCTCCACTTGGCTGGGTCCTGTTCGTGGCCGTGTTCTTTTGGCTTCTCACCATCTTCTTCTTCGTCGTCGACCTCTTTGCACTCTACACCCGGGCACAGAACATCAACTGGTCGCTGGTGGTAAGATTTCGAGAAGCACAGGGGCCTCACTCTGAATATTGAATGCACAAAAAGGTTTGGTTGAGTAACCCACGGGGCTCCATACTGCCCTGTTTAAAGAGTACCAAGTCAGTACTAGTCCATGAGCCCAGGTCAGATATTTCGCTTGTCAGTACCACCTGACGTGGCATCACCTTTGTCGTTCCGATTTCTCGATGTGGTCAATAACAGTGAAATATATATAAATAAGTGGGTTATCAAACAATGCAGTCTTATTATCTATGTAAATAAATGTGTACGACTGCAGTTTTGATACCTTAGGTGGTTCTAATTTTTGCTTGGGCCCATGGACTATACTGCTGAGATTCATGGTTTCAATCCAGGTAGCCACTCATAATAAAACCAGTTTCTTGAGTGCAATGAGTTTGATCATTTTAGCCAGATATCCAATGCATGGTACGCATCTAAACAATCAAATTGACTTCATTTAATTCAACTTTTTTTCCAGCTCGACGGACTGCATAATTAAAGTATTGAAATCATAAAAAAACATATTGGCCATTATTACCCAGTCTCAGGACATGTTTTGAATTAGAAAGTTTGGCCAGTTCATTTCATGAGTGTTTGGCATGTGGGAGGAAACCAGAGTATCCAGAGAAAACATAGAAGGGGATACCAATCAAAGCAACACAAATATTTAAAAACATCCATAGCTGTATTGCCATGGCCTATGCATCTCATTGCCCAAGCCTGCGATACCTAGTTTACCAAGACAGTCTCCCATACAAGTACTCACTGGTCTCAACCCTGAATATCTTCCAAAATCCGAAGACATCGGAGCACTCTCAGGGTAGTTTGGTTCTAGGTTATATCGTGTTATTATTGAAGTTATTAAATGATTCAACATATTTTACATTTAAATGTATCAATGTGATGTCCTATTTTTGTCTATAATGAAATATAAGTTGTGTAGCTATGAAATCCCGTTCGTGGCTCCGTTGAGCTTTATGTTACAGGATTAAGCAGGGAGAAAATGTTCATTCAAGTACTTTCACTTTATTATTACGATCGCAGCTGCTGTGCCATCACTTTAAAAAAACAAGTCAGAATGGCAAAGAGCATCGCCAGTAATTGTGAATAAAAACATTTCATGCTCATTTAAAACATTATCAGAATCCTTGAATGATTTGCAATAGGGCTCACAAATGTCCTAATATCCATTCAATTTGCAGAGCATGACCTCCGTTATAAAATCCCTACCTGAGCTGAACCAACAAGAATTAAGCAGATGTTGGCACCTGACTACATTTGTCAAAGTATGAGTTACCCAGGTCACTTTTGCAAATGAGACTATCCTGGTCTCTATTCAGTTTTCAGCTTGTTAACCTAAAATAAACTTAACTGATGCACACAAAATTACATGAGCGTAAAGTATTCGTCGTAGTCGAATGATGGCACAGCAGTTAGTGTACTTCGCTATGAAGATGGCGACCTGCATAGTGAAGTATGGTCATTGGTCAAACAACCCACGTGGCCGATATGGCACGGGGGTGGCCTTCATCCAGCAGTAGACTGACAATGGGCTGAAATTTATTTTTAAAATTAATACATGTTTACTTGACATACTTTAATCCTGAAAATATCCACTGCAGCACATGAATAGTGGTTTATTCGTGCTGCTATGCAGTAGCTATTACCAGCGATAAAACCCTTAACAGAACATGTGGTTGCACTTGATCAAGTTGTACCAGCCCACAGAAATATAAAGTACCATATCAATCGTAATAACGATAAAATCATGACTCACCAAGTCCAATTACAATAAAGTAAAACAACACAAAATTATCATTATATCTGATGGGGGAAAAAAAAAAGTTTTCGAAATGTACATAACGTTAACATAGATGTAATTTAGTCGAATGTGTAGCTCGCAATGTCCACTTGCTTTTTGTACAATCAGGGCCTGGTCTTCAACGCGTTCGCTAGCGTCCTTTATTTCTCGGCTGCCATAGTGGAGGCGACCATAGCCAGCTCCTGGACCCGCGATGAGCTCGATATGTACGGGCACCACATTGCCGCCACGGTAGGTGCAGCCAGTTGCAGCTGCCCACGGTCGTCTCTTGGGAAGGTTCGCGCATGTCTCTTTGGTGGGTGCTTCCCAAAAAAAACTGCAAGTCGAATTCCGACTTAAGGTACAGAGGGTTGATTGAGCCGCAATGCTTGCAGTTAAATGTGCCAGAACTTGAATTGGTGGCTGCCCAGTGATGGGCTTGTGGAATGTTTGAAATGAATAATTTGATTGCTTAGGTGTGGAAATACTCCCTTTGTTTTTTTTTAGCCTGAAATTGGCCCGCGTTTAATTCTGATCCTCACCTGCAACATGCCCATTCATGACCTCGTGCCTCCGTGATGGTAACGCAACCAGCTATTATCCGGGGTTGACCGAACTTGATGTGCTTGCTACATTATGGCCGCTTGCACGATGTGCACACATTGGCTTCACAACACTTTAGTTTAAATAAGAGACAAGCTACAATTATCCGTGTGTTGGAGGTTAATAGTGAATGACATGGAACGTGTGCATTGTAAAGTTTTAAGGTAATGCATCGCACAGTCACGCAAAGTGGCATACAAAATCCCACAAAATAACCATCTGATAGTGAAGCGCTAAAGTATTTAATGTGAAAAGGCTTTATCCTTTCCGGAATATACTGGGAAAAGGATCCCACCGTTTTCAGCTTTAAAGCGTATCTAATTATTCTCCATAGTTTGCTGTCTCAGGAAAACTTGTAACTGTACTAAGCAACTCACTGCAGTCTTTTATAATTCTGTAGAGGTGAAATAAAAAAAGCGAACCCCAGTATAAAATACCTACTCGTTTAAAACGAAAGGGCATAATGGAACTGAAGACGGCCTGCGTGTGTACGAGACAAGCCGAGGCTGCTCGTTACAGAGAGCATGTGTTACAGTGGCACGCTATGATTACAGAACACAGGCAAAATGACCCGAGGCGCAAAAGGAATGGCATGTTGCACAAGAGGTTCTTTTTTTGGAACTTTGTCACGTGGAATTCATTCTGCGAAATGACAGGGCTCCACTGCATTATACAATTATCTGAATAGCAATTCGAAGTGTGTGCACACAATATAATAGCATACGGTGATTAACAAATAAAACAACTACTTGATAAATGTATATGGAGCAGTCAGGGCTGGCATTGTTTTCAAACATTGTCAACATTGCAGTGGTTTCTGGAAGAGTATACACTTCTGGCCAGGTCATTGCAGCCCAAAGGCAAATAATGCCCTAGTTACTTTTCTGCAAATGATGTTTGCTCTGCCCAGATTAAACTAAATTCCAGACTTGGCTCTCCCCAATTCAGGCGTGGCCAGATGAGTGGTTTAAATTATGAATGCCCTCACATTCAACTGCCACTCAGTGTAATGCGGCATTGTATTGGCTCCACCTGATGATGATGATGATGGTGGCTCAGGAAAACCTGAGCTGACTCGTTTGGTCGGCTGCGAGACTGTGCTGCCTCTATTCACCGCGAGCTGCGGTTGCTAGGCACTCATAACCCCCCCAACTCTCCCGTGTCTCTCTGTCTTCTTGTGCTTGCTGCATGTGGGTGTGCGCTCTCCGCTGGGACTTGTCGTGGGTGCGGGCTGGGTGGGGTTTACTGCAGGGGTTTGGCTATAACCTTGCTGCTGCAGTCATTTATCTTACCGCTGCCATCACTGACGCCGCAAGCAGCAACATATACCAAGGAAATGAGCGATCACACCTGGTGGCCTCCACGGTATGTTGTTCCACATATCCACCAGCAACAGTTTTATTTTTGTTATTATAATATGCCTTTTTTTTTGGATCACATTGTCAAATTTGAGTGTTTTAACAGGGCAAGACCTTGATCAAATGAATTTGTTTCCTAATTGGGAGGATGTGCAAAAAGTTAATTAAAAAAAATACGCCAAGGCTCCAAACAGACCCAATGATTTGATCTGTAAACATAGTAATTTGCAAATTAGACCTAGTATTGCATGTTCACTGGTGGCCATTGAAAAAACAACAACAATAAGACAACTTATGTGAAAGTAATGTCCTTAATATTCACACTTCATGGTACCAATAAAGTATGATTTGTTGCGTTTGCATATTTTTACTTCAAAAAAATGCCATCGAACAAACACAGGTTCATCGGCTTTTTTGTGCGTTTGTACAGAGACGTGTACCGGAGGAGGTAGACTTAAGCACACTGCACCATAACATGAGCTGGTCTGAGTTTGATTCTTGTCCAGGGTTAATGCAATGTTGCTGTACCACACCGACACTGAGGGTATCGTATGAATATAAACAAAGATCTCCACTTTGCTTTTCATTGCGTGCAATAGCTGCTGTTGGAATGGTACTGTGCCAATACATATTTGCCATTCTGTGTGCAAAAAAACCCATTGCTTTTCTACTTCAAATCCTTTCTCACTGCCCAAGAAATATCAGGGGATTAAGGAACTTGAAATGTATTGGGTTGAAATAAATCCAGGGACTTTTATTGTCGCATTTGAGAGAGTAGGTGGCCGCATTCGGGTGCCAACTAGCTACGTTTCAAGATAAGAGCCAGCCGTCTCGATTTAAACGCAATTGAGACCACCGATCATAATCCACGAGCCAGCGCTCGCCAATCTAATAATTTCTGAGGGATCTGCTGAAGTGAGGCTTCCTAATTAGGAGTCTCATTTTGGCTGAAGTCACCCGTGAGCCATAAACGTCATTCTTAGTGCAGAGCAATGGTTTTCATTATGCCTCTCTCAAGCTGCACATGAGGCTCGTTCCATGCTCATCCGTGGCCCATGCAGAGTGGAGGGGGTGGCCTAATAGCTGTGACACCTCCATCACCAATTGCAGATATGTGGATTTGTGACCCCCACCCCCCAGTCTCTGAGACAGAAACTTACAATGATGTCACTTAACCTCTGGGCACGGCTAGAGTCACTGCCAAATGAGCGCACACGGCGCTGTTTGAAATTCTGGGAAACGGCATACGTGAACAGCGCCGTTACTCACGCTTAGGCACACTGAGCCCTCAGGTCCTGGAGAAGTACGGGAGTGGAAATGAGGTCCTTTAGCTTACAGATTGTGATCTCTCTCTCTTGCCGCTGTTGTGCCACAGTACACGGCAGCCGGCAAATAAAATTAGCAAAGCGCAACGGTGGCGCGAGTTGAATGCCCGTGACATTGTACCCACACACGTGGCAGATGGTGGGGGTAAGGAGTAGGGTTGAGCGAGTACTTTTCGTAGTGGTATGGTTTTGCCACACCGCTCTCGATATCTCTATGCTAAATGAAAAAAAAACCCTGAAAAATAAAATATATTATTGGATATTGAATACCCTGATATTTCTAACAGATGGCCACTTTGTCTCTGCTTGCATTTCAATGTTTGATGCTTGTACCTGTATAATGAAATGATTGTGCCACTCAATGATTGATCTGTTAAATGATATAAACATAGTTTTTTTTATTAGGAGCACAAGCCATTGTATATATTCCTTTCAACTCAAAAGTAGTTATTTTATTCTCAACATAGTCTTTACTGTACTCTCATTTGCATGAACAATGCTGATCTTAAAATAAACCTGCTAAATTGAATGCTTTGTTTTATTTATACGTCACTATTATGATTTAATTATAGTTTGTAAGATGTTAAATTTGATCATATCAACGTGCAATATGAAATGTGTGAGGTAATTCAATAATATATCATCAGGCACTTTGCTCATCTGTGCGTCAAGACTAAAATTGTTTTACAATAGAGGTGGGTGGTGGAGAGGTTATAGAGCGCTGGGCTGGCACGCCGGAGATCTTCAGTTCGAACATGAATTTCAGCCACCCGTGATTCAATCAAATTCTTAGGTGTTGCGAGGTTTCTGGTTTCGGTCCAGTCACTGATTGCCGTGCACACAAAACATATATTATCTGAGGTGTCCAAATTCCAGCTCTGTGAATGAATCGGTTTGACTGTCATGCAACAATCTCATTGTGGAGCACATGATAACATTCACCCCCTACTGTATAATTGGTACAAAGGCCAATTGAAGGATGTTTTAGAAGTCCTGCGGCGATTCTATTCTGTAGCCAGCCTTGAAATATATGGGGCACACTCCTATAGCACAACTGAAATAAATTGGCAAGACTTTTTAATCTATTTAATGCATTTTAAAAATATTTTTCATTATTATTTTCCTGTTGCTTGAAGTCAAACTGCTTTGTGAATATGTTTTGCTACTATACAGTTGAACAAAGGGCCTGTTTGAGGTTAAGCATGTTGTGCATTGCTTTCCATTTAGGTACGAGTGAAATTAGTGGTACAGAACAGAAATCAAATGTTTGCAATTTTAACTTAAAACCAATGTCATCATTCATTTTAAAATGACAAAGATAAACTGATGCCAATTACAAATGGATTCAATACTGTGTGATATTCACGGTGACAGTGAAACACACTAAGGCATGATTTGTTATGAAATTGCTAAAACGCAGGTGCGTTCCAGAATGCTTTTTAAACTTTAATCACCAACCTCACGAGTACCAAACATCATCCTTAACCACCTCAAATTGAGAAGTATGCAATTTTGCACACTTAGTCTGTTAATTGAAATGTAAATACATCAATAGAACATTCCTTTATAGGCCTTTCGGTTATGCTTAAATGACAAGCACTGTACTAAAACTGATGTGCTGATCGGCAGAATGTGAATCTTGGTGATTTATTATGATTTTCTGTCCACCTCTGCCTTTGCCCTGCAGGTTTTTGCCTTTGTGGTCACCTGCTGTTACTGCGCCAACACTGGCTTCAGTTACCGAGCGTGGCGTACCAGCTCCTAGACCTTAGAAAGCTGCCACTGCCAATGTGGTACTAACAGCTTTTCCTACTAAACTGCCACCTTGACATTTATTTTATATATAACAAAAAAAATCTACACAGAACACGAAGAAAACTTTTTGTGCAGCATGACTGGTTTGCTGATTTGTCAATTTTTTATATTTTTATTTTATCACACTGGTTTGGAAATGTTTAATAGCAACCTCCTTAAAAAAATAGCTGCATTCTTCCGAGATCAATTGACCTCCCTTGCACACCGGGTGAAATGTATTTACAGAGTGGCGCGTGATTGGAACTCACTATGTAGCAGTTTTGTGTGTAAGATTGAGTTATTGATTAGCTGACCAACCAGTTCTGTCAGTGTTTACAGAAAATAAAAAAAACCCAAACATCTATTTCAAGAGGCTTTAAACTTTTTTAGTGACCCAATTTTTGCCACGAAAATTGTGAATCTCGTAACGTTAAGGTGGCTTTTGCATGTATTGTACAGATTAAATCAAATTGTTCATGTGCTTTTGAAAACAAATCACTCTCTTGAAATTGTGAAAACAGCCTTGCGTTGAATTCATCGTGAGAGATCAATGTTTAAACACCTATGTAAGGAAACAGAAAGTTATTATAGAATCTTCTTGGTTCTTTCGGTAAAGTCACGTAGAATGAGAATAAAACAATAAAACAAAATAAGACAAAATTCTCACGACGTTTCGGCCACAACACAAGTAGCCTTCTTCAGGTGAAGGAACAGAACTGTCGGGACGACAGCGCTTCAATGAACGCTGCTAAGATTCACAGCGTCTTTTAAGCTAGGTGGGAGAAGTAAAGAGCCTTGACAAAGGAGTTTACATATTTATTGTCTTATTTTGTTTGATTGTTTTATTCTCAATCTACATGACTTTACCGAAAGAACCAAGAAGATGAATCCTTGCAGTCACGAAAGCTTTAAATCGAAATTATTATAGAATATCACACGTATAGTACACCGATTTTCATAATGCCAGTTACTTAAGTGATGCCATTGGGTTGTAATCACGTGATCGAGATGTTCAATTTGAAAACCACTTATCTCATACTCATTTTCACTGCTGCTCTGCTATACAAAAATAATTCAACTGTGCGTGCCATAGAATGCCATGTACGTGCATGTACACTCCGTCATAGTTAAAATCTACACCACACTAAGCTGCATATTCTTGGTTCTTGTTTTATATTTTTATTATTTTATTGTTTCCCTTCTACGTGACTTTACCGAAAGAACCAAGAATATGAATCCCTGCAGTCACGAAAGCTTTAAATCACACTAAGATGTACAACATTATCAACATGCGATAGAGAGCACGTTTGTACTTTTGACATTACAGTGAGCGTTGGAATATCCTTCAGCCTTCATTAGACCTCAGCTGTGATAATAATATGTATGCTGGAAGTAATATTATTGTGCCAAAAGTGCTTGCCACTGCTTTCTGCAAATATCACCCCCTCCCGCCCCCTCCCCCACCCTCCCTGCTGACTCCCTACTGCATCACTCCATATCCTATTCCCCAACCTCATCCCCCCCCCCCCTCCTTCCATCTTGCCCACCGGCTTATTTTTAACCCTGACAGTTCTTTGCCTTCGTGGTGACATTACTGCACGGTGGCAGCTGCTTCTGTGACTTCCGCGCCTGGCAGGGGACCCATGCCCCCCATGCTCCCAGCAACCCCGGCGACGTACAGAGAGCAGTCCACGCCACCAACGTGGCTATTGTTCAGATACAGGCGGTGGAGTTCCACACGGCAAACACGGACGCGCGAGTCCCAACAGATCCACAAGTGAACATTTGCAACCAGTAGGTTGCACGCACGTGTCCGTGAACACACAACGAGGCGGTGGTCATTCGTGAATTGATTTTATTTCTTCACTTTTTGCAGACGGTGTTGAAAGCATGGCCTGTAATAATCTTAATGCAATTTTTATCATCCCCATTTGTTGAATTTAAGCAAGTGAATGCAGTGCTCAATTGTTTCCCGTGTAAGAGTATTTAACGATGCAAACGTCTGTTTAAAGGAAATGAGAGAGAACCCTGAAACATATCACAACGACGATAATTATGAGTGTATTAATATAAATGTTCAGTATGCGTGCCTTACTATATGAAGATTATAAAAGGTATTTAGTACGTATATAGTAAATGTAGGTAATGGGATGTCAAGTGTTCGATATGATGTGTGTACACATTTACATTTTACAAGAAAATTAATTGAATATTTGCAAGCTGGCTTCCTTTTTTATGGAGCAAATACACGAAATACATTTAAAGATTGCAGTTTTTAAAAAAAATTGTTATAGTACAGTACCTAGAATAGAATTTAAATAAGAAATATGTTTATATTTCAAATGTACAGCTTTTATTGATATTAAGGTTAAACAATATCTCTTCAATATATATACAAAAAATACAAGTTGATACAATGAAGCTATAATAGAGTGCTGGTATTTTTTTTAGGTTACAGTATTTGAAAAGCATGAACGGTATATTAATACAAACAAATTACACCAATTAAAATATATCACACGTTACAGTTATAATCCCCTAAAGCGTTGCTTCACAAGCCGCTGAGAAGCCTTTTGAGCTTTCAATTAATCTTCAGGTTTCTAAATTCCTAAAAAAAGCCAGTCATATTTGCCCAATGCTAGCAGGTGTTTGAAATTGCCTTGTGTGCGCATTTCAGTGAAATGTCAGAAGTCAGGCTTTTAATGCAGCCGTTTTCCAAGTGATACCAAGGTAAATGATAGCCATTCACGAAGACGCAGTTCAAAGAAGGTACTAAATCGGCAAAGTATAATTTACGTGCTTTTAATGAAGTATCATATTCCACATGTGCTTTAGGCATGCCCTAAAGCGACGGTTGTTCAATGAATACCGTTATTCTTAAACCGCCTTTTATGATACACGCATCGCAAAGTATTGTCATGATAATTGTATAATTTACAGTTGCCAAGCTGTAAATGGTTTTAGTAAGGCTGCTTTTCAAAATAAGATGGCCCCACACGGGTGCACATATGGCAAACTGCTCATCCTTTCACCCAGCGTACTCGAAACAATATAAACCACCTGGTAACGAGGGTGCGACGATTAAAATGTGCCAGATTTAACACCTGATCATGTCAATAAAGAAACCGGATAAAAGCTGCCTTTTTTTTGGTATTACAAAAACAATTCCGTTGGGTGCACGGGTTGCACCGCTAACACGTCATCAACAAAAGTGCTCATTTTGCTATCGTTCATTTACACGTCACGTTGAATGCCGAGGGTTGACACTTCTATGGCCCTGTTTTAAAATGCTCCTAAGCTGTTTAATGATGATGTGAATGCTATTTTTTATATGTAGTCACAACGGGCGCTTTTGTGCTTGTTATATATATATTTTTTTACCAAAAACACGACTAATTTTATGGCGACTACCCACGTTCCTGTGTAAACGGGGGGGGGGGGGGGTAAAGCAAGTGCATTGTTATTTTTTGTATGATAAAGGAACTGAAATCAATCTTTGTGAAACTTTCAAGATAACACATTTGCAGAGAGGTGGCTCTTTTGCCACGTCGCACAATCAAGTTGTGCCATCAAGCCGAGACGGTCCAAAGGTTCAAAAGTAAAGGGCTGCGCGGCATTCCGCGGTGATGTTTAAATCTATGCCGCACGTAACTGGGATAAGAGAGGAAGTGAGTCCGGTTGAAGCTGTGTGACTTCATTTTCACCGGATGGCGATCCAATTCCAATCACGGGTTTCACACGAGGGAATGCGCACGCACATTCCACAGTGGAAGCGTATTCTTCAGGCGCCTTAAACAATACGCAACGCCGAGTAAAATTCAACATTCCGGGGCAAAATAAAAGAGTTCCGTGCAACAGTGGAGAGAGAAAAAAAGAAAATCACAACCATCTTGCTCCCATTAGTCCACGAGATGTCTCGACTTATCGGTAACACACCTGGTGTGCCATTACTTTAGACGCTTCAAATTCCGTATGTGGCCGATAATAGTGAATTGTGTGAAACATTTTAAAATGAGCTGGCTATCAAATAATTAACTATTATTTAGCCGTGTAAATCGACGTGACTAAATTTTTGCTATCTTTGGTGAGACCAATACCTGCTCTGGACCATGGACCACGTACAAATAAAATGTGCCTGTAAACGTGTAAGGTGTTATGTATTTAGCTCTACTATATTTGACACGGCTATTACCATCGTCTCAAGATTCTAACACGCTCCTGAAAGTAAAAGGCACCCCAAAAACTTGCGTCTTGTGTGCACGAAGTTATACAAATATGGTCACACACACACAACCTTCCGGATGGTAATACGCGCTCCCAACTTTTGCTTTAAAATCGTGGGGGGAATAGTGCGTCTTATAAACCAGAGCATATGGCATATAATATGGTAAACGAGTAATAGATGTGTACGTGAAATCATACAATAGGCCAAAGTGCCACAAGGAATGAGTGCCAACCACCCTGCAGAAATCGAACCATGTTGGCAGCTTTGTTATTGGATATTATCAAGGGTGTACTTGCTTTATCTTAGTTACTTTGCCGTCATGTTAATGTCCTGAATGTCATTAAGCGCAGTACGGGCTCTACTTAAAGTAAAAACAACGTGGGAAACGATCAAAGCTATTATTATGCATCTGTGGCATTTTCATTGTATTTGTGACCACGAATGTAAACAGACATTGCCCTTGGTTATATATGTCTCAATAAAAATCCAAGGTCGTTTTTGGTAAAACAAAACTTTCATGGATACATAGTGTACTGTACTGTTACCCATAGTCCTGCTAAGAACATCACGAGCAAAGTCGATATCGTAATAAGCATATGCCATGACGCATAATGAAAATAGCACCTTATGAAAGTGAATAAATAATACTTCATGCGTAATGTATGCTTACATGCATTTCTGCTGGTAAAATTGGTATCGTGAACTGCGCAAAAACTAGGTTTGCGTTATATGTGCATTTTGTTTAAAGTGTTATAAACGAAACACGAGTCAGTTGTTCTTCCAGGGATGAATCAGTATCGATGCTTTTTACGATAGCCCTTTGTACGATGTCTGGCCCATTTATTATTCAAGATTTGAATGCGCGAGAGATAAAAAAAAATACCCAGACAAAATACACGTGCAAGGGGAACTAACACGCAAATATTCAGATACTTGTCTATCGCCTACTTTCTATACGATCAGAAAACGATAAGCAAACAAAACACACGCTTCATAAACTCTGACCATAAAACCAAATAGAGTGGGTTAATGCTTTGGGCAATGGCCTTTATTGAACACATTCAATATATTGACTTTCTTATGGTTGTAGATCGGGATGTTCAGCGTGGCAACTTAAAGCCATCGAAGAGCGTCGGGGGGCATACCGATACTTTTGGATTTGACGACGCGATTCGTCGTTCCACAGTCCCCGTTACCGTCCTTTCGTTATTGCGATGTCCCCTCCATTCCAACGGCGTTACTCTTTGACCTTGCTCGGATCTTCGCGGCACACTGATTGCCCCCACCTGCACATGCGTGACCGAGGGGAGTTGTGGGGGTCGACGCACTGCGCGCCACAACCAATGAAGAGGAGGAGGTGAGGGTGGCGCGCGGGGGGGTGGGGGTGGGGGGATCGGCCACTGAACGGCATGGAGAATCCGCGTGCGTCCAAACCTGCGAAACGGTGAGGTCATTTTCGCTCCCTTCATTCCGATAATACCAGGGCGCACC